ATGAGCCAACTGGCCTGTTTTCATTCTCATCAATCACCCTTCACTGGTGCTCCGCCAGCGTATCCCGTTAGCGCAGGCGGGGTTACTATTCCATTTTCACTCATAAAAAAACCCTATTCACACACACATGGATAAAAAAGTAGACTGTTTTTAACGAAACATTTGTACAGTGACACTATTTATATAATCTAAGCACAAACAATATAATACTAGCTGTTATAAGTATAACAGGCGAAATATACCTTATCTCTTTACTTAATATCCATTGAATAACAAAATAATTTTATAGCACGTAGACTAGATAAAATTTAACAGCCATTGCGAAATATGTGTTAGAGAAAATTGGAGCGCACATACCATAGTCCGTTGGAGAATGGATAGAATAACCTTTGGCATTGCATGACATTACGTTCACTGTAACATTTAATGGGACAATGGTTTATGGGCCCCACTGTAAAACGTACGGTGCGGTGACAGAATAATAGGTACATCGTATTACCACTACATCCCCAGGTTATCGTAAAAGGAGTCTAAGGGAATAAACCGCATAAAGTAATGCAAATGAAGGAAATCATTACTAATAAGTACATATTATAAATGTGAAAATCAGTTTGTTAGTTATTTCTTCCCTACATTCATCATCATCATCATGAATCCGGTCACGATAAGTAATTTCATTATTAGACTGATTTTCATTTATAGAGTTTATTGTTCCCAAAATAACTATTACAGGACACGTCCAATCAGTTCAGAATTTTTAGGAGAGAGAGCGAGGGCGCTTTTGCTATTGCAATAAATTTTAATCTGCGTTGAGTTGACAACAGGGATAAAGAATAAAACTTCAGAATCGACCCCAATATGAGAACCAATTGCGGATATAGCAAAATACATTATGGTTAACAGGTACGTGCTTAGGTACAATTATAATTAATTTATTAGATTCGAGCTATTACAACTGATAGATCGTTAGCTCACGGATACGGGGTTTTGAAAGCCACCTGAAGGTAACGCCTACATACTAATTTAGTTTATACAGTATGTTTATCAACACAACCCATTACTTAAAACTGGTGTTTATGTTGATTAATAGGATTTCGAAAAAATATTTTTATTTATCTGAAAAAATCTGTGCTTGTATCAACGACCCTACACAGTACAGGGTGTATACATATCTATTATTAAGTAGTGCTAATTTTATTAAAAAAAAAATTGTGGCCTTATTAATGAATACTAACACCAATTTTAAGAAATTCGTTGTATTAGTTAACATAACATACTGTATATACATATCTAGAATTATAAGTATACTAATTATTATCCGCGACTACATACAAGATGTACTCGTATATTGAATAACCTTTGTCCTTCTTGATCCAAAATATTACACATACATGTACCTCCCAAATTCAATGACGATTGGGAGCATATACGCCGGCAACAAGGTGCAATAGATGCACTTATAACTCCCTGTCGAAAAGAAAAATAGTAAATAGATAGATAGATACTCTTTATTGTTTCCTCCAAAAGATTACAATAGTAAACTTATTGCAAATATAAATAATTACAAGAAATAATCACAATGAGAAAACAATGGGCGATCTTATTAATATATATACCTTATAAATATTAATAATTTTTCGTGTGTCCCCCGGTAAAGAATGGGCCATCCCTACCTTACCCGTGGGTGTCGTAAGAGGCGACTAAGGTAAGGCGAGGCATGGGCAGCAGCGTCCCTCTTAAAACATCTCTAAAAGCCTTACTACGGTTGCCAACCCGCCCAACTATTGGCAAAACTCCCCTTATGGGGAACGCTTGTGTTCAGCAGTGAACAGTTAACGGCTGAAATAATAATAATAAATGAACAATTTGTTGAAATAAAATGAGTTTATTTGCATTAAATAGCCTTAAAATTATATTTTTTTTTATTCCACTAAGGTGCTACACTTAGTGCTACATAACCAAGTTTGACACTTGTTTAATAATAATAATAAAGCGATGTAGACATGTAAATATTTTTTTTTTTTTTTTAATATAACTTAAAATAAAAGTATGATACACTTTTATATTATTTAAATTATACATACATATTGCAAATTAAATTTGTTACATCGTTATAAATCATGTATTATATTGATCACTTCTCGGGTATCAAGATAAAACATACACTAGTTTTTACGTAAGACCTTTAGAAATGCAACTGTGTAAACCGCATCCAATTTGAGGCAGTAGTTTTTGTGTGATGAAAAACAAACGTACAAATAGATAAACAAAATTTCTAAAAACTATTGTTATGGCTTCCATTTATCTTATTCAGACCCCTCATTCAGGATTTCTTAAATATCTCCCATACACAAACGTCGTCCAGTTACAATTTTATTATATTAGTAACAAATTTTATTTCTATAAAAAATTAAGGAGTCTAGTTGCCTGCCGTCCAAATTTCTTAAAAAACATACAAATGGATATATCTATACCCTATATTCTACTACCTTGTTGCTACTAGAGGGAGACTTTGTACAAAAATCGATTGCTTGGGTATCTCTGTCCCATTCGTGTTTCTACCGTGAAGCAGTTGTGTTTGCATGGCTGTGTTTCGATTTGAAAGGTGGGATATGGCGTGAATTTACAGGGTACAGAGGAATAACACCTGAGTCCTCAGGAATGGCAATGCATGGTTGGTGTCATGGGCGAAACAGTATACTCTGTTATGTCCATGGTACTGTTCATGTCTATAGGCGACGGTTACCACTTTCCATCAGGTGTACCGTCAGCTTGTTTGCCATTCTAAGTTGTTTAAAAAAAATACTAGTTAGCTCCTGGTTAAGCCATTAATTCACTATAAGGTAACAAACTCACTTCTACATTTATAAATATAAGTAAGAAACAGAATCTCTCTTTTAAAATTACATTTACAGTTTTCTATGACTTTATTATATCTACCATGTATCTAGTTACATATTAATTAATATTGTAGAATATTGAAAGCACTTTTACACCAATATGAATTTAACCTTAAATATAAGACCTTAAAGTATTATTTACAATAGCAATACTTGCATTTCAGGTTGGGTGGAGTACGTGAATTGGAAGGACCTTGGGTTTCGAAAGTGCAAAACAACCGGAACGTAGGATAATCGCCTTCTAGGAAAAATCTAGATTATTACGAACACGCATTGTGCATAATTCGTAAATTATAATGTCTATAGCACAAATAACATAATAGATACTATCACTAACTTGAAAGCTGCACAACCTTGTTTAGTATGGACATGTCTGGAAGAAACAAAAATAAATTTTACTGTATATATTTAGTTTTTCGATAAAACATTAAAAGCATTCTGCCAATATCAATATTAATATTGTAAGTTATTTAAACTACAATTAGTTTAAATTGTGGCTGTCGTAAGTTCATAACATTGTTAATACTCGTAAACAATAGATATACATAGCTACGTACTAAATCATACTACAGAAGGAAAATCATTTAAAATTAAACAAATTTTTTGTAAAAAAAAAAAACATAACAGTAGTTCTGTAACTGTTGTAGAACCCAATCAAGTTTTCTAAACTTATTCACCTAAAATAGGAACGTATAATATAATTTCTGCGAAGCAGTGTCCATACTACAATGCCACCATGATAATCATTTTAATAACTAAATAGGACTAATAACAAAAAATGTATTCGTAGATATCTAGGGGACTATGGGACTATTACACAGACCATTACTTGCTGAGCCCCGTGATTCTACTTCAATGAATTAGTGAAATAATGATAAACAACCATAGACGTTGTGTTATTTATTTCTGAGCTTACCTCTTCGATATTATTATGATCTGAGGACCTACCATGAAATGTTTTTCGAAATTTCGAAGCCGAACGAAACAAAAATTTGATGTAAAAATTACATAATACATGCCATTTGGAAATATTAAAAATGTTAAAATATTGTTCCTTTGGACTTTTATGATAGGATGTATGAAGAACGAAATGTTAAACTCTATTTATTGGTCCGATTTTGGTATAAACAAAAACACGAAATTGAGTCTGAAATTTCGGAATTTCATTTCATAGTAGACCCGCTGTTTGCTTTAAATTCAAAACCGCTAGGCATAATTATATAAACACAATTATGTGTCGTTAAAAATTTTCACATTAGTAATATTTTTGTTTAGACAAAATAACAAATTTTACATCGAGTTGTTAACCCTAAGAGCATTTTTTTTCTTACTGTTTTACTTATTTTTAACTAAAAAATTTTTTAATCAATACACAATTTAACAAAAGAAACGGGTCTGATTGTATTGGTCAGGCTGTTACTGAGCACCCACTCCCGGCCGCGATCACACTACTGCCAGACACGGGAACTTTTGGCTGCTGGGTTTCCCTCCTGGCCCTTTCGCTCCTCCTTAGTGAACCTGCACCCCCCAGACTCCTCCGGGGGGTCCATATTAATAACAGGCTTAGTGTGGACGTCCAGTCAACATGGGCCACTCAGCACCAGGACTCCCGACCTCAAACCATCCTCCGGTTCCGACCTCCGAGTACCCGGATTACAGGAGACGCCACGCTCCCAGTCGATATGTCTGTTAAAATTAAGAATCACATGAAGCTAATAATAATGACTTCAAATTTATGTTTTTTTGTATATGTTTTAAATCATTTTTTATTTTTATTACGATTAATTTAAACACAATATAAACATTTTATTGTGATTATATTTGAATTTTCAAAATATTTTTAATAATTTAGACAGCGCCATCTAGTTAAACGAGATCGCATACTATGTAAAGAATTCAATAGTTTATCTAAAAATATTTAGATGGCAGGACTTACCATAAAATTAATATTAATTAATTTTGTATTGTAACGTATTTTAAACAATTTCAAAATTATTAATTCAGATACTTAAATTCTATTAATAATAAAAGAGTAACTGAATTTACCAACATCTTTATAACTGCAGCTCAAAAATATAAAATGTATTTTGACTTTTGATTTTGACAGGTAAACCAACAACCAACAGCTGTTGCCTGCCTGTTATTTTCAATATCTTTCAAAAGAGTTCTTTTGTTTGAAATTTTTTGCAACGGCGTTTCTTCAAGTATTTTCATAGATACAAATTAAAATTCGAGAATATGGAGGGTGCAAATATTTTCTACAACAGGTATAAGTTTTTAATCTCGCTGCCGCTTTATTTTGAACTTGCGCGCTGGAATGTATTGATTTTCCTTCCAAAAATAGAAGTATGTAAATAAATCATTAATGTGTATCTGTGTTGTATTTTCGCGGCATTTACCTTTTTAGATTACTAAATACTACTTCTCATTTGTTTCTGAGCTTATTTCTTCGTGTTCCGTAGAACTAATGTGGCAGACACTTCTAATTTAACTCCTGTAAAACCTAAACTGGGAAAATTCATCGATGTTTACTCCCCTGAACATTTGAACTTGACACCGAAAGCTGTAAGTACTTGAATATGAATATTTCTAATTGTATTTACCTACTTGTGTTTCGCTATATATCCCTCACAGCTTATTTAAATTTTTAATCGAAAAAATAATATAATTGAAAACCAAATAAATAACGGGTAACCTTAGAGATGTTTGGAGGAAGTTGTCTCCTTGTCATCATCAGGTCAAACATCAGTCTCAGTTTAAATTTTATGTTTTTTTAAATAGTAATAATAATTAAGGGGATACCCTTAATTACTGACTGACCTTTAAATAGTCATTTTTTAATTGAACAATGAAACTACATTTCAGGCAAATAAGCTATCTTTTAATGACTTGAGGAATGAATGCCCTAACTTGTTTACACCTGAAAAATGTTCAAAGAATAATTTCAAATGCAGGTGAGTGGTAAAATTTATTTATTGCAATTTTTTTAAGTATTTATCTAAGTTCAAGTTGAATTTAGCACCAATAATATTTTATTTTACAAAACACAGTAAATTGATGCTTTAGTTATATACTTTAATATAGCAAAGTATATTAATTATGACCACAAAACTGAATATATTTCTCAAATAAGTATATTCTAAATAGCACCTTTATACATATTTTTTTTATAAACTTTTAGAGTTCATCTGCTTAAACTTTGCACATCCAGACGTGAATTTATAAAATAATTTTATATTAAATTTATAAAAGACAGAAATAATATTTCCAAGTATAATAATATCTGCATCCAGATTAAACTTTTTTAAAGCAGAATGAACAAAAATTCTCACCAATAATGCACATGCATCAGCTTAATGCTGCTAGTATATCAAACAATATAATTTTAACTTATAGATAGTATTAATGCAAATTTAAAAAAGAAACAATCTTTTAGAACTGTCAAGCCACCACGCTTGCATCATGTATTTAGCAACTGTTCATTTGAGGGCAATCAGAGCTTTCCACGTTTGAGCCGCAGGGTCAAACCCTTCAGAATGGAACTAGAGACACCGACAAAAGTAAAACCTGCTATAGATTTAGTGAGGGGTAAGCTTGATTTATTGTTATTTGTATCATAAACTTTATTCCACTATACAATATTGAAACTGTTTTGTACTTTCATATTGACTTTAGAACATATGCTATATATTAGCTGTATTCTCTGATTAGGCTCTCATAAATTACTTTATATAGAACCCTATGTGTTAATCTAGGGCATGGTCTATCTGTGTACTAAATTTCATTTAATCTGTTCAGTTATCAGTCAGTCTAAACATTCATATTTATAATAGTAATAGGATTACCATGTGGTCCCAGCATAGAATGAGCCACCCATTCCTTTCCTGTGGGTATCGTAAGAGGCGACTAAGGGAACTTAATGATTGAGTAATGGGCAGTAGTATTCCTTTTTAAACATCACTAAAGCACCACTAACCCATCTGCCAAACATGGCAGTTACGAGCAAACCCTCCTAGTAGGACAGACATATGTTCAACATTAGACATTTAACTACTGATATCGTCATAGTCATAGAATACTGATGGATCTGACAAATATTACATATATAGATCCGTCAGTATTCTACGACTATGATGATATGATGAATAGTATTATTATTATAAATAGTATTTTTATTGTTAGTTGTATTACAAAATATATCTTTACGTTATTGTCATCACTTGCTTCTTTTTAGGTATAATTCAGCTGTCTTTCAGTAATTTAAATCAAATATACAAAACAACATCATCATAGATATAAATTTGATTATGTATTGACTGTAATTCAGCTGTACGTTTTCCAAAAAAAAAATATCAGCTGTTATTTGTCCAGCATAGGAGAACAGCATAGCAGCCCTTAAATCTAAAGAGCACTATCAACACATAGTAATTTACACACTTAACACCAGTATCTTGGAAAAAATTTATATCAGATTTTGTGATTATTATTCCTTACTGTAATTGGAGAGAGAGTGAGAAGTATTAAAAACCTCTCCATTCTTATATTCCTTCACTTTATTTATTCATGCATGCGTGTCAACACTGAAGACTTAATACACAGCCAATTATAATAAAGCATGTACCATTTTATTTATTAATTGTCCTTTTTAAACTTCCACAGTGGATGGGCCGAATGGTCTTCGTTTTAATACGTCCCTCGCAGCTGGTGACGTAACAGGTTCCCCAGCCCTGTCGCAGACAGACAGACTACAGCAGTCTATCAATCCAAGCAAGGCTGTCTTCACAATTGAACCTAATAGCTCCAAAGTAAGTGACTAATTTGAGTTACCACATTACACCTATTTCATTATTTTACCTAAATTCATAAAGGTATAGACCTTCATCAATTTAAGATGGGGGGGGGGGTTTGCCAATTGTTACCACGTGGTGGATTGGCAACCGCAATTAGACTTTGGTAATGTTTTAATAGGGGTGCTGCTGCACATCCCTCAAAAGGTTTAAATACTCAACTACAATTTTATACTCATGTTTCTGCCACCAAGTAGACACACTTTCATAGTACCTCATTCTGAAAGAAGAGTTTGATAGTATCGGGAACTAAGACCGTTACAACAATAATCCCTGATCTCCATATGATCCATCCTGGAAAATTCATCACAATGTGTCAAATGAGTTGACTTCATCCTCACACATCGTCATTGATACCGATTCAATGTATATAGCGCAGAAAATACCATTTCATTTTGTACTTATAAAAAATCAAGATGAATCATTCCGATATGAATATTGTATATCAAATTGATATAAAATACAATGAGATAGGCAATTAGTATAAAATCTAATAACCCCATTGCTATTAGAGATGGGCAATCCACCTGGGTGGGTTTAAAGTCTGGTGGGTAAAAACCGGGTGTTTTGGGTTTATTGGGTTTAAACCCCATAAACACCCAAATTTTTGGGTGTTTATGATTTTGTACTTCATCATCGTCATCTCAGCCGCAAGACGTCCACTATACTGGACATAGACAATATTATTATGCAGCCTACAGAATAAAAAACTTTTAATTTGATTTTGAGTTTATTAAGAAAGAGATGAAAGTAAAATGTAAAACTACAGTCAATCACTGTCAGATTCAGAGTTATTACAAGCGATGAATTGTATAGGTTCGATAGGCTCTATTTCGTCTAAACTGTTATGTTCATTTACTTGCTCAATGAAAGCTTCTAAGGTATTTTCTTCATTAAACTGAATGTCCTCGCATTCAGCTTTATGTTTAAGATTCCAGTTATAACAAATGAATGAAATTTTTTCAGTTCTTTCAGTTGTAAGTCGATTTCTTTTGTTATTATGTATGTAGCCTTGGATACTAAAGGAACGCTCAGTGGCTGCCGAAGTACAGGGAGCTGATAGAATACGAATCGCTACTTTGCTTAACTCAGTGGAACCACAAATACCTTTCCACCATATTAGGGGCTCAATGCTATCTAATGAGCTCCATACAAATCCTCTGGCCCAAAAGTTTTCTTTAGCTTTATAACACGCCAAATCTGCCATTACATTTGACAAACTTAAGTGTTGGCTTAAATTGTAGATAAACTCCATACCCTTAAGTTCTTCCTCTTGAGTAAGTTCGACTCCTAGAGTCCTGGGGTCTAGAATATATGCTGCAAAATGTATTGGCCTCATTGCCATATTGCATCTTGAAGATACTGATGTTAGAATCTGCTGTTTGCTTTCTTCGCTCAATGTCGAAATCTCATTTAATGCAAAACGTATCTTAGCTTGTACATCTCTAAATGTAATGTATGTGCGATGCAAACGATTCTGGTCGCTCTCTAAGTAAAATATGCTTTCAGTGACTGGTTCCAAAATACTTATACATTCCCCTGTCTTCGTCCAGAAATCATCACTTAGAATTAAATCTTTAATATCTCTTGAAATTACCACATCTTCTCTAACTGTTAATATTTGCAAAGCTATCTTATTTGCTTTCAAACTTTTTAACGAAGTAACATGACTTCCCCATCTTGTAGCACAAGGCAATTTTAGTGTTTGTGTAGAATCTTCACCCTGCCTTGATTTTATCAACAAGGAACTTAATCGTTGACTCCTTTTAACAGTTTTTATTATATTTATGGCTTGCATAATAAACACAGTTACTTCTTGTATCTTTACAATATCTTGGCACAACAAGTTAAGGATATGTGCACAGCAACCGAGAGGAACAACATGTGGATATTTGAGTTTTGTTAATTCGAATGCCTTTTGTATATTTCTAGTGTTATCGCCAATAAGTACAAGAAACTTATTTGCTCCATACACTTTCATTACTTTTTCAACTTCTTGGCTAAGGTATTCACTAGTGTGAGGATTACTTTCTGTATTCAAACTTTTAACGTATGCAGGTTGAGGTTTTGATATAAGAAAGTTTATTATTCCTTCATTTCTTAAATTAGACCAGCCATCGCACTGAAGGTGTAAGTAACTACAAGCATTTAGTTCCTCATTTAACTCAAAACGCATTTCTCTATATATTTTATCTAAGTATTTTGTCGCTAAAGCTTTACGTGAAGGTATTTTAAATTTTGGTTGCAATTTTTCGAAAAATTGTATCCATAAAGGATGTTGCACCATCGATAATGGCGTCCCTGTTACAAATATAGCTCTCGCTAATTCTGTTTTTATATGATCATCGGTGTCTTGAAACTCAGCATTTATTGTAGTGTTAGCAGACGACGAGGGGCTTATAAAAGAATCATTTGTCTCTATCTCTGACAGTCCAGACATTTTGGTTTTGGACGAGCTATCTTTTATAAGTTTCATAGAGTCTTTTAATGTTTCTGGAGATTTTGGACAAGTGATAAGATGTTGAAGCATTTTGGCAGCATTACTGAATTTGTAGACCTTATTACAAAGCTTGCAAGAAACAGACTTGTTTGGTAAAGTACGGTAGTGCTCCCATATGCGTAAATCTTTAGGTCTCCCCATTGAACCTAAAAAAATGAACGATGATTAGTTGGTCTGACGAAAATTCAACAATAGAGTGCCTATTTTTTTACAATGATTATTTCTTGTTATTTACAATAAATTTATTAAAAAAATAATAAAATAAATACAAAAAACCTTTGTAAAATTACATCTCCTCGGAGGATTAAACGCAGACGCTAGTTTATTATCGTATTGTTCTGTATTTTTCTCAGCAACTTCTTTAATTCGATTAGGTACTTACGCATATTATGTTAAAAATAAATATCTAGTACACATCTTAGGCTATCCACCATTATTATCCAATGACGACTCTCAGCTAACTATGCACTATCATCCAAAATAAACGTGTATGGAAAATTTTATCCCAGTCGGTTGAGGATTGAGGATAATTGCATCAACATACGAACATACCTACATACTTTTATTTACATAACGCAAGCTAAATAAAAGCTTGTAATAATACATCTAATTTTAAGTTAAAATTGTTAAGTGATCATGATATAATTGTATCATTCAAAAATCCACTTACCTTTAATTATTTCTTGTTAAGTATAAATATTATTTCAAATCTGCTCCCTTAATATGCACTTTTTTACTGCTTTTCCTACCTAACACGTTACCAGGAAGTCACGTTACCAGAGTCAGAGTAATAGTGAACACGTTTGACAGTGATTGTCGTCGCCTCATATTCAGCGTCGACGAATAGGGGAATCCCCAGTCATAATGTATTGCATGCGTGGCGGTCTTACTTCAAATCCATAAACAAAGAGATAATTACAGAACTCGATACTAGATGGCGCTGTTTTTGTTTGAAGAAAGTTTGCGGGCTAAAATACATAGAATTTCATCAATGACTTCCACAAAGAACAACATTTCTGTTTTTTCTAAGTCCGTATCTCTTCCGTATATTTCATAAGATATAAGCTTGGGCTACATTGTTATGCAACGTGATTTTGTCGCTGTCTTGCTAGCAGGGTTGACAGATATACGATTTAAATCGTACTCATACTATTATTTGTCTATTTTTTAATGTACGATCGTAAAGATTATGATCGTAATTCGCACAAAAACATACGACTTTTTGGTTACCTGGCAACATTTTTATTATGAAACGAACATGCTCACATCATCAGTCACATGCAACAATTTATTGGGGATTTCCCCTTCACATCTGGCAGTCCTGCTTGCTAGAATATAGGTAAGTCAGCCACAGTTACTGACGATCGATATTTAAAGGGTATTGTTTTTGTGCTAAATATTTCATAAAAACGTTATTTAATACTTTGTGGATTATTAATTTAGTTGATAATCACTGGAAGTAAAATGGATGCTAATTTGAGAGATCAAGATCTTCGTATAAAACAGTTAATAAAAGAAAATCTACGTAAGTACTCTTTTTATACCTAGGTAGGTAAGGTATAATAAACACAAAAGGTACTTAGATCGCGTGTGTTCGAAGCATTTATTCTAATAAATTTAATTTAAAATTGTAGAAAGAAAAAAATGTCTGCCAAGCCGTAGCCGAAGCCGATCTCCAAATATATTTGGCGATAGTGAGACCCAGTGTCCAGATGATTTACCCAGCGTCGTCGCAACAAAGAAAAAAACGAGGATAAAGTAAAAGAAAATTTACTGAAAGAAGAAACAAACTGTTCTAAATGCTTAATTTATGGAGAAGAGGATAAAAGAAATGAGTATTTCGGACTGTTAGTGGCTCAAGAATTTAAATATATACGGCCATGTGTGCGAACGAGGTGTTATGAAGAAATTTTAAAGTATCTACGGGAAGCAAAAGGCCAACATGTTGATCAACTGCAACATGAAAACACTGAAAATTAATTACTTTCATTTTATTATATATAGATTTTTAAAATTTCCTGAAATATTATTAGTTAACGTTTTATTTAATATTGTAGAATTGATCAATACAATTTATAAAAATAATTTATTGGTATTACTTACATATTTTCAAAAAAATACGTAAAAACCTATTTTTTTGGGTGATTATGGGAGTTTATGGGTGTTTATTGGGTTTTTACCAAAGCACCGGGTTTAAACCCGGTGCTTTGCCCATCTGTAATTGCTATCAATAAACCCTATGAATTGACCTCTACGCTGTGCTTCCTTAAGACATCGTGATTAATTTTTGTTGCATTCATTACCATAAGTTAACTAACCTGCTTACATGCTCATCCTTATCATCTCTCAATGATATCTCGCCATCGTATACCAGCACAAGTGGGGTTACCATTCGTGGTATTCGAAAGAAATTCTCACCTATCACCCCTCACTGGTGCTCCGCCCGCATAGATCGATAGCACTGGCGGGGTTACCATTCCATTTTTACTCATCAAACAGCCATTCCATGTTCGTCCATTAAAAAAATACGCAGATCACATATATCAATTACTACTTCCATATAGTAATTTTTCTAATTACAGATTCTCATAGTAAATAACAAAGCTTGCTCGCTATTGGGCTACTCGTCGGGCGAATTATGCGGATTACGTTTCTCAGACTTGCTGCGGAACAGGAATTGTAAAACATTTAATCTACAAGACCCTGAAGATGGTGATGTCTCTGAAGATGGAACGATTGTACTACTTAGTGGAAAGGTATTGTTAGGACCTACTTCACAATTGAAAACGATAGTTCTGATTAAGCTATTTTGAAATTTAACTGTTGACTTAATTAGTAATTTACGTTTAATAATCACTCAGTAAAAAACTAGTTGTCATGTCATAGGCAGGTCGGAAATGTGACCTGGAATAGAGCTGGTTAGAAAATACATTAATTTATTGCACTGACAATAGGAGACTCTTAAATGAAAAGATAGAAACACTCAGTAGTGTTAATCGTCACATTAACTTAATAAAAAATAATAAAGGAATTGCGGACTAATCAGAGTCATCTGTCAACTGTTATCGTTTAGTGTACTTAACCCTATTTTGCATAATGATGGAAATTTCCATCATAACATTGAATGCCAAAAAATTATATAAAAGAACTATTTCGCTTTAAGTTGATCGTGTCTGGATACCTTTTTAATGTCCATTGCAGAAAAAAAACATAGTTGTCAAATTTATTTTTTTAACCATTTTTTAATTTTGAACATGAATTATATCACCTTGATTTATTATAATAAAAAAAAATCATGCAAAGAAGGGTTAACAATTTCAATACCGAATTCTGTGGGCATGATTATTTGAATTTGGTTTGTTAATCGTATTTTCCATCACTGGAGAGTTATCTAGTAGAAAATGTAATTATATTATCATAAATACAGATTTGAAGAAAAATTTTTTCAAACTATCAACTTTCATAGACAATGTAAAACAAACTAGTATTACATTTTTCTTCTTTCATTCAAACCGCGATGTTTAATTTAGTGTTAAACACATATTAACACATCACTGTTTATCAATTTCAGGTAGTTGAACTGCTAACGAAAGATGGAAGTGCAGTTCAAGTGTCTCTGTGGATCAGACAACTGGATAGTGATGGGCCATGTTTAGTGGTTGCCGAGCCAGTCAGCTGTAAAAATGTTTTGGTATTCAAACTTTGTATAAATTTTGTTTTTCAATAGTAGCAAGTAAGAATACTTAGGATATATATTATGATAATAGCACATGAATGCCTTCAATACCAATAATATATATCCTATTAATATTATAAATGAGAAAATTTGCAAGAATCGATGGACGTTTGTTACTCATTCACACAAAAACTGCTAAACGGATTTTAATGAAATTTGGTACGTGGGGAAAATATATCTTAACACATATGATACTTTATGTAGTACTTCACGTGGACAAATCCACGATACAGCTAATATGTAATATGTCTCTCACTCATTTATTTTGAATTTTACCTATAATAACTTTTATTTTATTTTTTTATATAATCCAACAAATTGTATATTTCAGCTTACAGTCGAAGCAGATACAGGGCTGATCATATCATGCTCAGGCGAGGATGCAGCACTACTATTCCAAGCTGAATCAAGCGATAAACTAGTGGGATTGCCTATAGCATCTCTCATACCGTCCATACAACTGCCAGCCCATGACACGCTGATCACGAAGAGTGTGTCTAAGCAAAAAGCTACAGGTCAGTTGAGTTTATACATAGTTTTTTCGCATGTTCTTTTTTTTTTATGAAGTGCCATACAATCACATCTAATGCCTGGTTTTCAAACTAAGGTAACACAGGGCGCCAGCTGTGTGTGTGCGATCGTGCGTGCGTGCTTGTGCGTGTGTAACTAGGCAACGAATGTCTGACTGCACAACCCAGAATAACAAGACCCTAGCCAATTCAGAAAAAGTTTATTTCTTAAGTTGGCCCCACTGGGAATCGAACCCAACCCAGGTTCGATTTGGGAACTTATTTATGCAAACCAACATTCCAAATTGACCGTCATGTACAATCAATTACAACAGGCCAACTGACTTGCTACACCCTCACCTGTCATCCATCACTAGTGCCCCGCCAGTGTACACCGTTACCACAGGTGGGGCAACCATTCTATTATCATCCGTTGAAAAGAAATGTTGTACTCTCAACGATTGGCCGCACTATGTCATCTCACTAAATGATTTTTTACGCTACAATTTAAGAATCCAAGAGATGAAGGGAACGCGTCACAGGAAAGGCCATTCCACGATCTTTCAGTATTATTCGAATAGCAAATATCATTTAAACCCGTTCAGCCAATTAACCAATTAATTAATTATTTTTTATTTAATAGCATCATTGATATAAATATTGGATTAATCTTAAATTTAAAAGTTATATTTTTTTCTCAGGGAGGACTTTAGATGGCGGATCGTTTCCTCTATGCCTTTGGATATCAAAAGCGGATAACACTGAATCTTCACTTTGGTCAATGAAAACTCATAAGGATCGACCCTTATTTGAAATTAACGTTAGGGTGGGTATGCACAGATGATATTATTTATTTATTGCATTGCATTCATGGATATATAATTATAAGTCTAGAATCAAATGCAGGCGGGCCAGCATTCCTTATTCTACAAGAAATAAATTCACCTATGACAACAATAACCATGTGGTCCCAGCATAGAATAGGCCATCCCTTTCTTCCCCTTGGGTGTCCTAAAAGGCAACTAAGGGAGGGCGAGAGATGGGCAAAAGCGTCCTTCTTAAAACATCTCCAAGGCTTAACTGCATTTGCCAATTCGCCTGCCAAACGTGGCAACTACTAGCAAAATCCCCCGCAAGGGGGTGGCTTATGTTCAGCAGTGCACTGTTAAAGACTGATATGATAACAACAAGTAAAGGTAGCGTTATTGTTAAAAACTGTCCCATCTAGACAACCTTTGGATTAAGAAAAATTTTAAACAGTATGATCGGCCAATATTTGGCATGAAGCTCGCCACTTGTACGAAGTTTTATTGTTCAATAAAGAATAAATAAATAAATAAATATTTATAATACTAAGCCAATTATATAATTACTAGCTTTTACCTGTGTCATATATATTAAAGTGGGTATTTTTATACTTTGTTAAATAATAAAGTGTACTAATGTAGGTAGGACATGTTTCAAAATGACATAAACTGGGGGACTACCATGAAATGAAATTCCGAAGTTTCGAACTTAATTTCGTGTTTTCATTCATACCTAAATCGATCCAGTAAATGGAGCTTAACATTTTGTTCGTCATAAACCCTACCATAAAAGTCCAAAGGAATAATATTTTTAATGTTTTTAAACGGTAAGTATTATGTAATTTTAACATCAAATTTGTGTTTCGTTCGGCTTCGAAATTTCGGAAAACATTCATTCTACACAGCACGTTTTATTTCATAATATTAATATGCAACTTCATCCATGTAACTAGGACATGTTCATTGATTGAGATAAAATGTGTCCTATATCTTTCTCCAGTCCATATAGTATGTACATATATATCGAATTTTATAATGATTAATTGAACTACTAAGAATATATGCAACAAACAAACTCACTTTAACATTTATAATATTATTAAAGATGTTTAAATGAAAACTGCCAATGACCCATATAGTTGTTTCTGGTTGCACAATACAGGTGACATACAATGTGAGCGGCTTATTGGTTGTTGACGAGAGCGGTATCATAACAGCTTGCAATCATCACTTCGCGATGTTGACATTCGGCAAACCCCACTCTGAAGTGGTTGGCCATCATATCGAGGAAGTTATACACAATTTCTGTAGAGAGTCCGATATGGTGAAGATGCCGGACAGACACAGAAATATGACGCTGTCGCCAGTGAACAATGAAAATGGTTCAGGTAAATGTTCTTGTAATTCTTCCCTATTAGTTAATTTTGAACTTTCGCGTTGTTTACACATATTTTAAATACACAATCAGGACTTAATGCGATTTAAAAGCTTTTACAAGCAAATAGTGTCTACATGCCTGCTTCTTTATTGCCGACGTTTCGACGTGACTACGACGTGATGCGATCCACGTCGAAACTATATTTAAAATATCTACCCCATTAATTAGTACTAGATACCTTTATAGAATGGGCCGCCCTTTCCTTTCTCGTGGATGTCGTAAGGCAACTAAGGGAATTTATTGGTCGAGGTATGAGTAGCAGTGGCCCTCTTAAAACATCGCCAAAGCCTAACAGTGGCCGTCAACCCACCTGCCAAACGTGCCAACTACTGGCAAACCCTCTAATACAGGGAGGCCTTTGTTCAGCAGTGGACACAGTATAAAAACACATCTAAAATCAATATACCGTTAGCTTTTGTGAGCTGTAATGGTCACTTATGACAAGGTCGATGGTGCTTATGATTAAAAAAATAAATAAAAGCCTTGTAGAAGAGTTGGTAATGGCTGGAAAGAAATCATATATACTATATGATTTAAAAAAAAAAGGATTTTTTGAATTTTTTTATACCATTCTCGTATCTCTTGATGTAATGTTTAATAACTATAAATCTAATATGTAAATAAATATAAAAACACTAGTGGAACTATAGAATTGCTACCATTTTGTAGTATGTCGTCTAAGAATCATTCACAACAAATAATTATTTGTAGTAAATTATTCTTTTTTTTATTATGATGACAAATGTTTCTGTTGTAGTGGTTTCAGACACTGACGAAGACTCATGTGGTGCGTTCAACGGCAGCCAAAAATCTGCATGCATATCCCTCAATGTCCAACCTTCTATACTGTCCATGACTAGAGATAAGTCCTCCAGCGCGCTCTGCCTTGACAAATCATGCAGCCTGATCACCCATACACCCACTCCCACACAAGATATGGTATCCAGTATTAGTACTACCGAGCAAAGGAACGACATATCTGCGCTGCCTGATGTCACCTCTGGTATGTCCGGTATTTCCATAGAGGATGAGAACTACTGTCCTAGTAGTATTTCAAAGTCTCGATCAGAGAACATACTGCGCTCTGAACAAAGCAATCCAGTGATAAAACATACCTCCGTTAAACCTACAGAAAAATCCGATTCCATATACTACACTTCCCAACATTCGCAAGAAGTAACGCCTACGGGGAACGCCCCACGAGTAAGATTAAATGATCCATCCTTAAGACTTTCCTTCGATTCAAGTAAATATAGATCGGTGAAAGTCAACTTGCCCGGTCAAGTGAGAGATGATAAAAGCAGTATCTCCGTGGACTTTTGTGATTCGAACGAAACGAGCGCGGACTTCTTGACGCCTATCAATGAAATGCCTCCTCCCGGTTGTGAGATAGAGGAATTGCCAAGACATAATGGAAATGAAAGTGTTGATAGTTTAAGTAATGATAACGATTTGGAGACTCAGACCGAGTCAGCACCAAGAAGAAGGTATGAAGGTGAGTAATTATCAATTTCATTTATTTTGTCAGATCAATACTGGCTCTTTTTAAATATTTGTTTGTTATTTGAGATTTATACTAGACTTATAATAGCAAACAATTTGATGGTCAACCTGATGAAAAATGGTGACCGTCAGCTATGGACATGGACAGCACAATGAATATCACAAAATACACTCTGATGCTTATGATAACTGGACCATGATGTCTCTATATCCTGTAATTTCGCTGCCATATACCACCCTTTAAACCAAAACAACTATTCAAGTACAATTTTCATTCAGCCATTCATCCATATTGTCGCGCAACATGTGATCTATCCATTGCTATTTCTGCTGATCTATATTCATAGGAATATGTCAGTCATTCCAGAAGACTAATGTAAATAAAACTTTAATAACTAATCTTAATATGATTATTTTGAACCAGTGGACTGGCTGGTAATACTGATAATAATTCTATTAATATAAATTCAAAAATTTGTAAGGTTGGATGCCTGTTAATCTTTCATAGAAACTACTAGCAACTACTCGAAGCCGAGCGAAACAGAAAGATTTAATTTGGAATATTAAAAATGTTAAAATGATACACGGTATGAACAAAAACACGAAAGGAATTTCATTTTTATATCAGATTCAATTGAAATTTGATATATAATCTATATCCTAACTTAACACATAACTTACTACTTTATGTACTGGTTCACGTGTACAAATCCGTGGGATACAGTAAGTATTGGTGATGCCGTTCCAGAGGAGGAGTGCCGTGCGTCGTGCGGCGTGCGTCGCGCGGCGCGGGCGCACGTGACGTCGACGCCGCAGCACGCCGCCGCCCGCGCCGCGCGGCCCGCGCGCCACGCCCGCGACGGCACCTACCGCGGCCTCGTGCTGCACCGCGACGGCACGCAGCTCAGTATGTATACCTACACCACTCAGCTCGACCAGTATAGATGAAAGAAAATTCCACTCTCACCCCCCCCCCCTCCCACGAAGGAATCGATGGTGGATAGTGAAACTGCTCCTAATATCAATGTGAAAATGGATTCTGACAGCCCCATTGTACATTGCTGGCAATATACCCTATCAGGTCGACGTCCACGCGGTTCCCCTAGAAATCATATTAGTTCATTCTTGTTTAATTCATCACTATGGGCCGACTGACTGACTTCCGCACCGATCATCTCTCACTGGTGCCCCGCTAGTGTATACCGATAACGCAGGCGAGGTCACTATTCAATTATTACCCATTAAAAAACAAAATACAAAATATATAGATACATAGATAATCTTTATTGTTTCCTTCAAAAAATTACAATAGGAAATTTATTATAAGTATAAACAATTACAAAAAATAATCTCAATGAGAAAACCTTATCGCTAAAAGCATTCTCTTCCAGGCAACCTTTACCCCTTTTTTGAGGCTCGATGCTCTATCTATATACAGGCGTACTGTACACGGTGTCGAGTATGCAGCTGTCGACTGGTCGCGTGGCGTGCGTGTGGCTGGGCGTGCAGCTGGCCAGCGACGACGCGCCACGCCACGCTACTCTCGCCTCCAGCCTCGCCTCCACTGCCGACAACTCGCTCGTGCTGGTGACTATACACACCTACACTACCACTACCAGCAGCACTGGCACTAGCTCGTGAGCGACACGTTTACTAAAGTGTTACATCACATCATGCAAACATCTCGTGAGACTATTTTAGCAGGTCACGAAGAAAAAATATATTACAATTTATATATGAAATCGTGTTACTAAAATTTCATCCCAACCATGAATGACGGTCCTCCACGTGCGTTTTTCAAGGCACTTTCTGCACAACCACGGAATCAACTCCAGCAACAGTATTTCCGAACCGATACGACAACATAACCTTCAAGAAAAGAGTCATTTAAATTAAATGAAGACCAAAAAATATATTATTTTCATTTAAATAACGTTTTTTTTTTGAGAATTTATTATTATATTCTTAATTGCATTTGTTAATTACATTGTTAATGCATTTAGAAATATTGTGAGCAAGGGTGGACTTAACTCTGAGAGAGATCTCTTCCAGTCAACCCAATGCAGTTAGAAAGCATGTTGTTAGCGGGTAGTTGAGTGCTACAACTATTAATATTTAGAGTACATAAACATATATACAGTTAAATAAAATATTAAGATACATAATAAAATATTACATAAATACATATACTATAAATAAATATTATACCTACCTACTTATACAATGGATGTTAAAATAAATTAATATACTACCTACAATAGAAATTTAGTTAAATGATTTTAAGGTTTGTCAGTTTAATTATAAAAATGAAAATTGTGTAGGGTACTAAAATACACATTTGCGAATTTTTAATTACTACTCCGAAAATTGTCCGGCATGCAATTCGGATTGTTTTATTGATAAAATTAAACCCTCTATAAAATACGAAAAATTATATTAATTCCTAGTTTTAAATCCAATTTTATTCCTATTATGTTAACAGGGAAATAAATCAGTCAGCAGTAGACCTCAGTCGATGTCTCTGATGAGTCAGTGCGGTGAGGAACAAACAGCCGGAGAATATAGTAAACACTATGTTACGCTCAAACAAATTGGTGAGTCAGAGACATAATAATTTCTTATTACCATCTATTTTTTTTATACTACTGTAGTAACAACAAGCATACGGCTCGTCTGGTGATGGTAAACATTCATTGTAGCATATGGACCTTTTAGCTTTAGGAAGGTCACGTACTTTACTGACCCAAACAGTGTTATTTATAATTTAAATGAAGTATATTATCTCTACTCTCCATTTTCTCATCCATTCTCCCTCTCTCTTCTTCCTCTCCTCTCACCCTCACCTCTCCTCTCACCCTTACCTCTCCTCTCCCCCTCACCTCTCCCCCTCACTTCTCCTCCTCGCCCCCTCACTTCTCTTTCTTTCTCTCTCCACTCTCCTCCTTCTCTATCTCTACTCCCCCCCTCTTCTCTCTCTCTACTCTCCTCCTCCCTCTCTTTCACCCTATAAACCAAAACAACTACCAAAGCTAACATGAATAGGATAATCGTCCTAAATCAGAAAATAACAATCTATTAATGATCAAAGGACGAAACATATAATTGTATGAAAATTTATCAAGCTTATTATGAATTTCTCTTTAACATCAGGTTATCTACGCGACTCCGCATATTACTAAGCACAACGTCCTGCCTAATGAGTAAAGATAGTTATTTACTTTGCAATTTAATAAAAGATGAATCTCTAAATTCAGGTAAAGGCGCATATGGGTGTGTCAAAATGGCGTATCGGCGTTCAGATAAGTTGCTAGCTGTCGCCAAGTTTATATTGAAGGAGAAAGTTGGCGCGCAGTTCTGGGTGGACGGGCCAGACGGTAGACGTCTCCCGCTCGAACTCAGCTTGTTGCTGACGTTGAAACATCCTAATATTGTAAGTTGGAAAAAAATTTTTGAGTTATTTATCGATTTTTCATTTAATTTAAACGATATTCTAAAGTAATAAGTAAATATTATAAAAGGAAAAGATTGAATTTTTTATTGGTAATGTATGAAATCAAAAGTACTTAAACCAAAGAGTACTTAACATGTCTTGTATTTTACTGCAATAAAAAACCTTGCGAAGACGAAGATCTAACTGCACCTTCTAGTTTATTTCCCTATTTTAAGTGATCTATCACTAGTAGTAAGTAAAATCTATTAATGTATTGCTATTGCCTTAATTCTAAATTAAAGAAATTTACCAGAGGGAGACTTTGTACAAAAGTCGCTAGCTTGGGTACCTCTGTCCCATTCGGGTTTCAACCGTGATGCAGTTGTGTTTGCATGGCTGTGTTTCGGTTTGAAGGGAAGATATGGCGTGAATTTACAGGGTACAGAGGAATAACACCTAAGTCCTCGGGAATGGCAGCGCATGGGGGGGTATCATGAGCGAAACAGTATACTCTGTTATGTCCATGGTACTGCTCATGTTTATAGGCCACGGTTACCACTTTCCATCAGGTGGGCCGTCAGCTTGTTTGCCATTATAGGTTGTATAAAAAAAAAGACACGACATCGCGCAAGAAAATTAAATCTGGTTTTTACAGTTATATTCCTAAAGTTCTATTTTAAAAGCTGATGTATGTTTTATCTTATTACGCCATCTAAAAGTAATCTATATCATTGCTTTTCGCTACTTCTGAAATCCCGCTACGAAATAGCGGGCAAAAGCTAACATTTAATAATAATAATAAGCAATTATAAAAAAAAAAAAAACTGTATTTTCTTCGCCATTTTTCGATGTGTGAATGATACTTTTTTATTTATTTGTGTAGGTGAGTGTGGTAGATGTCTTCGAAAATGACAAGTACTTCCAAATGGTGATGGAGAAGCACGGAGCTGGTATGGACCTCTTTGAGTTCATAGAACGACGGCCACGGCTCGACGAGCCACTGCTCTCGTATATATTTAGACAGGTTAGACTTTCAACTAATTTTCAATCATACTCAATGTGAAAGGTTCAAATTATAAATGATTTTTTATGTTGACTAATAGCGCTTGATGCAGTATTGAGTTTATAATCACTACACCCCTTACACTATTTCATAACTCTAAATATTGTACTTAACCAGTTTTCCCAAAATTTTCAAAAAAATATCTTTTTTAACAATTCTCAATATTTTTTATTGATTAGTGGCGGTTTAGTTTCATTTTAAATAAATCCTACAATAATATTCACTTGTAAAAATTTAGTAAGTTTTATCTCTCTTATAAATCTGAAAGTGGGTTTATTTGTTATCATATAGCGCCTTAACGGCTTAACGAATCACTATGAAATTTGATATACATATATGAATTGTACAAGTATATAGGCTACTTTTTATCCCAGTTAGTAAATAAATCTCGAGCACGCGGACGAAGTCGCGGGTAAAAGCTATAATGGTACTCACTAAATTAATGGACTAAGTTTATAACCTACTTAAAAGAAGTACTCATCCAATTAGTATCCCAAAAACACTATACGATAAAAAAACATGACTTCAGTTGTCACACATCTAAAAAACGTAGCAACCTTGCTTTAATTCGCTTAAGTATAGTACATAATCACCGTATGGTCCTTGCATATAATAGTATTACCCCACTACCCCTTCGTTTAGGCAACCCTTCCTTTCCCATGGGTGTCGTAAGAGGCTATTAAGGAAATTTAATGGTCGAAAGATGGACAGCAGCATCCCTGTTAAAAAGTCACTAAAACCTAACTAGGGTTGCCAACTCGCCTGTCAAGCGTGGCAACTGTTGGCAACACCCACCTTATGAGAAGGGAGCTATTTTCAACAGTGGACAGTAAACAGCTTATTTGATAATAGTACATAAACATCACATTTCATCTATCTTTTTTATGTTTCAGATAGGACAAGCGGTAGAATACCTACACTCGTTGAACATTCTACATCGCGATATAAAGGACGAAAACGTGATCATAGACAATAAGTTCCACGTAAAATTGATAGATTTCGGTTCCGCAACGTTTATGAGCAAGGACACACTGTTTTCCACATTCTATGGAACCACAGAGTATTGCAGTCCTGAAGTTTTGGCTGGAAACAAGTATGTAGTAATATATTTGTCGTTTCTGAAGTTATTTTAAAATAATAAATTCTCTTTATCCTAATTATCGTAGGCATATTTAAAAAGGTGGCCCTGCGAGTCGTGCCCACCACAAAATTATCTAGTGCCCAACCTAGGGTTCAAGCTTTTTTTACTATTGAAGGATCCTGCGATTGATCACGATCTCATCTGATGGAAAGTGATGATGTGCTATAAGATTGAGCTCGCGGGTCCACGAATAGCCTATTCACATTTACCTTTGAAAGCTGAGCTTTCAACTAACTACAAAAACGTCTGAGACTACATATATTTGCATTTTTTATGGAACCAGGTCCACTTTGGAAAACAATCTTAAATACTCCGAGTTTGTCTGTTTATGTATCTTCTTCCTTCTACAAGCTGTGTTATTTTCTCTTTTCTGAATCTTTAAATTTTTTTTCAATTTTAGATATGCTGGCCCAGAACTTGAAATGTGGTCGATGGGGATAACGCTATATGTGCTCACATTTTTTGTTAACCCATTCTCCGACATCGAGGACACCATACAAGGACCGTTGGCATTGCCACAACTTGTATCTGAAGGTATGTATAGAGTGTTTATACTAAATGTTTTATTTTTTTATGATTCCTAGAAGCGCAAACAAGTTTTCTGAAAACAATTCTCTTCCCAGCCATGTGTTTCATTTATAATCCTGCAGTATTTAAACGGTGTGAAGATGTCAGTCGCCAACACAGTATAAATTGCTGTGATGGTGACCCTCCTATTGTGACCATATTATCTGCTTACCATTATATGGGGTGTTGTCACATTGACTACCTTCTACAAGGTTAATAGCCTATCTGAAAGAAAGCGAAAACCGTCGTCTGTCCAACGTTTGAATTAATTAAGATAAATTCTCTGTTTCTGTGTACTGACAGAGGAAAAATACAATAGTTCAAAGTGAGAAAAACTCGAATTCCATTCAGTAGTTTTTTCGTGAAAGCGTAACAAATATATATTTATCCATCCTTACAAACTTTTGCATTTATAATATTAATCAAAGGATTGTATGATGACAATTTTAAATTTCCGTGTACATAAATTATATCGTCGCATATATAATATTATAAGCATCTATATAAATTGTATGCAGATTGCTTTTTCATTACGTTGTCATGATAAAACCGTACGGTACAGTAATTTATAAAAACGCTCAATGTGACCATCATATGTGAAGAGACCAAACAGTAGGATATTAAAACGTTATTATGGTATGTGATGGTATAGATCTGGAGCAACTCCTTCGTTGGATGCTGTGCAAGGAGCCGTCGCAGCGGTGTACGGTGTCGCAACTAATGGCGCACCCCTGGATCCGGCAGCCGGTCACCATCACCAACTACGTCTTCCACGAGATCGTCGACTGCGGTAACTAACGTATAAATTTATCAATCGCCTTTAAAAGCGTCACTAATAGAGATCACAAAAGATCGGTAATGGTGAAACCACCTTGTTGCAACGTAAACAGAGCTAATATTTGTTAAAAATAATATTTTCCATAGTTTACATCATACCTGCAAGTATAAGCTTTTTTTTATACAACTTAGAAGTGCAAGCAAGCTGACGGCCCACCTGATGGAAAGTGGTAACCGTCGCCTATAGACATGAGCAGTACCATGGACATAACAGAGTATACTGTTTCGCCCATGATACCCCCCATGCGTTGCCATTCCTGAGGACTCGGGTGTTATTCCTCTGTACCCAGTAAATTCACGCCATATCCCACCCTTCAAACCGAAACACAGCCATGCAAACAACTGCGTTACGGTTGAAACATGAATAAGACAGACGTACCCAAGCAATCGACTTTTGTACAAAGTCTCCCCCTGGTAAAGCTACTAAAATCACATTAAAAGCCGTCACGCAATCTAAATATCTTCTTTTTTTTTTCTATGTAATATTTTTGCAATAAATACGTATAATAGTAATTATTTATTTACAAATATTTATAATTATTATGTAGCTGATGTTGTGTACATTTTTAAATGGTTTGCATATACTATTATTTTTGTATTAAATGCTGTATTCAAATTTATTATAAATAACACTGTCGACCCTACCAATAACTAAAAAGTATTAATCCTAAAGTTACATGACATCGCCTAGTGCTGTGCATACTATGTTCCGCCGATGGTAAACCTCGTTAACAAAATTAATCCGAGAAACGGTACTCGGCTCGCTTGTTAGCCTATTTATTGAATATGAATAACATATTAATATTTAAATTTCAGATCGCCATGAAGCTAACCCTGAAATGTACTATAACGGTAGCCTAGGTTCACCTCGAAGTGGATCCCCAGCCTCCCTTGCTGATCCTCTTGCCAAAGGTAAGACAAGTGAAATTTCCATTTATAACGTATTATTACAAAAAGATATTTATATTCATATACCATAAATGTTATTTTCTCAGAGCTAACTATGATTAGTTAACCTTTCCAAAGCCCAATCTTTTCTGACCTCAAAAACCTTCTTTGGATTATTATGTACATACATTTAAAAATAGTTAACCAAATCGGTCCACCCTAGTAATGATGCGCTTTCCAAACAAAAACATTTAATTTTTATTTACAAAATCTACATAAATGTATAGATTAAGCATTCAGTCTTTACTAATAATAAGTAATTACATATCTATTGTAAACCTACACTAGTCACGTGTCCACTGTATGGTCTCGGCATAGAAAAGACCGCGCCTTTCTTTTCCGTGGGTGTCTAAGGAACTAAGGGAACTTAATGTTCGAAAGATAGACAGCAGCGTCCCTCTTAAAACATCACCAGAGCCAAACAGCTGATATGATGATCACATTAAATTTATCGTATTTGATTAAGGATTCAACTTTTTTATATATATTTTTTAATAAACCTTTTTCCGTTTGTAGTAATCAGTCAGTACATAACTACAAATTTTTATATTAAATACGAAATAAAATCAAAAAGCAACGCTTAGTGAGACTATAGGCATATTTAACCAGTACACACTCAAAATGCTCAATGTGGATATTTGTGTCATAACAGAGCGATCGAATCCGTCCGAGGTAGCGGCACGATCAGACGATAAGAACGTGTCGCGGTCCGACTTGAAGCGCGGTTCACAAGCGCTGCAGCCGCTAGCCGCCGATCGCGACGCGCACTCCGACAACTACAGTCTGCGCTCCTCCGCTGATGTATGCACACCGATATTTTATTGTCCACTGTACAAGTGATCACTGTGTTATTTAAGAGTTAGCACTACCTTTATATTGAAAAAATTAGAAAATTAACTTATACTACCATCTATGTATTATATAATATAATATGTATATGTTTATTATTAAAAATTATGCACCTACTTCGATTCTGTATCTTAAGTTTTCATTAACTTTTGCCATCAAAATCCGATTATTAATTCGCTATCGCACTTCGATGAGCATCTGTATGAATGGTTTTAAATTTTGAAAAATATAATTAGTATACGAAATCGAATTTCTATTTACAGATATTGGACATCTCCTCAAAGCCGGTATCTGAAGCGGCACTTACGGACATCAGTTCAGACGCGACCGGCCACGCCGCCTGCGACATCGACTATGACTGCGACCACTATGAGTGCGACAGCTGGGACGAGTGCGAGCAGGACAGCTTCTCATAGTTAGACAAGGATGACTAAAGCTAGATGTTGGAAATTGTCTGAAATGACGATTATAAATGAACTTGTAACTTACAGTGACGTGATTACTATCTTAAAAATTAAATTATAATTTTATTACTTTATTAATAGAATGTGGAAGCATACTACTAGGGTTTACACTGGGCTAAGACCGTTTGAGAGACAATTATCTCCACTTATAGTTAAGTTTATTATATAGTTACCTTATCTTATAAATAAATGTCATTTCCAGAGATATAAGGTTAAACAATGTTCAGGCTCTGTTCTCTCTGCCTTCCACATAGATGGCCTGGACCCAGTGTAATAAAAAAAAAAAACAAAATGTTTATTTTCATTAATTTTAGTTATTTTTTTTTTATGCTTATAAAAGTTCGCAGTGAAAGTACAATTGCTACTGCGCTCTTATTGTAAAATAGTATTAGTATTTAATGTTTTACTAATTTTTAAATAAAGTGGGTAAGTGTACAATTTGGAATGTTCAAAAATAATCATAAGGTTTTGCTTACCATGATAATTTCTATAAAATTTGTTTCATATTTTCTTAAAATAATTTTCGACAATTCTGAGGCGACATTTTTCTAAATCTCTCTCTAAAATTAAAATTTCAATATGATATCACAGCGAAATATTTATTGTAAGGACCAATATGAACAAACTTTTTAATAGTTTTAAGTCAAATTTTAGTTTATGATGGTCCATAAAACAGTATTTTGCCGAAATAATCAAATTAAAATGTTAGGTCAAGAGATAAGTTTAGGAAAAATGGTACCTCAGAATCGGTCTTAATGTCTGCTAATTATTTACTTATTCATATTGAGTTTTAAAAACGTGGCCATTTCACCAGAATGTAGGTTTCATAAAAAAAATGAAAATTACAAATTTAGTTATATTTAATTACTGTTACAATTAATGTCCTTGATTTCATTTAATTGTTAGGTAACTGTTTACTATTAAGTGATTTAGAATTATAACTTTAAAATTTCTACTAATAGGTAACTTCTAAGATTGTTTTGCATCATAGATCTCAAAAAGGCATGTGACATAAACATGGAATTTATTTAAAAAAAAAAATGCCAAAATGCACACACATATTTGATTATTCTTATTGTAGTCTAGACTACGTCTCTAATGTAAGTTCTGGATTTATTATAGTCAAAGAGAGATTTCAAAAAAATTGCTGACTAAACAGTATTATGTTATTTTTGTATGGAAACTGTTCCAAAATAAATTATCCATTTGCATGTACAGTGCAATGCAGTTGTATACAAGACTAGAAAATGACCAAACTTAGATTGTAGAGAGTAGGTTGTAATTAGAATTTATTAATTGTTTGGCGTCTATTGTCTAAAATTTAAATTATATTACAGTATTATTATTTTTAACACCATGTAGGGTAGTATAGGCACTTTTTCTATGAACTTCATGATGCCATTCGAAAACTAATCATTTTTTCAATAAAAATATTTATTCAAAAAGCTCCAACACATATCATCGTTAACTCGCATTAGAAATATATTAAATGGTTGTCAACAATATATTACATTATATAACCAGTTAAAATTATGCATTTATTTCTAAATCCAGACTATGAAGTTTTTTTCTACATTACATCAATCATCCGATATCTAGGTATACGAGTATACTGGTTAATTCGTTCCGAAATTGTTGTGACGTTATTTAAGTAACTATATCCTTATTTTATACTAACACGCATTTTCTATCTTTTTAAAACTACTAAGTTACAGAAGTTATTTTGATCATCTAAATGTTCATTGCCATTACTAGGAGAGTTTTTCACTTATTTTTCACATGGCAATAATTTTTCGGAAAAAAAATTTACATCTTTTTTTAGGAGAAACATGCAGAGTGCATCTTATTCTTATCCGCAATCTCAGCAAATTGAATACTCTAAGATTTCAAACAACAAAAACTAGTGCTGATAACCATTTTAGCCTTGTTTTTTTTCCTAAAAAGTGTATATCGAAAAATGTATTGAACTACTCTGGTATAGATTTTATCCAAATATCAATACAAGTATACCTATTCCAATTTGATGCGAAACTAACATATAAAGCGTATGTACAACCTTTATGTAAACTTATTGAAATCAGGAAACACCCATGGAAATCTCTAGATTTTTGTTCTACGACAATTTAAAATAATACCGATAATAAACATTATATTGATAACAGTAATAAAAACAAGTAATTGAAATATTACTATGAATACTGAATTGGTCTTCTAACGTTTAAAATTTCTTCCAATTGAAAATAACAAAAATAAATCTTTGGATATACGAGAATAAGCGATGCCGAAGTTCTTTACCCAATGATTAAATAATTATTATTTATTATTATTTTAATAATGATGGTATATATATGACGAAAACGGTTTATTAACAAAAGGAAGAGTATTGTTATTTTGTTCTTTTTATGGCATTGAAATTTCTACTGAAAAATCTTTATTATTAAAATATTACTTAGTCGTCTCATAAATATTTAGATTGGTTAGACATAGTTTAAGTATCGGTACGGCTATGAAGGTTTTTTCGGATGAAATTAGCTTATGTGTGTAAACTAAGATGTAATGTAAATTCTCATAATTATTTCTATCATTTCAATAAAGTATTCCAGTTTTATAAGCCATCACACACATACATATATACACACACAAGCACTAATATCTTATGACTAAAATTACAAGAAATCAGTATTAAAACAATAACTAGATACTCGTTATTTCATAAAATCTATATACCAAACGAACCAAAATTTATTTATTAGCTTTAAAACAACATTGTAAATATTATGAAGCAAATTAGAACATATCTATATTGGGTTCATATTGATCAATGTTATATTCTGCTGATATGAAGTACATGGTGTTGTGTTGGACATATAATTTACTAGTCGTGTCCTGCGAGTTTGCCTACATGAATTAGAACAAAAAATCTATAATGTAATGATTGATGTAGTATATTCTGTGACCTTTAAACATGAGGATTAAGCACAGTACATATGGCGGACTTAACACCAGACGGTGTTCTTTACTGTTGTTTTCCATGGAGCTTTTCATTTATACAGGTGACAATTACCGCTTTCGGTCAGTTGAACGATCACTTGTTTACTATTCTATAAAAAGAAAACAAAACTTGACGCAATATAAATAAATTACATTTTAAACATTATTTTTTCGAACAGTAAATACTAAGTAGTGTGAGTTCGTTCCACTCTAGCGCAGTTCAAAATATATGTCGAACTCTTCACGTTGTGTACTTCCTCTTGTTGATGAACATGAATGAAAATTACATATATTTTTGTAGTTTTTCCATTATATGTTACTTGGTCGTAGTAATATTGTTTGTTATAATAGATTTAAAAGTGTAATGCGTCCGTTTCTCAACTAGTGCCTTACAGCGGACGGCGGGTTACGTTGCTCATGTAGGACGCTATGACGATTCATCCTAAATAAATGACACTAATTCCCATGATGTGTGTTTAATTTATATAAAACTAAACTTTACTCGTAACTTTGTCTTGACCAGGATAAGATTCTTTTTCCATACCAAAAACAAACATCTATAATACAAGTATGACAAATCTCGCGATTGGTAAACCGTAAATCCATCGAAAGGTATGGGAATGTAAATCATGTATTTTTGTGTATATAATTATTTCCCATGTCTTCGTGTTGTGCTCTAAAAAATCTCCAATGCAACAAAACTACTATATTCCGATGTTTATTCCAATATTCGTGTAAAAGTAGTAAAGAATTCTACTAAAATAAATATTCCACGTGTAATGGCAACAACTTTCGAAGATGTCAATTTGTATGGCGGTGCGTCCCTTTTTTGCCAATCATTGTCGTATATCTGCAAATATATCAATATTTACAATCAAACAAGTCACATTAAAAGCTTGTGCCAATAGAATAACAAACGTACCCCTGATTAAAAAGGAATTGGTAAGATATTGTTCTGTTTACACCATCAATTTCATAACCAGTATGTACTTGTTAGGTTCTCATAAATGGTTGAACCAATTTAAATTTACGCTTGTAAATCAGTCAATTACCCTATTAGTATCCCGTGTCATGCTACTGAATGTTGTAGTATTCCATTGGGTGTTGTAGGTTGTAGAGATTGTTTATCACGTTTATCACATAACCTTGTTTGTTGACTGTTGGTCATATTGACAGGTAAGTAATTCAAAATTTTGAATTTATCATATAAAAATGTTTGTTCCTTTAAACACTTGTAAATATATCTGTATTCTATACCATATATTTGTATTTTTTATTTCATATTAACCAATTTCATAATAACGAAAAAATCTTGTTATAAAACAATGGCTTGTTAATATATGGTTACTTAAATATTCAGAATTATTGATTTTAATCTCACAGTTGATATTTATACTATCATGAAAAATTTATTTGAAAACATGTTGAACTGATATGAAATAATATAAATACTTCACAGTATTTAATTGTTATTATTTTTTTAATCCATTGATTTTGACATTCTCAAATTATCTCTATATTTCAACAAAATGTAATGAAAATGTTTACAAACAAATAACTAAACTAACTATAAGACAGCCTGCTGATGTCCAATAGTGTTTGTTGCATTAACCGTTAATATTCACTGCTGAACATAGGCTTGCAAAACAAAAATTCATTAATTGAATGTTTTGATTCATTATGAGTTTCTTTAGAGGCTTTTTTCTGTCATACATTCACCAAAACTTGGTTACCTTTTCATTAGGTTTTAATGAGACAGACTAATAACTTTCTAATATTACAAATGGGAAAGTTAATTTGTTTGTTATCTTATAATGCTTTAAAGGCTTAATTAATTAGTCTGGATTTATATGGAAGAAGGATATAGGCTATTTTTTATCCCAGAGATGTTGATAAAATCCTAGATAGAAGCTTATAATATTATAATTGTAGCTGTTTGTAATGGTATTTATATGTTTACTCAACCATTTTTAATCTGTTTTTCTTATGCAACTTAGAATGGCAAACAAGCTGACCACACATGTGACGGAAAAGCTGAATGGTTTTTAAGGTAATTTAGTACTCAGTTAGATTATATTATATACCAGTTGCAGTTGGGTGAAGCCAACGGAGACTGCTATTATTCAAATACATATTTCCATTACTGATGATAATGAGTAATGATTTGCACAATTTTGGTAATATCTTTTAAAAATCTAGAGAGGCTATGACCTTGGCTATGCTGCCTTTGTATAATGCATTGGAAGATTATATATAAATAATATTAATTAATTATGACTTTGATTTGGGGAGTTCAAATGTTATCTTAACTTTTATTGTAGGTTTCTATTAGTGATGTACCCACTGTCCATATTTATATATGCAGATATATATGTATGTGTATATATATATATATATATATATATATATATATATATTTTTTTTTTTTTAATGATCCAACACATCATTAGTTTCTATATACTTTTGGTAGGTTTAGTTGTTGGTCAATTGGGATTTACTTACATTACTGGATATGATGGAAGTGGGGTTTGCTTTTTAACTTCCCTTGTAAAAAAATACCTCAAATAAATATTTTATTGCAGTACAACATTGAAAGTATGCATGCAATTGTAACTATAATCTGCTTTTCTTTGGAGTAATTGGTGACTAATTTAAGTATATCTTTATTAAATTAGCAGTGCATAAAATATTGAAAAATTTAGTTTTTAAATTTCTTTTATATATTTTACTAGTATAATAAAATTGTTACTAGACAATGTCTGTATATGAGAGATATTTAAGAAAAATTAACATGAGGGATCTTAATAACAGTAATAGAAACCCAGAAAAATTTTTTTTAGAAATTTTGTGTCTGTGTGTTTGCATATTTGTTTTGGCATTATGCAAAAACTGCAGCATCAAACTAAATGCAATTTTCACAGTTATATTCCTGTAGGTCTAATTTAAAAGCTGATCTATGTTTTATCATGATACACCTATTTGGTGGCCTGTTTGATAAATTTTCCCTTTTCTGTGTATGTGTGTAAAATGTGGATTTCATCCACACATACAAGTAGTGAGCAAAAAAGTTTTTTTTAAGCAACTTAAATTGACAGACAAACTGACGGACTACCTGATGGAAAGTGGTAACCGTCTCCTATAGATTATATTATATTATTCAGTAATATTATTTTTTTCTTATTATTAAATGAATAAATTTGATAAAAATACATGCTAATATTTTTTTCTTCTGATTCTACTAAGAGTAACTGTAAACATACAATAGCTATGTGTATTTTTAACTTGTAAGTGGCAATGACAAGATGCAGTCAATAGGTCAGTAATCATTAATTTTATATGCCATTGTGTTATACACAGTCATCAATTACAATCAAATAACCAATAATATTTGAATATACTTTTGATTCTAAGTAAATTTTCTAGTGCTATTTATAATTTATCTAAATTGTTTACTTGGCTATGGTGAAGGGTGGGATATAGCAGTAAAATTACAGGATACATAAGTGTAACACCTTAATCTTCAAAAATAACAATGCATAAAGGGAATCGGAGGCGGCACAGTATATTATAGTTTTATTAGAACTTGATGAAAAGTAACTGTCGCCTATAGACATGAGCAGTACCATGGACATAACAGAATATACTATTTCGCCCATGATACCCCCCATGCGTTGCCATTCCTGAGGACTCAGATGTTATTTCATCATCATCATCACATCAGTTGTTAATTGTCCAGTCCTGAACACAGGCCTCCCCCATAAAAGAGGTTTTACTTGAACCATGTATATGGTAAAATTGCATAGTATATTATAGGTATAAACAATTTGTATTAGTTCAATTATAATTTTATAGAGCGTTTTAGAATCGATCCTAATGCTTACAGATATTGTATGATTAACTATGAAGTTTATCATGAATGCTTCATATTCATTTCTTAAAACAGGGTGGGGTAAGAGAAGCGGTCATTCATGCAGAGATAACAAACTGTGACACTTCAATATATTTTGTAATGACGCGCTATGTTTTTTTTTAATGAATATGGAATGGTAACTGTCCAGGTTTTTTTATTGGATGATAATGGATTTTTTTATAGGTGATAATGAAATAGTAACCCCACCCGCGCTATCGGTATACACCGCCGGGGCACTAGTGACGGATGATACATGAGGCTGAAACAGGTCAGTTAGCCCATCGTGTGAATTGTCACGATGGTTTCCAAGGGGAACCACGTGGAGGTTGAACTGATAGGGCATATTGCTAGCAATAGGGCTGTCATATATCGAAATCATATATATATATATATATATATATACATTACAATATATATATACAATATATATATCAATATATATAATATGAAGCTTTAGTGTATGTACTAGCATTATGGCCAATATTTTTTTAAATTTTTTTGGTCATATTAGACAGACGCCTTTTTATGCACATTTGTGTGGCCATAAAAAAGCGTCTTATCCTTTTATTGTATAAAGTCAGGAGATTCACAACTTTTGATTAAACTCTGTATAAGTATAATAATGTAATTTACTACAATTTTATGTTATCCAACCCTGACATCACGTTATTACGCGTAAAAACTGGATGATTTCGGATGATGATGATTCTTGAAATAATCTACGTACAGTTATAATTTAGCGGATGTCCTCGTTTAGTCATGCTTTAAGTAGTCGAGTATTACGCGTTATTTAGATTTTTCTTATATTTTCCGTGCAGAGTTGTATGAATACAACTGGAAAATGTTTTTTCCCATTTTTTTTATGAAAAAAGAAAATAAGTTGAGTCTCCCATGCTTACAGCTGAATGCATCATCTTAGTAGGCTGAATATGTCGATTATTAACCCATGTTCATTTCATTGTTACAACACTTGCTTAAAATGATGCTTATGATTTCTTGTATAATCGAGGGATATTTGAAATTAGTATTGCTACCCGCATGCCTTAGCTGAGATAAATTGGCCGCTTTCCATACAAACGTGACTGGTTCAATTTCAAATATTTTTTTTCCTCATTCGATATACATTAATATCTTTTTTTATATGAGTAATAAATTGGTGTTATTTGTTTTTCTCTTCGAATTTTCGAAATCAACTGTAATCTTGTCTAATTATCATCCTAATTATTACCCTTACCCCAATTATTATTTTGGCCCAATGTGATATGTTTTTCTCTTCCATTCTTCTCTTTTGGCAGTAATTTCCTTGTTCACTCTAATTCTGGCCGTATCATCTTTCACGCAATCCATCTATGTCTTTATAGGTCTTCCTCTGCCATTATAGCTTAATAATTAACTTGCTTAATATGACTACAGTATTGTGAAAAAAAAAATACCAGTATTTACTATTAAATATAAAAATCATGTGTGATAATTGTAACTAGATAAGCGATGCTGATGATTTATTTTATCATATCTGTTGTGTACTCATTGAGATTTACTATAATAAAATTACCTGTTTACTCGTAGTCTACTCCTAGTCTCCCGACGCTATCATCACGTTTCGGTAAGTAATTTCGTCACGTCACTTTTTGTGTAATGTAACACTGTAGTTTTACTGAAAGATAAAGTTTGCATATATTTATATTTATTTTAATAATTTATTTATTACAACTTAGTCTTTTTTTTTTGTTATTACTTGTATATAAAAACTATGTTAGTATTTAATTACTAATAATGATCTAGTTCTCTTTCTTTCGTTCTTGCATTCGCACCAGAGGACTATCCAATTTATTTGCCACTGTTTTTACAAAATTGTTATACCATTTTTAAATTGGTTTCTTTACTTATAAAGTTATAATAAAATGTAATATTGTATGTAAAAACAAAAAAGATGTTAACTTTTATTTGTTAGTTAAAGTATGCCTATCTGTTTGAAATGAAATTTTAATTGCTTATTTTTTAATCCTCTCTATAAATTTTACAATTTAAACTAATCATAATTAGATTTTTGTATAATAGTGATAATTTATTTAGCTTGAAGTTTTTGTAGTCATAAACTTCTTGCATCAAATCAGTGTTTGTATTTAAGAAAAAGATTTCTAGTTTTATGTTTGTTGTTGTTTTTTTTTTTTAATTATTGTAATAAAAATCTGAGCGAAGGTCGCGTAAATGATAAGTAGAACTGAGTAGAAAATCACTCTCTATCCTTGTTGCTCAAGCACTCGTCTGTCTGTATCCATCTGAGTTTCTCATTATACATATATAAATCCGGCATTTCATCATCATCATCTGAGCCATTATCCGTCCACTATTAAACAGGCCTCTCCCATAGACTGCCATCAAGAACGATAAATCTGGAACTTATTTATTATTAATATATATATGTATGTATATATATATATATATATATATATATATATATATATATGTCATTTGACTATTATACTTATATATATTTATAATTATTTTCCTTAACGTTTAAATCTGTTAATTTTCTTAATTATACATTACCTACTTGTACAACAATTAGTCCATTACCCTAAGGTTGTCTTGAAAAGATTGCTCTCAGCAATAAGACCGCCTTACTGTACTTATACAATTGTATCGTTATATTTATTAATTGTGTTGTTTTCCCCCTATATTGTATAATGTAAATAAAGTATACCCACTCATTCATTCAACTTATTATTATATAAAATCTCCAATAAAATGAAAATGACTATAACATGATACGGATCGTAATAGCGCATCAATATTTGGTCTATGCGCCGAAAAAAAAAAACGAATCTATCATATATTGGCAGATGTAAATAAAAACAACATTTCACACCTGAAATGTCTGTTGAATTTTCACCTGGATGTGTTATGACAGACTGTTCGTGCAACTACCCGGTTTGTTGCTTTCAAACGTGCTTTATAAATGGATATTGTACTACGGGCGTGCCAGTTTATGTCTGTTGACTCTGGGCGTAGGTCCGCGATGGAATTACTTAAGTGTGCGTGGTTACTTTCAGTGTGTGTGTTGTTACAGTGCGCCTGCGCATCGACGTCTTTCGCCCCCACTATCATGACGTTCGAATACCCGGAGGCGCGAAGAGATGAAACCGTCGTCGACGACTACCACGGAACAAAGGTACGTTACTGATATGCATACAATTTACTACTAACTTTTTACCCGCGACTTCGTACGCGTGGTTACAGTAATAAGAAAACATATGAAATAAAATACTTCTAGATGACCTATCAAGTTGAAGTACATAACAAATTTTAAATTAAACCTTCATGAACACGACTGTTAAAACCGCATCCAATTTAGTGTAGTCGTTTTTGTATAATAGTGGAACAAACAGACAGGCAGACAAAATTTTTATAATATCTTCTTAAAATCTCTCGTATTAATTTTTCTTGAATATCTTCTATGTACAAACATCGTCAATTTTATTCTATTAGTAAGATGATATTACAAATAGCTATGTATATGTATATTTACAATAACTCTGTATATGTACTCGTAGATATCTACAACAATTGTGTATCGTGTATCTCTGCACATTCTAGATTGGCTATTTATAAGAAAAATAAGGAGAATATCTATAGTATTAAGTCCGCTTTTTGACCACATTTTATAGGTCAATGAAGTTTACATAAATAAATGAATAAAATTAGGCCTAAACGCGATCGATTTCACTTTTGGCTGATGTAACGGTATAATTAGAAAGAGGCTACTAATGCATCTACGTGGGTAGCTCTGTCTCGCTTGGCGGGCAAAATTACCGCTTAATTTAGCTATGCGAATGGCTGTGTTTATATTTGAAGGGTGAGAATTAGTAGTGAAATGACTGAGTACTGTACGACTGAGTATGAACGGTAATAGTCAGACGAAGTTTGACTGCGTTTCAGGATCTAAAAAACAAATATCAACCTAAATCCTTTGAATATTTTAATTATATGTTTGGATCTTAAAAATGATTGTTACTTTATGCTTTGGAGAGCATGTGACGTCGTCACCCAGTACGCCAAACAAAAACCAAAAAAAAATCGTTTATAAAAAATACGGCTGAGAATCTTGTCGCTAGAAGGCGACACCATCATACGAATAGTTTTTGCTAGATGATAATGGAATAGTATCCTCTCGAAATAGCCTTCGTTATCGGTATACGCTGGAGAAGTATCAGCGAGTAGTGATAGGTGAGGATGAAAGCAGGTGTTAGTCCATTGTGACGGATTCGACAAGAATTAATCACAATAGTTTCCAGGAGGAACTGTGTGGAGGTCCAACTGGATCCTGACTTGATGGGATGTTAATCCCCATTCCTAGCAACGTATATTGCCGGGATTTGAGCTTAACATCCCCTTTACTGACATTCCCTCTCCTCCCACTAGTAGTAGTAGTATTGGATACTGTGACACAAGATTTTTGTCCAATTGTTCATTAGCACGCAAGTGATATCACTACAGCTCTACTGTCTATAGGCATCTATAAGCTGCTATGTTTGCCATCAGACAGTAATATGCTTGTTTGCCGTCTTAGTGGTATAAAAACATAATTTATATCATTAAAGACACTGTTCCCTTATGTCTCTGGACCATAACTGGTTAGTGTTGTTGACCCAAATAATTTACTTTTACTGATACTAAAGAAACTATTTGAATACGTATTGTATTGTACTAAAATAAAATTTTATTTATTATACCCAGTGTTTTTATCAATTTATTTCTCACGAAATTGTAATAATTTATTTTAAAAAATCAGTTTCACTTTAGTTATGGTGAATTATTCTTATCACAAATATTACTTTTTATTAGATTATATTGTTATTATATATTGTACTATTTGATATTTTAGGTTTTTTTTTTAATGAGTGTAAATGGTGTGGTAACCCCGCCTGCGCTAACGGGATACCCTGGCGGAGCACCAGTGAAGGGTGATAGATGAGAATGAAAACAGGCCAGTTAGCCCATCATGATGAATTTATCAGGAATTAACCATGATAGTTTCCAGGGGGAACCGCGAGGAGGTCGACCTGGTTGGGTATATTGCTACCAATGGGATTCTCAGTCTCCATTACTAACAATACCTTTCCCCCTCTGATATTTTAGGTTAGTATATGAAATATGCTAATTCTATATAATTGAATTGAAGCGACTGAACGTGTTTTTGTGTACTAAATTAAAATTCGAATGAATAAATTATGACTACCAAATTACTTTGAGAACTTTGTTTTTTTTTTAAAGCAACGAAAGTAAACAACTTGGTTTATAATATTAATTTCGTATTCATTGTAGTTCATTATTATTCAAGATATTGAATACAGAGCCTATTTAATGTAATGTCTATGTCAGTCTCCTTGTCCAAAAATAAAATGCTGTTCTAAGCGTTCTTTTATCATTTGAGAACAGCTGGACACATTTAGATTTATATATATATATATATATATATATATATATATATATATATATATATATATATATATATATATATATATATATATATATATATTTTCAACTTAGAATGGCAAACAAGCTGACTTAGAATGGCAAACAAGCTGACGGCCCACCTGATGGAACCGCCGTGGTAACCGTCGCCTATAGACATGAGCAGTACCATGGACATAACAGAGTATACTGTTTCGCCCATGATATCCGCCATGCGTTGCCATTCCTGAGGACTCAGATGTTATTCCTCTGTACCCAGTAATACGAATGTTACAAATCATCATTCTGGAGGAAGTAAAATAGACAACTTTTGTAAACAGTAAAGATGTATATTGCTGCTAAAAGAATAATAATAGAAAAACAAGTCTTGATTAATAGTATAATTGTAAAAATGAGTTTGTTTGTTACATTATAGCGACTTAACGGCTTAACCAATCACTATAAAATTTGGTATTTACGTACGTTGGAGATGGGATATATGCTATTTTTTATCCCGGTCAGTAAACATATCCCGGTCATACGGAATAAGTTGCGTTTATAAACTAGTAATAAACAAATACCTCTGTACATATCGCACAGCGCCATCTAGTTTCAAACTAAGCAGGGCTTACACTATGGTTAATAGACAACTGTTAGAAACACTTTTTTTTTTTGTAAATACATAGATATTACCTATACCCCTTAAAAGGTAAGGCTGTCGACCGTGATCTCTGAGAAATAGGTATTTTATATGGTAAAACCAATAGCTCATTTCGTATTCAAATACAAAGAGATTTTATTATAAGATACATTGCAAAGATATACGCTTATAACTATGTTAGTTGTTAATTTATATTCTAAATGGTGTCACGATCACCTTATTATTCCAGTCTCGAGTCGCTGTTGTGGTACAAGGCTGCATTGACCCTACTCAATGTTACCATATTGTTTTTTTTTTTTATATACTTTTTTTATTGCTCCACAATTGAGTTATTTGTTTTGCTGTGTAAAAGGTGGATTAGAAAATAAATTCCAAACGTGTTTTAATTTAAATCAAACGTTGATCGTAAGATCTTCCCACGGTTGCGCATGCCCATGTTCTATCCCCGTACTTTCAACGACTCTATACTGGAAATGTGAATTACCAGTATAGAGTCGTTGAACGGCGATAGATTTGTTTTTTTCATTTAATTAGAATATCAATAAAAATATATGCTACAAACATAAAACGGCAAAACAAAAACCCGTTTGGGGTTTATCCGTCACTATCGGAATACATTTTCTCACATAGTCGCTTATTTGATAAATAGTGGGACTTTAGTTTTTTAGTTTTTATTTTCGGCTAAGGTATCTGTTTTACTCAGAATCTGCTGAATAAAACATATTATAAAAGAATTTAGGGAATTAATTATATTATATTAATATTTTAGTCCAAAATCAACAGCTGATCGCGCTGTATCAGAGCTAACGTTTTTAATTTCAGCATGTATAAGTGTTTAAAAAAATAGGTTTTACAAGTTGTACCCATAGTACAAACATGAGATTTATCTATTCTTATTGTGATATAAATAATAGCTTATTGCGTAGTTGTCAATATATACATCAAATATATATAAAAAATTCATAAGGATTAAAAATTTTATTTTTCTTTTGCAGAAATTAGAGAGGCTAAAAATAATTACCTGAAGTTATATTTTTAAAATTGACATTTGTCTGTCTGTTATTACGTTAGCGTTATCACGAGAAAATGACATTTAATTTCAATGAAATTTTAGAATTGAACGAGCGAATCATGTGGTAATGCAATACATATAGAAATTTCTTAGAAACTATCAAGTTCTTAGTTAATACGAGTAATAATCTCTTTGATAATACGGTCTATTCTAAGATGCTATTTCTCTAAACCTATCTTTAAAATTATTCTTTAATCTTTAAAAGTAAAACTTCAAATTAATATTACAGCAATATCTTTATTCCAAATGGTAGTATCATATAACTACATAGTGTTTTCCTAAATTATTGGGAAAAACACAAGACACTGTAGACTATACAATACGGAGCAGGCCATAAATAAACTTCTACAGGAGCCTTAAAAATAAAAATAATTTTATTAATCTAACGTCTGAAAATAATTTTATTAATGTAACGTCTGAAGAGAATAAATTTAATGTTTTTATTATATTATTTTTATAATTTTGTTGTAGTATCTAACGAATATAAGTACAAAAAGTATATTTGATGTTTTTATTGTATCTTTTCTTATATACGACTTTTATTGTATACGACTCAAAATGGTAAACAAGCTAGCGGCACACCTAATAGAACTAACTAAACTGATAGAAATAAATTCGATGTCCGCACAATAAATATTTGCATTTGAAAGTATGTCTATTCGTATTAATCTGAATGTTTTCTGTTTATAATTCGTATAAGACAAAAAAGGTATCTATATTTTTTTATACCACTGAGGTAGCAAACAAGCATACGGCCCACCTGATGGTAAGTGGTTATCGTAGCCTATGAACACCTGCAATACTCTGGTATTTTTTTTAATAGATGTTAATGGAATGGTAACCCCACCCGCGCTATCGCTATACACCGGCGGAGCACCAATGAAGAATAATAGATGAGGATGAAGTAGGTCAGTTAGCCCATCGTGACGAATTCAACAAGAATTGTTCACGATGGTTTCCAAGGGGAACCACGTGGAGGTCGACCTAATAAGGCATATTGCTAGCAATGGGGCTGTCAAACTCCATTGCTAACAATCCTTTTCCCCCCAATACTCTGGTATTAGTGATAGTATATTATGCGTGCGTTGCCGACCCTGAAATCTCTATCACTTGTATGATACCTTCATTTTGCACAAGCTGTGCTTAGTTTAGAACTAGATGGTGTGTAACATATTCTGTGATACTTATTCTTTACAGATAAAAGATCCATACCGCTGGCTAGAAGATCCAGACTCCAACGAGACCAAAGAGTTCATAGAGGCAGAAAACAAAATAACCCGACCCTACCTGGACTCGTGCCCAGTAAAGACGGACATACACGAGCGACTGACAGAACTGTGGAACTACCCCAAATACTCTTGTCCGTTCAGGAAGGGCAACAGATACTTCTTCTTCAAGAACACCGGACTCCAGAACCAGAAGTGAGTGTTCTATTGATGCAAATATAGTTTGTCGTTGTACGGAGATAAAATGGAATTATAATTTTTTTTTTAGTGGATGAAAATGGTATGATAACCCCGCCTGCGCTAACAGGATACGCTGGCGGAGCACCAGTAAAGGGTGATAGATGAGAATGAAAACAAGCCAGTTGGCCCATCATGATGAATTCATCAGGAATTAACCATGATAGTTTCCAGGGGAAACCACGAGGAGGTCGACCTAGTTGGGTATATTGCTAGCAATGGGATTTTTAGCCTCCATTACTAACAATCCCTTTCCCCCAGTACTATAATATTGTATGACTAACTTTTTACCCGCTAGTTCATACTTGCGGATTTCAGAACTATAAAAACCATTCACTAATTCTAGATGGCGTGTCAAAAAAAAACATACACAAGTTTTAAAGTTAGACAAGAACCCTCTTATTAGAATTTTATTATAAATATCCGCAAATGTTACACAAATTCAAATTTATCATCAGGACAGGCAGTAGTAAAATAAGATACGGTGAAAATTGTAAGGATGCGGATGCAGGTGGCTGCTTTCACCGTTCCTTATGGCAGTCTATGAGGGTGGGCTGTGTTCATCAGTGGACAGATAACGGCTGAGATGATGATGATGTGAATACTAACATTATATAGTATTATCTGTATTATTATATAGTATTACCACTTATTTGTAAGTGCGTTTTATTTTCTTTTTTTTTTTTTTAAGAAATATTTTTGTATGTTGCAATATGTAACATTATTTGAGAGAGCTATTTTATATGGCGTTTTCAATTCTAGCGTACTATACGTACAAGACAGTCTCGACGGTGAGCCGCGTGTGTTTCTCGACCCTAACACATTATCAGAGGATGGCACGATCGCCCTCTCAGGCAGCAGGTTCACGGACGATGGTGCCATCTTCGCGTACGGATTGTCAGCTAGTGGCTCCGATTGGATCAGCATACACTTGAAGGATGTGGCCACAGGTGAGAGATTTGATTTTGGTCTTTATATCGTGTACTTTCCGCGTGGTCCCGGCATAGAATAGGCTACCCCTTTCTTTCCCGTAAGTGTCATAAGAAACGACTAAGGAAAGACGAGGGATAGGCAGCAGCATCCCTCTTAAAATATCCCCAAAGCCTGCGATTGCTAATCATCTTGTCAAGGGTGGCAACTACTGGAAAAATCCCCCAAGGTGGAAGGTTATGCTCAACAGTGGACAGTTAAGGGCTGATATGATGATGATATCGTGGATGCAGGTTGATATGTTATTTAGGTTTTTTTTTTATACAACTTAGAATGGCAAACAAGCTGACGGTCCACCTGATGGAAAGTGGTAAACGTCGCCTATAGACATGAGCATTACCATGGACATAACAGAATATACTGTTTCGCTCATGATACCCCCCATGCGTTGCCATTCCTGAGAACTCAGGTGTTATTTCTCTGTACCCAGTAAATTCACGGTTTCTTATAAATATTGCCTACCACGCTGTATGCACTTATATATTACCTTACAACTTGTTATAATACATATAGTCTGCATTGAAGCTGTTAAATGTTTTATATTAAATCTTGTCTTAAGCGTCTAATAAATAAATAAATATGGAAATTATTACTGTTATTATAAAGGAGTGTTCGATCAGTCATACTGAAATTTTTTTCCAAAGAATGATGAATAGAAAAACAAAAAAAAATTCATACTAACTTGATACATAGAGACGCCGTATCAATACGGAGCATAAGAGATAGGAAAGAAGATCGGAGTACTATAGTCACTTTCAATAGAACTTAATAAAAATGTATACAAACGAATAATTGACCCGATCAAAAAGGAAAACTTAGTAAAGGCTTCTGATTAGGCACCTCTGTCCCATTCGTGTTTTACCCGTGAAGCAGTTGTATTTGCATGGCTGTGTTTCGGTTTGAAACATGGGATATGGTAATGAAATTACCATAGCCAGGATACAAAATCATAACATCTTAATCCTAATGAATGGCAACGCATGAGGGGTATCATAAGCGATACAGTATAACACTCTATTATGTCCATATTACTGTTCATGTCTATAAGCGACGGTTACCATTTTCTATCGGATAAGCCGACCGTTTGTTTACCATTCTAAGTTATATAAAAAATATCCAAAAGGCAGCTTTCTGATATCCAGTAATAATACAAATAAAAACCAATTAATATAGAATGTTTTGATTCGATACTAGTTCCATTTTTGCCATATAGTCCCGGCATAGAATAGGCCACCCATTCCTTTCCCGTGGGTGTCGTAAGAGGCGACTAAGGTAAGACGAGGGATGGATAGCAGCAGCGTCCCTCTTAAAACATTTCAAAGCGTAATTGCTGTTGCCAATTCGCCTGCCAAGCATGGCAACTACTGGCAAACCCCCCCCAGGGTAGGCAAATGTTCAACAATGTACAGTTAAAAGCTGATATGATAGTTCGGTTTAGTTTATTTCTGTGATATTTTCAACAAATCTTGGTTATCTTTTTAAAAAGTCTATTAAAATAAATTATAAAATCGCGGACTCATATACAGCTCTTTCTTCATCCGCTTTTATTACTTATCTTTGTTTCAAATATATAAACTAATGGGGATATAAAGCAGCTACTTTGAGGATAATTCATAATAGAATCCTATTCATATTTATAATTTATCTAATTAATACTTATTTATTATTTCTGTTTACTGTATTTATCTGTGAAAACTTAATTGGCTAATATCATAATCAAAATTTAAGTTTTTCGTTATAATATGTAAACCATATTCAGACTTCCTATGAATATCTCAAATTATAGAATCATTGAAAGAAACTGCTACTTGAACTCTTTTTTTTAACAACAATTCACGGATAAAAATTGACAAATGTTTAAAATATTAAATGATTTGTTTTTAAATGTAATTTTAAATATAAAATATTTTTTTTTTATATTCTAGGTGAAAATTACCCAGAGGTTTTAGAAAAAGTAAAATTTGCGTCAATGTCGTGGAGTAAAGACAACAAGGGACTGTTTTATTCGGTATGTAACATATTGATGTTTCATTCGCTTATTGCTCTTTTTTTTACTAGTTGTTTCTCACAGCTTTGCCTGTGTAAATTACAAAGTATCCTATATACTAAGAATATAACATACCCGTGTACCAAATTTCAATCAAATAAATTCATCTATTTAAATGTAATTGACTAACAAAAACTTAGGTTTTTGTTATTGTTATTTTGTTGTTAAATTTATTATTGTTTATCTTTACAAACTTTCATATTTATATATTTCATGTCTCCGCGATTCTTTACAGATAATCACGAATGTAAATAGGCATTTATTAAAAGGAGTGTTATTTCATCAAATATCTATTTATTTGTTACAAGTTACAATAACAGTTTTCAAGCAGAAATGAGCATTATCTGTAGACAGTTTGCTAACTTAAACATTGTAAACATCACAACAGTAATATAAAAATAAAATTTGTAAAGCTTTTAAAAATATATTTTCAATATTTTTTAACTAATGATACTTTGATGAAAGAATTTATCGAATCTTTTGCTTATTTTATTAAACAATTGACATAAAAAGAAAATATAACAATTATTATAAATTTAAATAAATTTGGGCGGCAAGAAGTCAAGTATGCCAAATAGGTGTGTGTGTGTTTTTTTTTATACAACCAAGAATGGCAAACAAGCGAACGGTCCACCTGATGGAAAGTGGTAACCGTCGCCTATAGACATGAGCAGTACCATGGACATAACAGAGTATATTGTTTCGCCCATGATACCCCCCATGCGTTGCCATTCCTGAGGACTCAGGTGTTATTCCTCCGTACCAATTGGACAAATGTTCAACAGTGAACAGTTAATGGCTGATATGCGTCAATTAAAGAAATGATTATGATAATGATGATTTGTACAAAATTTAATCAAAAACTAATAAAAGTGATTTAGTAACGTATCCAATAGAATTTTTACTCTACGTTATCTTCTGTACTCTTTGATTATTAAATCCCATATTTCAAAATAATGTACAAACTTTGTGCTATTTTTATTCAAGTTTGTACTATTAAAAATATATGTGTGTAAGTTTATGTATGTGTGTGTATATATAATAGTATATAAGTGTGTATAATGAGTAGGGATATATATTTTATATTATTACATGTATCATATCTCTATATTAAGAAATAATTGAATTTCAATGTGCCTCCGATCAAACTGTTTATAATTACTCCTCTCCATCCAAAGGTTGCCTGGAAGAGATCGCTTTTAGCGATAAGGTCGCTCATTGTTTTCTCATTGTGATTATTTCTTGTAATTGTTTATATTTATAATAAGTCTACTATTGTAATCTTTTGGAGGAAACAATAAAGAGTATCTATCTATCTATCTATAGGATTTTTTTTAATAGATAAAAATAAAACGGTAACAATTCGTTATACCCTGACCAGATAGTCTCGTATAGTGTCATTTTATTTCGAGTTATCCTCGTTCTGCTGTGATGTAGGTTTTGCCCTTTATTCCTGTAGTCGCCTGCAACTACTTACTGTAGGATTATAGGTAATAACTAAGATTATGTTCCACAAAAAAGAATCTACTTAAATTGTGGCAAAACCATTTATTTTGATTTAAAAACTAAACTACTAAACTGATTTTGGAAATTTACTGTGGGAACAATCTATAAGTATATCCCTTTCAGATAAAGAAGAAATTTTTCAAATCGGTTTACAACTGATCGTCTTATGAAATAACAAACAAAAACAAATAGAACCTCCTTTTTAAAGTCGGTTGAAACGAGATTGCCACGTTACAATCTCATTACCACAATGCGAAAAAATAATGCCTATATTTTGGTTACAGCGATACCCTGAACAGACGGGCAAAACGGACGGCTCGGAAACAGAAGTGAATCGAGACCAGAAATTATGCTACCATCGGCTCAACACGTCGCAGGCTGAAGACATAATCGTTGTCGAGTTCCCTGAGGAACCACTGTGGAGAATGTGAGTTAATTTTTAATATAATAAATATTATCTTACAGTATAACAGGCCAGTCCTTCAACTACTCGATATACTAGAGGGAGACTTTGTACAAAAGTTGATTGCTTGGGTACCTCTGTCCCATTCGTGTTTCTACCGTGAAGCAGTTGTGTTTGCAGGGCTGTGTTTCGGTAGGATATGGCGTGAATTTACAGGGTACAGAGGAATAACACCTGAGTCCTAAGGAATGGCAACGCATGGGGGCATCATGGGCGAAACAGTATACTCTGTTATGTCCATGGTACTGCTCATGTCTATAGGCGACGGTTACCGCTTTCCATCAGGTGGGCCGTCAGCTTGTTTGCCATTCTAAGTTGTATAAAAAAAATACCGATAGTACTCCTCAGGCTATAGAGTTTCAGTAGGGAACAATCATCGTCATCGTCATTAACAACCCATCCATTACTCGCTGCTGAACATAGATCTCCTTTTATTTCTCCTCAAGTTCAATCCCGCGCCACGTGCATTCATCAACTCGTTTCTGCGATTGATGTCTATATCTTTTGAGACTCCACACTACGCTTGCCTTTACGAAGTCGCCACTTGAAAACATTCCCTTATCGCTACACTACCAAAGCGCTATTAATTGCCATTTTCTAACATTTTCTTTCGTCGTTAACAGAGACATCTGCACACGAATGCTGGGTCAAGACAAGCGCTCGTATGTCTAAGATTGTGATAATATTTATATCCCACAGTAGTACCGTATATATTAGTAGCGACAAATTTTTACCACTGAAGGAAGGTTCTTATGTATTTGTATTTTTGTGGCTACCATACCCATGGGCGTACCCAGCTTCTGGTCGGAGGGGGGGGGGGGGGCACATTTGTGACGCTTGCTGACTGAACTGTTTTTTGTAATGTAACCGCATAATATATTGTAAGGCATACATTTTTCAACTATATATTTATAGCTTATTGAAATAGTCATTTTTTGCGGAGCAAAATATACTTTTAACAAAATTATAATTTTATATATACTATAAATTTAATAAAATCAAGGCAGTAGGCAAACTTTTAGAAATACGCTTATACCAATTGCCCATATAAGCAATAGTTATTTTATCTAAACATTGATGTATAGTTCAAATAATGCGTAATCTTTCGCTGTCTCGAAATTGTAAAGTGACGAGTGCATTCGTGTTTATCAGTGGAGCGGAGGTGACGGACTGCGGCAAATACTTGATCGTGTCACCGGTCAAGGACTGCCGCGACAACCTCCTGTTCTTCGCGGACCTCAGCAAGCACCCAGACATCACCGGGAAACTGCCACTCACGCAGATTGTACACAAGTTTGAGGCAGATTATGAGGTAAACAAAAATGCTGCGTTTATTACAGAAAAGAAATAACAGAGACTTGGAACAAAAGTATCACTGATACCTAATTACGTTATGTTAAATCTGCATTACCATCAGTCCCCAAATTAAGTCAGACTATCTTTGGGAGTAAAATGGGTACATGGTACCTTGGGCGTCACAATATAGTCTGAGATGTCTGTAATCCCGTTCGATATAGACGATGGTTATCTATCTATACACATAAACAGATTTTTTTTTTGATGGATGAAAATGGTATGGTATCCCCGCCTGCGCTAACGGGATATGCTGGCGGAGCATCAGTGAAGGGTCATAGATGAGAATGAAAACAGGCCAGTTAGCCCATCATGATGAATTCATCAGGAATTAACCATGATAGTTTCCAGGGGGAACCGCGAGGAGGTCGACCTGGTTGGGTATATTGCTAGCAATGGGATTCTCAGTCTCCATTACTAACAATCCCTTTCCCCCACATAAACAGAATTATGGTATTCTACAGAGCAGAGATCTTATGGTATGTTAATATTTACGCCACGATACATCCTACCTGTCCAAGTAGCATGTATCAATGTACTTGTAATTTTTTTTTTATTATTTATTTATTTATTTTACACTTTATTGCACCATTAAAAAGAAAAATAACAAATATAGTAAATATTAATGAGAAGTGATACAAAAGGCGGCCTTATCACTAAGCAATCTCTTCTAGACAACCTTTGGGTAGATTAAATAGTACTAACCTAATGAGTAAAAAATATGCGGAACTAGTCCTATAAGGAATTATTCCTTCTTCTAGATTACTTGTAATCTATTAGTACTGCTAATTGCGAACTTATTCAGGTGTGCCTTGTAATTATAAAAAAAAAATAAGTTTTTTTTATTAATAATATTGTTATTATTTACAGTACATCTCAAACGAGGGTTCAGTGTGCATATTCAGAACGAATAAAAATGCACCCAACTACAGACTAATCAAAATTGACCTGCAGAACCCAGCTGAGGAAAATTGGGAAACACTTATACCTGTATGTATATATATGTAACTAAATATTGTTGTTATATTTAAAATTTCGTAAATATCTTTTTTAGTTGTGTGCTTCTGGCATAAAAGGGGCTATCACTTCCTTTCTCATATGTGTCATAAGAGTCCCTCTATAACGTCACCAAAAGCCTAACTGCGGTTGCCATCACGCCTGCCAAGCCTGTATATTACTGGCAAAATCTCCCTTATGGGGAAGTCTTATGTTCAGCAATGAACAGTTAACAACTAATGTGATGACGATGATGAAATATCTTTTTTATAAATGTATAAATGTAATAAACTACCAGAGGGAGACTGTACAAAAGTCGATTGCTTGGGTATCTCTGTCCCATTCGTGTTTCAACCGTGAAGCAGTTGTGTTTTCATGGCTGTGTTTCGGTTTGAAGGGTGGGATATGGCGTGAATTTACTGGGTACAGAGGAATAACACCTGAGTCCTCAGGAATTGGAACGCATGGGGGGGTATCATGGGCGAAACAGTATACTCTGTTATGTCCATGGCTCATGTCTATAAGCGACGGTTACTACTTTCCATCAGGTGGGCCGTCAGCTTGTTTGCCATTCTAAGTTGTATAAAAAAAATACTATATTGTTTAATGTAGTGTATGAAATTGAAAAATATATTAACAACTCCAGCAATAGTGTACATGACCTTTCCATTTTTCAGGAACACCCTAGCGACGTGTTAGATTGGGCGGCGGCAGTAGATAATAATAAATTAGTAATACATTACGTCCGGGATGTAAAGGTGAGAATCATGTAAATATTTTTATTAAGTTGCCATTTGTGTGCCGGAAATGGTAACCGTGGCGTATAGACATGAATAACGCGTACGTGCGTTGGTTTTCTCAGAACTACGATGTTATACCTATAAAAATACACGGTACCAGAAGCAGAACCGACAATCGATGGCGAAAAAAGGTTCTTGACCTCGTACCAGCAAACTCAATGTAGGACGATCGCCCCACTAGATGGATTGACGACCTCAAATACATTGCAAGAAGTCATTGGATACAGGTGTTTCAGGACAATTCCTTATGGCAGTCTATGGGGGAGGCTTATGTTAAGCAGTGGATAGATAATGGCTGAGATGATGATGATGATGATGATATAAAAATTGCATAAATTACAAAATCAAATATTAATCCAACATTACAGAGCGTGTTACAACTGCACAGCATGCAGAGCGGCGACCTAATACAGACGTTCGATCTGCCCGTCGGCACAGTGGTCGGCTTCTCCGGGAAGAAGGAGTACACAGAAATCTTCTACCACTTCATGTCATTCCTCACGCCGGGCGTCATTTACCATGTCGACTTCCAGAAGCAGCCGTACACGCCCACCGTGAGTACTTTAATTAATTTGCTAAAAGGGACCTAACTCTTTTTTTTTATAAAATCAACGTAAGTTGGAGAATGTAGGTAGTTATGTATGTATGTGATAGGTATTCTCAGTAATAGAAATTAGGATTACCATTTTTTCTTTTATTACCAATATAATTGTAACTTCGCCTTCGCTGTCGATATGCGCTGGCGGAGCACCAGTGAAATTAAAAACTTTTTATTTATTTATTTATAAATTGCTCACTACACTTAGTATCCCAAAATGTGTAGTGAGCCATAGGTTTATTTTACCAATTTAAAAATAATTTTAATAACATCTAGAATCATGTAATTTATCAATAAATATATCAATATCTGGCTGTTGAGCAATTAGAGAATTGAGCAGAGAAATAGCCTGATAAGATAAGGTGCAAACTGAGCAATATAGGTGTGAACCGGATAATAATAAATATATATTATTAAAACGAGATGATTTTGTAATAAATTTTAATTATTATGCTATAACTACAAGATCTGTAGGCCTGTATTACCTGTATGCTAAGTTATGTGGATATAACCATATTTCACCACCAAATGTACTTAATTTCAAATCTGTTCAGTCTTATTTGCGTGAAAAAATAACAACCGTCCTTATAAACTTTCGCATTTTGAACATTAAAAGAATTAGTCGTAATAGGTTGACCAACCTGAAAACCAGTGAAAGTAATTATATACTAAGTACTAATATACACTATCCATAAGGTTGGCCGTCAGCTTGTTTGCCATTCTAAGTTGCATAAAAAAAACACTAAACAATATAGTTTTAAAAAAGAAATGAATAATTATCATACTATGAATGTTAGCCCCTGCTTTTGAATTAGTGAAATCTCTTTATTTTCCCCTTCAAAGAATGATACAGATTTTAAAGGTTTGTTACTTTAACTTAATAGTATAAAAGCAAAATAAAGAGGCAATAAGACCGCCCAGCCTTATCTTTAAATAGCTTTTGATAATGGACAATTTCCTTACCTTCACAATACCGTTTCTGTATTCAATTCAGGTTTGTACACCTTCTCAGAATTACCTTTACATTGTATATTTTACTATATATTTATTTCAATGTTGTAGAAGAACTATGTGATGAAACTTTGTATCATTTTCAGGTTTTCAGAGAAGTGAAAGTAAAAGGATTTGATGCGTCACAATATGAGGCTAAACAAATATTTTATTCAAGCAAAGACGGCACTAAAGTTCCTATGTTTATAGTATCTAAGAAGGTAAGTTTCCCTTTATTTTCTCAACAGAGTTTTATTATTTCGTATCACAAATATTGAAAGCTATATTTCATATGTATAAAATGAATAAGTAAATATACATTTTTGTTGGTTATTTGATTGAAATTATTTTGTTTAATTCCGCTACCATTAGTATATGCAACTACCAACACTCGAAGATGAACCACCGCCAATCTCCGACTGCTATTATGCTCACAGATATTTTGCAATACGTGTTTTACCTGTAAACAAGGCATCTTCAGGCAAATTATGAGATCCCTACTCAAAGCCTAATGTTAACCGTTTGGCATTCAAACTGAGAGCAGCGATCTAATGGGCTTATAAGGGGTTTGAAGTTTTTATAAGTAAGAGGGTAAACATTTATTGATAAAAAATTCATGAGAGAATCCTGAATTCCTTAGGTTCACAGATTGATTATTTAGTTGATATACATAATTCGCAGAACCTACCTCGCGACGGCTCGAACCCAGCGCTGGTATACGGCTACGGCGGCTTCAACATCAACATCCAGCCGAGCTTCAGCGTTACGCGGCTCGTGTTCATGCAGCACTTCAACGGGGTCGTCGCCATACCCAACATTAGGGGCGGAGGGTGAGCGCCGCATACTTTTATCTGAATTGATCTTTATAAGTCGGAACAGTTGTACTACTTCCACATGTACATTACGGGACATACTTTACCTTTTTTAAACGAAATGTCTAAATGATAATTAATAATCAACCAACCACGTGGTTTACAAATAAACTCACAAACAGACATGATATTATTTAATAAATACGTATAAAGTTGTATAGAATGTAGCCACTTGGTTGGTTAAGCCGTTAAGGCGCTATAACATAACAAACAAACTCGCTTTCACATTTTTAATATTAGTAAATATTACTTGAGTGACTCACCATGTGTTTCTTTCCTGTGGATGTCATAAGAGTCGATTAAGGGAGAGCGAGGAAGGATGGGTATCAGTGTTTCCCGCCTAAAACATCTCTGAAGCCTAACTGCAGTTGTCAATACGCCTGCCAAGCGTGGCAACTACTGGCAAAATCTCCCTTATGGGGAAGGCTTATGTTCAACAGTGGACAGTTAAAGGCTGATATGATGATGATGACATGAGTTGTATTGTGGTTGCAGTGAATACGGCGAGCGGTGGCACAACGCGGGCCGACTGCTGAACAAGCAGAATGTATTTGATGACTTCCAAGCGGCGGCCGAGTACTTAGTCCGCGAACGGTACACGCGGCCCGCGCTGCTGACCATACAGGGCGGCTCCAACGGCGGCCTCCTGGTCGCCGCCTGCGCCAACCAGCGGCCCGATCTCTACGGCGCCGCCATCGTGCAGGTCGGGTGAGTGCCACTTTAGATTATTTGTATAGTGTGACTTGGAGTCAACAACCGATTGTCAGTTGGCGTTCAGAGATACATTCATAGGCATTTTTATTTTATCAATCTTTCGTTGGCCATTAATTCTCTTTCACACGCCAGAATAAATATATTTGTACGCCAATGAAATTTTGTCGGTCTAGTGCATATATAGCATTATTGATATTTTAATTTATGTTTAAAATAACTTGCCTTAAATGAAGTTCAACCGAAATTATACTTCAATGTTACATCCAAAAATATTTAATACATGTTTGTATTAAATCTTGAGGATAAACATTGAATTATAATTTTGTTTTATCTTGGTATTTTTTCCGTTTGCAGCGCAATCTAATAGTGCACTAACATAAGGGCTATATAATTGTTATCGCTAGATGGCGTTGAAATATTTGACGAATTTCAGTTATAAATGTAAAAAAATGTTCGAGATTCTACTAATGATACACAAGACACCAAAATATGTCACGATTATTTTATAGCTTCAGTACAAAATATGAAATTTGTGAAAATATGTTTTACAGCGTGCTAGATATGCTGCGTTTCCAGAAATTCACGATCGGCCACGCGTGGGTCTCGGACTACGGCAGCTCCGATGAGAAAGTGCACTTCGACAACCTCATCAAATACTCGCCTCTGCACAACATACATTCGCCAGATGATGGTATTAATAAAGTCCTTTACTACTCATCTCACGGTAGAAAGATATAGTAATTGTAACTAATGTTTATTGCGAAATCTTCGCATGGACTTGATAAATATTTCTGCTGCTAAGCAGATGTGCATTTCGATTTTATGAATGTGTTATGGCAGTTAAATTACACGGTAAAGAGACAACCTTAGTGCTCAAAATTGGCAATACATGTATGATATCGTAGAGATAACAGTGTATTTTGTCATGCCCATAGGCGACGGTTACCACATTCCATCAAATAACCTGTTGGATTGTTTGCTTGAATTGCTTAAAAAAACATGTTCACATATCTATAGTCGACTTACCTATGCTAAAACAAAACTGTTGACTGTGAATCAGTCCATTTTCATTGAAATGTTCAAACATCTGCTCAAAGATGATCTTTTCTAACACCTTACTCAAGTCTCGTAGAATTGAAATCTGTTTGTAGTTACCAAGTTCAGTATTTCTCAGATTTAAAGAAATGTATTAGTTTCCTAAGTTTCATTAAATGAGGAAAAACTCAATTATCATTAATTAAAGACAACAGCTAAATGTAGAGCAGGGATATCCTATTATTTTACAGCTTTGACATACCTAATGATCTTCAATATTCTTTAATTGAAATTTCTCAAAGGTTTTTATTATCTTTTATGGGCATATATATTTATATTTAAAAATAACTGGATATATTATATAGTTATATCTATGTGTGTATCTCTGTGTGTATATATATTTATAATTGTAACTGTTACTAACTATATAGCTACTAATAATTTATAATTTATCGTATTATTTTTGCACCATATGTTATGTTTTATATACAAAACCTATACACACTTTTTACTTTCGGGTTCTCAAGGTTGCCTGGAATAAATCCCTTTAAGGGATAAGTCCCCCTCTGTACATTTTTGCTATAACCTAATTAATATCTATACTATAAGTGTAATGTACTAAAGCATATAAATAAATAAATATTCTTTCGTGAAAAGGACTTAGCTAAATGAGGAGATGAAATATAGTAGCTTAGATATGGTTACAACTACAGCATTGTTTAAAATGTGAACAGAGACGGGCGAGTACCCGGCGATGCTGGTGATGACAGCGGACCACGACGACCGCGTGGTGCCGCTGCACTCGCTCAAGTTCATAGCCGCACTGCAGCACGCTGCGCGCCGCTCGCAACAGCGCCGCCCCCTTTTGGCGCGCGTCGACATCAAAGCAGGCCATGGCGGCGGCAAACCCACCACTAAAATCGTGTGTATATTCAATAATCTATCTACATAAAAAATGAGAATCTCCTTATTAAAGTCAGTTGGAAAGTTACATTTCAAGCGCGCTTAAACTAAACCCTGCAGATGATGTTAAATTATATTTACCACTTATTTCTATTTTCCAAATCTCATAAGAGACTAAGGAGAAAACTTAAAATACAATCCTACAGCTAGTCACCTAGTTAAGGTGGTAATAGTATGTTAATTATTTTTTTTATACAACTTAGAATGGCAAACAAGCTGACGGCCCACCTGATGGAAAGTGGTAACCGTCGCCTATGGACATGAGCAGTACCATGGACATAACAGAGTATACTGTTTCACCCATGATACCCTCCATGCGTTGCCATTCCTGAGGACTCAGGTGTTATTCCTCTGTACCCAGTAAATTCACTGCCATATCCCACCCTTCAAACTGAAACAGCCATACAAACACAACTGCTTCACGGTAGAAATATAAATAGGACAGATGTACCCAAGCAATCGACTTTTGTACAAAGTCTCCCTCTGGCCTGTGTCCGGTAATAAATTGTTTATAAACAATTCGATGACGTAATTATTGGTATTGTTACAGATTGACGAGCACACAGATATTCTCTGCTTCATGACGCAAGCGCTGGGACTCAAATTCGTAAAGTGAACGCACCTGCCATAATTTCAGGGATAGTATTAATGAAGAGATTAATACGAATAGTATTATGTAAATATACCACAAGCATGTACACAACAGTCTGTTGATTACCTCTGGGTCTTTACTAAGACTGGTGATAATTGTTACGCATTGCTATTTTTTTATTAATAAAACTTTGTTTTTAATTTTGTATTTATTTGTTAACCTCTTAATCGGAAAGACGTAGAACAAATCTTAGATTTTGAGCATAAAAAGTCCCTGATATAGTCTCACTAGTGGTATATATCTATCGATAAATAACATAGATTAAGATTAGAACAGAAAAGTTATTGCCAGAAAAACAGTTACAATGAAAATACAAAAATATTATATATATTAGGCTAAAGAAACTTGCTCAGCTGACTTTGAGTGTCCTAGTGCAATGTGTACAGCTGCATAGCACTGGTTTTCAGCCATACCCTCTTAATAATTTAGGGTAGTGCCTCTACGGTAGAAGTTTTTCGTTGCTATATCAATCTTATATGGCAATTTCTATGGATAGATCCATATACCACTCATCAGGGCAGCGCCAGCTATTAGCCTACCTGCCTTTGGGTCAATTTTTAATGCCTACAAATTCAAGAAATTTATATTTATTTGCTTTTATAAACTGGTACACGGTGTTGGTGGCAAATTTACTCAATTTTTTCTTTGATTAATATTGTATTATTTTTTATTTTGTCACTGTTAGTTTTCCCAAATAAATGAAAAAAAAATCATATGAATAACAATTATAAATTATTCGTTTATACTGCAAACCTGTCACAATAGAATACAATTATTTCGTATCCACAAATCTGTAATTTCCTGAAGAACGGGTCTGCCATAATACATTCCAAAAATGAGAAACATTCTTACTGAAGAAAGAAATGCAAGAGAAAAGGAAGTTTATTGATATCAGGTTACAAATGAAACAATGATACAAATGTTTAACTTTATTCTTATAATAGATCGCTAGAAGCACGAAGTTCAAGTACAGACTTGCTCCATATAAAATATTAGTTACTTAGAACAAAATAAATAAAACACTTCTTGGTGCCCGTTGTGGGCATTTTTATAATTATTCAATTTCTTTATGCTTAGTTACTTGTGCAACTTTCAACATGAAGAAATTACCAATGGCCTCGATTTAAAATCGTTTAATTTATCAACAAAGAACTTAATAATAAATCGACGGTATACTGTGATTACACACAGTGTAGTTTACAAGTGGTTACGAGTACATTTTATTAATACAAATGTATTCGACTCGACTTAATAAACGACCGCGATATAAATATTGTTACCGCATATAGTTAAAATGTTATACAATATAGTTAAAAGACTCATTACAATGAAACGTACAATCAACAAAGGGGCAGATGACACAGTGACCTGCAGCCGTCGGCCCGTCGGATCTTACACTGTACATAATACAGAACGAATAGTCACCGATCGTGTCGCTTACTGTAACATCTAGATAGACTGTTATATGTTAGTCAAACACTAACCTAGTCAATGGGTACATGCACAATAGATATAGATTACATTGAGCCTAAAAATAACAAGCAATCATCAATCTTAGCCTAAGTTTGACAATAAGCCGTCGCTATTTCATTTCGTGTCGCAATTTTTTCGATTGAACTTACATCTAGAATTACACATTTCAGAGCTTAGGGTCGGGGAAATCCATCACTCACATAGTCGTCAGTTAAAAATCGAGGCCACAACTGTTCAAATCGCCGTACTTCCCGTGTGCGAGGCGCAGCGGCTGCCGCTCCCGTTTATCAAGTGTAGAGCTGCAGCGACGAGAATAACGGCGATCACTACTATTAGCTAAACTAAGGTGACACCATGGCCGCATGATGCAACTTTAGCGTTCGTCAGGACGGCAGCTGACCACCGAATGATTTATAATCGGTCTCATCTATCGGTTCGAATAGAAATATCACTTTATAAAAAGAGGCCTAAATTCATATCGAGCCATCAAGCAATATAATGATCATACAGGTCCACACTAGCGAACGCGTAAAATGCCGCTTAAAAATAAACCGGTGGTGATGCGCTGCCGAGTCCCAATGAAACTTTTGGTTTGGCTTCACAGCCTCAGTTTCATACAATTAGTCGATACTACATAATTTTACTGACAGTTCATGTCCAATTACTATCTAATAAGTTAATAATATAAGTGGGTTATATTTTATAAATATAACCGATTACAGAATCTCGCTGTCGTACACTATAATAACATTCATGTGGATATTCTTCCTATCCTTAATTAAATATTATATAAGTGACAGTTATTACCCCATATTTATTTAATTTATACATTGTTAGATAGACATAAACATTTGATGAATAATAAAAATACGCACTCTACATTGCGAATCATGCTTTCTATTTAAAAAAAAAAGACCTTAAAATGTCGAGAGTAACTAAAACATGTTCTCCCGGAACAGAACACAAAATATAACAAATCTATACATAAACGTAATGCTAAATAGGAAACGTTTAGAATAAAAAAAAACTACTAGTGTTGCAAGACCCGAGATCAAATCGCATTGTAAATATGATAAGATAGAAATAATCTAATAAAATAAAAAAAGAATTGTTGTCGTCCCGAACTAGATATTTCACGTAGTGAAATATACACGACGTGAGTGATATTGCATTTGAACCGAAAAAAAGGGCAAGGGGTTAGTGATGAAAGCTTGGAGCGTGCGCCGCGCTTAGTCGGCGATACCGTTGCTGATGACTCCTGGCTTCGCGGCGGGCGCAGCGCCAATGCTTGTCATTCTGTAAGGGATATAGATATTGAATATACACATACATACATACATACATATATATATATATATATATATATATATATATATATATATATGTATGTATGTATATATATATATATATGTATGTATGTATGTATATATATATATATATATATATATATATATATATATATATATATATTCAATTAAATAATGACATATCAACATACACCGGTTTCTAAGTAAGAATATCAGGAACACAATTAATCCGCATTTAATGCAATAGTTTTTGCATGATGCTGGAACAGACAGACAATTTTTTTTTAGTATTATCTTAGCTCTTAATGGTCTTATTAAGACCACTCATATAATTTTTTTTCATAAATATCTCCCATGTACTCATCTAATTATAATTTCCTTATATTAATAGGTTTATGTGACTTTGATGTTTTTATAAATGCAGTCTGGAAATACATCAGAGCATCATACCAGGTCTACAGTGTATACTAACCCGGCCTGCGGAGCGTCCAGCCCCATGAGTGCAAGCGCCCGTAGCGCTGCCCGAGAACACTGTTCGTGCGAATGTTGCGTTGAAGGCCCGCCGCCGTGACACATTACTGGTGGCTCAGTTGACAACGACACTAGAGATAAGTACTCTCCGTGGTTGCGCTGAAATATTATCGTAAAACTGTATATACAAATAAGCAAATAATGTAAATACCTCTGAATATATTACACATTCATATAGTCCTAAAACTAAGCAGTATTATAAATAAACTAGCAGTCGCCCGCGGCTTCGTTCGCAAGTAATTAAAAAATAAACAGTTATATAAAATGTAATATTCAAAGTAGAAAGCAAGAAATTGTATTCTGGCTGGCTACTGACTTATTTTTTTTTTTTTTTTTAATTATAGGTAATGGGTAAATATTTTAATAAATAAAGAAATGAATATAATAAAGTATATTTAATTTACAGAAAATTTATGATTGATTATCCTAAAACCAAACCATAACGCGATTCAGAAACTACGTACGACGCCATCTATAGCAAGTTGGTATAAATTTTTTAATATTTTTCTCCGCAGACATACATTTATATAATTTCATCTTCGTTAATCCGCTAAAGAAATAAGTATTAATTATTCATTCTTCAGAATAATAGTAAAGTTTGTATATTAATAAAAAACTCAAACCTTATTTCATATATATTTCCCCTCTTAGGGAATAAATTTTCAAAAAAGCTGAAATACGTATTTGTGTAACAGCTTATATATGAAATTGTATGCTTCTACCTTTAAAAATGACAAGTTTCCATACAACCGTTTATCCCTTATTTTATCTCTAGAGACGGAATTTCTAAATATCCTTCTTTACATAATAAAATGCATCAACTACCAAAATTTCAAATTTTTAACCCCTGCTGTCAACCAATCAAGATAAACGATTTTATATATATAGATAGATAATATAATATGTAGCCTCCAGGTCAATACATACAAACAAGCACACTTACTCCTGAACATTAATGTTTGTATTGTGATTGCAGAAATCGAATCTGCGATTATCAAAAGGCGAGGCAGTGTATTAAACTACTACATCATAAAGGCTACGGTAACCATTTACCATCAGGTGGGCCGTATGCTTGTTTGCCACCTCAGTAGTAAAAAAAGTCAGTAATTTTGAAACAATTAACCAAATCCTCTCTTAAAAACAGGAAAACTCACTTTAGGGAAATCAGAAAACTGAACGGTAAAGCCGAGCAGCTCCGAAAGGTACATGAGTTGGTCCTTCGCGCCTGGAGTGTTGCCACCGCCGCCTCCCGTTGCACTCGTCTCGCTCACTCCTACAATACAACACGTGGTGAATCACATAATATATCTTATGATACCTCTATAAAGACTTATGTGTAACAGACTATTAGGATCTCTCAATCAAGATACCAGTTCATCTGTAGATCGGACTGTACATGTTTTTAACAGAATAAGACCTCATATTTTTTTTGGTCAGAGATCAGGATTCAAAATAATAAGAATAGATTCTGACCGTTGGGCTGCGAAGGTTGCCCGGAACGTTGATGGTAGTCCATGAGTAACACGCCCGGTACCGGCTGCCGCACCTCGCTGCCTGCGCCTCCGCCGCCAGCCCCGGTTTCGCCCTCCTATATCCAAATAAGCGTTCTTAATAAACAACAGTTGCAGTTGTATCTCGGCATATAACATCGTGAATCCTATGGTTAAATTATGGAAAATTTACAGTTTATTATTGTAATAGTTGAAAATATTATTAATTTAGTTTCATTTTTACAACTTATGTCACTTTATATAAACACCGTAGTTCGTTACTTATAGTTTGAAACTAGTCAGAGATTTCCGAATTTAAAACGTAAGGCCGTCATGAATAATTACAATATTGTGATCCTTTAAATAAAAGAGAAACAAATTGTTTTAATAACAAAATTATTCTATTATGATTTACTACTTATTTCGCTAAAATAAAACCATCTATGTAAATAAATTACTAAACTATTACCTATAATAGTAATAATTAACAAAATAAATTTAAACAAAATTTACACTCAAGTAATATAGTCGAATAATATAAAACATAATAAAAAATAATAACATACTTTTCTCTTGGAATCGTTGTTTTTGTTGATATCGACGGTGCCGTTGGGGCCTGTTTCCGAATCGTTAGCAGAAGATGAAGTATTGTTATCGCTCGCGTTCGAGCTCATTTCCATCGCGAGCAGTACATCTGAAAGAAATTAACATGCTGCGATTTAATTTTACATCTTCACCCGTATAATTATATGAGACTCGCACAATGCGAATTAAATACGATATAAAAGAACATAATTTTATTTAGACTTGAGGTCATTATATAAAAATCTGACTGGACATATTATTGTATGTCCTTCTTTTAAATGAAAATGTGAGTCGGCAACTCACTCAAAAGCATGTGACATTCATAGTATTGGAGGCGTCTATAGGCTACAGAGATCATTTACCGTCACATAGACTATATGCTTGTTTGCTACCCCTATAGTAAAAATATAAGGATGGCTGTAATTATTAGTCTTGTATATAGAATCACTAATCTAATCCGCACTGGTAAATAAATTATCTTTGAAAATCAAAAAAGTATACGTGTTATAAGGTATAATACTGAATCTATAATGCAATGATCGTCTTTAGGCGACTTTTAGGACATGTTCTTGCCCACGTGCCTATTTCAAGTCTGCTAGTGACCAAACCACTGTAAATGCACGATTACCTGGGATGGTAAGATATTAATCTATGCTCTATAAATTACGATCGGGAAACATAGTCTAAATAGCCATTATTATAAAGGCATAAGTGAGTTTGTTCATATGTCAATTTGTGACTTCAATGGATTTATAACTTTTACTTGCTGAAAAGTGGTAGCACCATATCTATCTTTCAAATTTCAAAAACAATTTATATTTTCCAATGTTTCTCAATTATTTAAAAAGGGCACTATTAGCGAATTAAAATATTAATCATAGAATACGCTGAATATAAATCTACCATCAAAATCTACCTACTTCATATTTTGCTTTGAAATTTTACAAATACATTTTTGCCAAAGACCCAAATTTTTAGCGACAGCTTAATAAGAATATTATTGCATGATTAATATTTAAATAGTAGGCGGAACACTTTTTAAATAATCAACCGGGGATATTGAAAAATCTTCAAGTTCTTAGAAGTGGATAGTTAACTGCGACGTTGGCGCAGGTAGGGCAGGACGTTGGTGCGTACGTACTGTGCGCGGCGCGGCGCTTGGCCGTCTTCTTGTTGGGCCCGAGCCCGGTGGCGGAGTGCGGCGGCGCGTCGCACTGCACGAGGAACTCGCGCCGCCGCGCCGCGCCGCGCTCCTCCACCACGCGGTACTGCGGGCTGCGCGCGCGCACCGCGTGCCGCGCCACCGCCAGCCGCGAGATCGGGTTGTCCGCGCCGCCGCCGCCACCACCGCCGCCGCCGCCGCCGCCCGCCGCGCCCTCCTGCGCACGCAACATTGCCAGCCATCACGAGTTAAATACAACGTAAACATATATCATCGTCATTACCTTGCCTTTTCCCATTAATTTACGGTCGGCACAGTATGCCTTCCTCTTTTAACAAATCCCCGTCAACTATCTCAAACTCACTCCACTTTTCATACATCCATCCACTATCATACTAAAGACTCTTTAAAACATTATTTTCATTTTTACACATGACATAACCATACCAAGACATTCTATTACTTCGCAACTTCTTTGTTACTGGTGCAACTTTAACACTACCCCTGTATTTAGTAATAATACAACACAAATACTGAATTACAAGTTACACTCTAATCTTTGAAACCTTTATCATTTTTCTCCAAATAATGATATACTTCTTAGATTTATTGTCCAGTAAATAGCAAGAAATGATACGACTACAAACATTAATGTAAAGAGAGTACTCTCAATGTAAAGACATTGAGAGTACTTCTATTTACTTGTTACTCCATTTATTTGTTGTTTATTGTCTTGAAAAATCTAAAAGAACTCTAACAAAATTTTTATTTAGCATTCCTACATGAAATATATAGAAGAGTTTAGATGATTAAAAAAACATTACATGTGGTAATTTTAGGAAGGATTTCAATTTAAAAGTAAGTATAAATAACTTTTTACCCAATAAGTACAGAATTACATATGAATATTTAAATTTTCATATAAAATGATATGCATGAATCATCTATCCTATCTGTACATACTACACAAGACCGTGTCGTAAAGTAGGATCATGACTGTCCTCAAATATAAAGAGTCGAGCAAAAAAAAACAAAATATCATCTATAACATAGATTTTATGTACATATAGACGCCATGATATTGAGTCTATTTGTTACCTTGATGAGGTTCCTAGGTTTCTTCTTGGCGGGCTGCAACCTGCGCCGGTCGTGCGGCGGCCGCGCCCGTAGTAAAGCGGGCGGCCAGCGGCGACGCATTTCTTCCAACATGCGTTCAGCCGCTCGCCGCTTGGATACCTTCTTCCCGTTGCCTTCTCCTTCGGTTTCCATCTCGCCGACCGTACACGCAGTGACGAACACCTGAAACAATATAGACATAGTGGTGCAATCATCGAAATAGCAAGAGTCGACAAATGCCTTTAACTGTCTTATCCAATGTGGAATTATAATCATGAACATATTAACGTTTTATGACCAATTTTGGCCAATGACCAAATATATATATATATATATATATATATAATATATATTTCGTATATTGTATAATACAAATAAAATATACTCCTATATAATATATTTATCATATCAATAATTTGACCTATAACTACAAGTATTTTAAAATTAGTTTTAGAATAAAGAAAAACAAAAAACAAGCTCCTATAATACACAATTTGAACATTGTTGTTACTATACAGTACATTTTTCAATTCAGATATAAAGAATTATTCCATAGTAAATGGTTTTTGTGTAGAGAAGAATAACAAACTGAAATTCTTATATGCATACAGATTTTATACTAACTAAAGAACTTTATTTGGTTTTAACCAGAAAAATAAATTACTTATAAAATAGAAATTGCTTCAGCTAAACCCAAATATGTGCGTTTACAATTTTATTTCATTACGACGATACATTACTGGACGATTTTAAAAATTATTTCATGTTGCTTAACCCAAAATCGACTAACAAAATCCACATTCAGTCTCCTCTTTTGTAAAGAAACTCAACACGTTTACCGCATACATAATATTTTTAATAATAATAAGTAATCGTTATTCAAGTAAACTTAATAATAAACATACCTATTTCAATAGTCATTTTTTTTTTATAAAACTATCGCCTATTTCAGAATACAATTTCAGCTAAAAAGAACGGACAAAAAACAAAGCTGCCGATTTTGCAACTGCATTGCAACTGACTTAAAAAAAGAAAGATTCTAAATTCATTTGTATTTTTTTTAATGTTTGTTTTTAATAGTTATTACTTATAACTCTGTCAGTTCTAAATACATTTAAATTTATTTTTTATTTGAAAGAATATACTTACAAATAAGTTCCATAGAAATTTTATCGAAATCGGTTCAGTAGTTTGGTTTTTAGGCCAAAATAGTTATTCTATATATCTAGTTATCTAAAACTAAACTATTAATAAGTTCAAACTAGTTTTGTCACAATTGCAGTCGGTTTTTTTGTGGGACACAATTTTTAATTATCTCAAAATAATTTATTACGTAAGGGACTGTAGTTAGCTGGTTTTTGCACTAAGAGGACGATATGATCCATGAATGCTATCAATCGAAAAAAGAATATTCTAGTTTCAACTATTGATCGCACTTTGCCTGGGGACTGGTAGCCCCATAAAATAAAAATCCGATGTTTTCGTTCATACCAAAATTGGTCCAGTAAAAAAGTGCAAAGGAACGATATTTTAATATTTTTTAACAATGATACATCCAAATTTTTGTTTTGTTCAGACCCGAAATTTCGGATAAAATTTCATGGTATCTGCTCTTCTCGCTAAATGCTTTTACATGCTACGTTTGAAGGAGCCGAATAATAGGACAAAGGGAACACATCACGGGAAAAGCTATTCCCAATTGTTACACGCGAGAGTGGGCGGATCTCATGTAAGAATACATTTTATGATATATTTTTATTAGTTTTAAAATCAATTAATTAAAAAAAAAACGCTGTCTGTCGTTATATTCCGCCTTTAACTCCTGTCACAATATAAGAATTAATTAACAGGGTTATATATATATATAAGCTATATATACACACCCAACAAAAATTATAAAGAATACAGAAAAGTACTTATAAAAAGAACTAATCAGATTCATAGGAAAGGAAGGTAATGTTGACGGTCTCAATGCAGAGAATAATACACAGCCAGAAAAACTTAATATCGCAATGCAGATTTAAGCATGAATTTTACAGCGCCATCTAGTAACAAATGCATCAACTATTTGTATAAAATATAGTCTGCTGTCAAAACAAACTACCTTTTCATTCGTGTATGATACATTTATTTTTTACTTACATTTAACCGTGGCATCGTTCGTGTTAAAAATTTTATTTTGTTCAACAATTCTGGTTGTTGGTATAGACAGAGATAAAATAGTTACAAAAAGAAACCCCCTTTAAGGAGTAGTTTGAAAAGAGAAATTACTATATTATTTTTATAGTAACTATCAGTCTGCCCTGGCTTCGCACGGGTATAATAAGTATTTTATTAGTTTTAATAGGAAAATTTTTGGAACCTTTGTACTTTTCATAGACATATTTATTATTATTTTTAATAACATATAGCCTCTCTGATAATGTAACATTCAATAGGTAAAAGATTTTTTAAAATCATTGAGTAGATTTGAATTTATCCAAACAAAAATACAAAAAAATTTAATGTTTCCTCTTTATAATATTATGATAAATAATGTAAATAACATAAATATTAAATGAAAGCAAAACGAGATGACTCTTACCCTCATGTGTGGTGGCCCGCGTTCAGATTTCACAGTGAATTGCACGGACAAGTTGCGTTTTAGTGCGAGCTCATGTACCAACGATACAGGAGATTTTACTTCTGAATTCAGCAAGTCTGCAGCACCGTCCCCTGTATAATATATATATAGAGTTGAAATTTGAAATAGTTTTACATATTATTAGCCTACAGATATTGCAATGGAAATAATTGAAAAACATATTTATATTTTCTTTGCTAGACGGTTCAATACTCAAACTCCCAAAATTTATCTACTAGTCTAAGTGAAGTACCATATAAAAGAACTTTATTTTTATAGACATGTTTATTTTTATGCTGCAGTTTTTTTTTTTAGTTTAGATTAGGTTTTATTTTATATTAAATTTTAAGTGTACCTTTCTACACAGACCAGTGTTTTATTTCTATAGCAATTTGTAACAATATCCATGGTAACAAGGCTATGCCTCTATACCCTACAATTTCACTGTCACGTTGCATCCTTCAAAGCGAAATACAGAAGCAGGTATGTACTATTAACTTTTAATATTGGAGCATAACACCTTAATATTGGAGCGATCGGCTCTAGGCCAACTAGCTACACCCACTGCGTTACCGATTTTTGCAATTACCAAATTTCGATTAGAGGTTATCGATAAATGAGTTTATTACTTACATAAATTAAATGAAAATGACGCTGCAAATTCGAGTTATGTAACAGACGCTGTTGTATTAGCGCGCGATACCACATTCATGATGCATAATCGCTCGAGGGGTTAAAGTGAGCAAAATTTAAACTGTAACCGACCGTTGTCCCCGTCGGCGGACGGCGCTTCGTCTCCTGCGGCGGGCCCGGCGGCGGCAGCGGTGGCGCCAGTGGCGGCGAGGGGCCGTGAAGGTGCAGGCGGCGGCCGCAGGTCCCGCAGCGCCCGCGCAGCTGCGTCGTGCCTCGCAGCCTGCGGCGTGGCGCCCTCCCCCAGCCACGCTCGTCCGCCCACCACCACGCGCACTCGGTACACCAGCCCGGGGTTCAGCATGCGCTGCTGATGATAAGCAACACGTCGTTATTGGGGGAAAGGGATTGGTAGTAACGGAAATCTAATAACCCCATTGCTAGCAGCATACCCTATCAGGTCGATCTCCACGCAGTCCCTGAATATAGTGAGGGATCGAACATGATGTTCTAGTAGAATACATCATGTTCGATCCCTCACTAGTGCCCCGCTAGCGTATACCGCAGTCGGGGTTACCATTCTACTATAATTCATAAAAAAAAAACACATTACTGCCAGCGATCCTAAATAGAGAAAGTATGGTTGCTTATTTGTTACGCTTTTAAGCCTAAACTGCTGAATCATTTATGATGAATTTTAGTATAGAGATATATGTGACACTGGAGACGCTCATAGGCATAGAAAATAATTTTTGTATGAAACTTTTTAACGCGTCATCCGATTTGCTTATAACTGTGCAAAATTATTGTTTAATATTTCACCTCTTTTAATTAAAAGAGGTGAAATATGGGTAGTTCAACTCTGTGCGTTTAGCCCGATAAGGTAATTGACAAAATTGTCGTAACAAGTTTGTATTATACAGTAAAATCAAATTATAATTTTTTTACAGCTTTTTACGTTTAATACTATAACAATTCACTAGATGGCGTTAAGCGAATTTTACAACGCGATATGGTTATATTTTACCAGATTAATAGTATTACAAAAAGCATGCGTTTAAAAGTTCTTAAAATGCTTTTAGCAGTGTTAAGTTTGAAAATGAAACGCGCAATAGATGGTATTGTTAAAACACGCCAATTCCAAATTTTTCATTCATTTGAATATCAAATTATTTTTTAATAAAAAGTAAATTTAATACTTCAAAATGAAGGAATTTCAGAATTCGGTTGTATCTATTTCTTTTTTACTGTTTGTTACCTCCTAGCTCCGTCAATTCTAAACCGATCTATAGAGTCGACCCATAGGGATTTTTTGTGCTTCCCCCTGCCTTAAACCATTATTTCATAGATCCTATGTGTTACCTTAACAATTTCCTGCAGTTTAAGATATCTGTATGATGATCTTTTACGTAAAAACTACCTAATGAATGTACATGGTATACTTTAAATACTGATTCAGGCGTGTAAAGGCGCGAATATAATATTTATATATCAATTTTAAAAGTACTCCAGTTTCATAAAGTACTAAAATACGACGATCTCGTGTCAGAATTCATTTATTTTTTTAACAAATACTAGAAAACTAAAATACCTCAATGACTAATAGAGCGCACGGTAGTCTCATAGCTTTGCGTAATAAGGTTTAGGGTTCGATTCTCGGTCGGATCAATTTAGGAAATAAACTTTTCTAAATTAACTTGACTGTGGGTGTTCTAAGTTGTACCACCAGATGTCTGTGTTGCCCGATTCCTCACAACGAAGGGTATCCTAGCTTGAGGAATAGGTGACTGGTGTCAGAGAGGAGGTCAATATTTAGGAGTAAACGTGTAATGGGTGAAATATAGGTGATGAATGAGTGCGAGTGCAGACCGACCTGGTAGCCGAAGAGTGCAGGCGGCGCGGGCGGGTGCGGGGCGTGGTGCGCGGGCGGCGGCAGGCGGTACGGGCCGCGCGGCCGCGGCAGCCGCGCCGCCGCCACCGGCGGGATGGACGTGTACACCGCCGGCTGGCACAGCTTCATCGCCAGCGCGTTCAGCTCCACCGTCGGCATCACTGTCCCTGCCCGCCGTCAACGGCACGTTGTTCACGCATCTCATCTCATCGCAACCACTTATAATTGACGCTACAGTTATACAAAAATCTTTTATCATGGGCGGCGTGAGCGATGTGGACGACCACTGCCCATAGTACCGTATATTTTTTTTTTAAATAATAAATTCTCCTAACAAGTCCTCAAATACATGATAAGCGATTTTTTACAAAGATATTGAAAACATATAAGGGAATTCAAAGATAAGTATATATAGGGGTATATTAAGATGTCTAAAGAGTCGGTAAAGTCAAGGTTTGCATGGAACCCCTAGTGTTGCAGACGTATTTTAAAGTGCTTATTTATCATCAAATGGGTTGTATGCTTGTTTTATATTTAATATAAAAAAATCTTATGACTGCATAAAATAGTGTTTTCTGTGTACTTTCTACGCATTAGGTGAATGTTTAGCATGTTTACGTTTCGATTTAAAAGGTGAAATATATCAATAAAACTATAGGGTAAAGAGGCATAACATCATTCAGGTTCTCTGTGACATCTACTAAGCTATTTATAGATAATGGTTACCATTTTTCACCTAACAAATTGTCTTCTTGTTTGCTACTCCAAGTTGGACAAAAAATAAGCAACATGTTTGTTGGCCATTCAGTTGTGATCTACCTGAATATAATTTTTCAACCAACTTCATAAAGGTTGTATTATTTTATGTTTGTTACCTTATAACTTTGTCAGTTCTAAACCGATTTAGAAAAATCTCTTTTTATTAGAAAATATATACTTATATGACCAATCGTCATATAGAAATTTAATCATTAAATCTTCAATTAAATTTATAGAAATTTACTAAATTAACTAATTTATAATGTTAACTGTAATTAATTAAAGGTCATTGAAATGTAAAACAAACATAATAGTGCACAAAGGCGAGCATATCTCCAATAGAGATTTCTTCCAGCAAACCCAATATGAGAAAACTGACAGTTCATTAGTAGTTACAGTCATACATGTGTACCAATCGACTTTACAATTGAAAAGACCGATAGGTATAAATAAATAAATAAATCGGTTTAGTAGTTTACTTTTTATATTTAAAAATAACAGGTTTAATTACAATTTATGTTATTGTTATTGTTTTTTTTCCGAGAGACAATGTCGTAGTGTTAATTAAAAGAAAGTGATAATACGGACCCGAGTGCCTGTGGTGCGCGTGCGGCGGCGCGAGCGCGGGCGGCGCGCGCGGCGGCGGCGGCGGGAACGCCGTGCCCGCCAGCGCCGCCGTCGCCGCCGCGTGCTGCGCGCGCTTGATGGACGAGCCCTGTGTTACAGTAGATAACCTCAATGGTACAAATTTTTTTTTTATTATTATTGACAGTCTATTGAAGTGCGCTAGTCTACTAATAAAACTTGAAGACCGATGTCTTTTTCCTGTTGTATATTATTTTATTTAGCTTTCTCCAACACCCTGCACACACAGACGGGGACTTTGTACAAAACTCGATTGATTCGGTACCTCTGTCCCATTCGTGTTGCAACCGTGAAGCAGTTGTGTTTGCATGGCTGTGTTTCGGTTTGAAGGATGGGCGTGGCCACCCACGTGACCACCCATATGGAGTGAATTTACTGGGTACAAAGGAATAGAGCCAAAGTTATAAAACTGTGCACATAGGATATTACAACTCAAGGATCTATATACACTTTAAAATTTTACATTTATTATCGATTAAAAAATTTAAACTTACTAATTTTAATAATAATAATAGTTTGATATTTTAATCCTCAATAATTATTGTTATATCAGCAATTAACTAACTAGTACTGGACATAGGCCTCCTCGCAGTTAGGCTTTAGAGATTTTTTAAGAGGGACACTGCTGCCCATTCCTCGCCCTCTTATAGTAACCTCATACAACACCCACGGGAAAGGAAGGGTGACCTATTCTATGCCGGGACAATATGGCATACATACATACATAACTCCAATTATGTATAAGACGAACTGTCAAACTGTCCATATAGATCATACTCATGGACTCACCTCAGCTGTGTATTCCTCAGTATCACCCAAACGGAGTGTTACTGTGAATACTTTCTTGTGAGCGGGTCCGGTTTCTGATGTGAGGCGGTATTGATGCTTAATCTGAAATAACATGCAATATTGGAAACAAATTATTAAATTTATTCATTTCTATTTAAAAGCGCGAAGACAAGATAGTACTATTACGATAAAATCTAACTGCATTTTGTTGTATAGACTAATCTTCTAAACTGGGGAAAGGAATTGTTAGTAATGGAGACTGAGAATCCCATTGCTAGCAATATACCCAACCAGGTCAATCTCCTCACGGTTCTCCCTGGAAACTATCATGAGTAATTCCAGATGAATTCATCATGACGGGCTAACTGGCTTGTTTTCATCCTCATCAATCACCCTTCACTAGTGCCCCTTCAGCGTATCCCGTTAATGCAGGCGGGGTTACCATTCCATTTTCATCCCATAAAAAATATTTTCTAAACAGGTATTATCAATATAAGATACCTAATCATTATGATAGGTTTATGTATATATATTAAAAAGAAATTTCCCTTTCTAACTACCACAGAAAAAGAAACAATTTTGTAAAAAAAAAAAACTACAGAGATAAACAAATGCATACTTAGAATAGCATGATCCATTTCTATATTCATTGATTTATTTTTATCGATATTTTAATAGATCTATTCTTAAAAAAAAAAACCAAATGATCACAGTTTGAGTTCCAAAATATTTACCTTTGAGTGAAACATGACAAAAATATAGACTTTTGATTGAATGTCATCGAGATTGGAGACTAAATACAGGTAGTAGTTTGTTATATGTAAATACCTTATTGTACCTGGCCAGCTCATTGACCAGGCACATAGGAGTCTTCTCTTTACTGTTGGCCTGTGCGGGCGCCGGGCGAGCCGCCTCGCCGTCGCCCGGCGCCGCGCTGCCGCCGGCCTCGCTGCTCGCCGTCGCCGGCGCTGTCGACGCCGCTGCCGCTGCATCTGTCGCTGTCGTTGTGGCCGCCGTCTCCGCACATGCACTCGCGCTAGCGCTCACGCCGCTGTTCGACGTTGAATTCGTGCACGCCGTCGATGTTACTGCGGATACGATTTTGTTACACGATTAAATATTATAAACAAAATATAATGGTATTCATAAATATACATATGTACTTACGACAGTTTTCGCTAATGCAATAATAAGAGGCATTAAACACTCGTCCCATAATTTTATATTAAGTTCCGCAAAATAGGCGGATATTATATAATAGTGACAAAATTAATGTGGTACTATATTCTCTTCATAAACATCTATTTCAGAAAGAAATTGATATTTTTTTCGTTAAATCGGTTCAGAATAAGTAAAGATATTGAATACACACACAAAAATACAGTCCAATGAAAAAAATACTCCTCTAGTAGCTTAAAAATTAAACATATACAATAAGCAAAAAACTTGAACACGACCATGCCATAGACAATGGAGTTTGTACAGTAGATGTAGCGGATATAAATTTGTTACTGCTTAAGTCACGTGGTTTAAAATTATGCTCAAGTTATTTGCTGGTATCTATAATGGTATCTATGGTATATAAACTATCATTCAAAAACACTAGGCGAAAAATAATATAACAATATGCAAAATTATACTTATTTATAATACTTAAGCGTATGAAACTGATGGAAGACGTTAAATAAGAAATTGTGGAATACAAAAATGAAAAATGGCGAATAAAATTTAAAACACAAAACAGTGAGCAACAATAAAACTAACATCAAGTAAACAACTGACCGAAACTAGAGTTTAGCTTAGACTTCGTTGACAAAACAGGCGACGAAGGTCTGCGCAGACCTAATGGTATAGAAAAGTAAATTGAAATAAATAATTTACACAATATATTACACTTATAAATAAATTTTAAATTTCGAATTCAATAGTCGTAAACACATTTGTTGTTGTCTAATTTTAGTATTAGTAATTAATCAATTCCCAATTTCTGTTTTCTATCCTTATATTTGTTCTATTAGAGTTAGGTAAGAGAACTGAGTAAGTAAATCCCTGTATAACTTATTTCAAGTAGGTCCCAGAGAGACTATTCCACAAGCACAATGCACCTTGTAATTATATACAATGTAAATTAGTATCTTGTCACGTTCATTTGAGTCTTTGGTTAATGACATTGGTTAGTATTTCAAAATTATCTAACTCACATATTATTTATGAATGTGATCTATTAGTTTTATTTCTAAAACTTTTTTAATACCATGCATATATCAATATCTGAACTTTAACAACATGAATTTTAATTATTTTATATATCAATTAACTTTATGGACACTCAATATTATATATGGTTCCTTTCATACATGTGCTTATATTACTTGCATTCACCCACTCTAACTTGCCTACCTCGCCATGGAATCAAAATTTTTGTTTGTATAAGTAAAATCCGTTATTGGCTGTATTCATAAGAGACTTAGCATGTAAGTTATTTTTTAAGAGCTGTGGATTTTTGTATAAAATAAAATAAAAAATAAATAAAATAAAAAATATTTGGTGTATATATGTGTGGAAGTATAATAACACCTTAGTTCTTTAGAATAGCTTAACAGGAGTCCATTCTACTGTTAGGTGACAGTTACCACTTTCCATCGCACAGATCGTCAGCTTGTTTGCTAATCCAATTTGCATCAAAAAATATAGTATAAAGAAACCAGTGGTTCAACAACTTTGACAGGTCCAAAAAAGTAACATAATAAGTTGGAATGCATTGCTCTGTGATTGCATCCATTGCATCCGAGTTCGTGTACTGCTCGTGTACCTGTGTGCGTGTGCTGCAGGGGCGCGGGCGGCGGCGGCGCGGGCGCGGGCGCGGAGGGCGGTGGCTGGTGCGGCTGCGGCTGCGGCTGCGGGTACAGCGGCGCCAGCACGCCCGGCGCCGGCCCGTTCGCCGGCCCGTACCCGCCGTGCGTCGCGTACGGCCGCCGCATGCTCTTCATTGGTTGCTGTTCATACATACAATGTGCGTTCATTCATATTATTGTAAATCATTCTTACTATACCCACACAGATAGCGTTAACGTGCAAATAGGAACTACATAGAGGTTCTATCATAAAATAAGATATAGCATTTAATAGACTTGTTTACAAGATGTTTCACTTTTTTATGTTTCTATTTGTGCTTGTTATACCTATATACATACCATACATAAATAAATATTTTTACAATATTAAATAAGCAATTCATGATATTTAATCAAGAATTAGATAATAATAAGTATGATAATTATGTACATGTTTTTGAGTATGACATATTTTCATATTTTTGTCTGATTTACATTCATTGTTATATTGATAAATATGTAAATTCTACAAAATTGTGTGAAATTTCTCACAAAACACAAACAAGTATTATGATAAAGTTAGACTAAAAGACAAAGAGTATAGAACAAACTAGAACATAGAAACAGGTATATTTACATTAACAAAACAAAATTGTTCATGTATATAATTCAGCATTGAAAGAATGCTTACAAACAACTAGTGTGTTAACATTAAATAAAAGTTTAAGAAGTAAAGGAAAAAGAAACATTCATTGTTCTTCTTCCAGAATAGAAGAAGAGGCAAAACAACAATTCGTTCATTAGATAGTGAACTAAACTATTAAAAAAAACGCTAACTCACCGGTGGTACTGAATGGTGTTGCGCTGGCGGATGATGAGGCATAGCGCGGATGGGGTGCGGCGGGCGTTGTGAGGGCGCATGGTGCGGCGGCGGCACGCCCATGGCCGCGCCCATACCGCCCAGCGCCTGACCATGCCCGTGCCCGTGCCCGCCCATGCCGCCACCCGCTTGTGTCGGTCCCAGGGGCACCCTTCACATACAGTCACACTTATATACATTGACATACAGAACACCAGGATCCTTGACAGACACCTGCAGCAATATGTGCCACCTTCTAACCTATTCTAACAATTTAGGCTTGATAAACCATAACACACAGTAGTCCAAGGCTAAGTATTAAATTGCTTGGATGATTGACTACTTAACTGGCACATTGACATAATACACTACACTATAACAGTTTACACTTGAAAATGGGATAGGCAAAATTTCAGTTACACATTGCTTAAACCATGAGAATATTATTTCAACTGCAAACTTCCAGTCCGCTCAATGGAGCGGCGTACAGGTCTGAAGAAAGTGCGAGACCTTGCATTCATTGGCGAGTCTAGATTGCTGAATAGATACACTGTCATATGTTCCTTTGTATTGCTCATTCATAACCAGTTCGAATAACAAAGAGCGCCGCAAAAGACCCTCGACTTATCAACAAATTACACAGAATTTGCATATCAATGGTTATGGTACTGCATGGACATATAAAGAGTAATTTTATTAAATAGTGTCACAATGTTGAGTGGTCACTCACATTATTCACTGCTAGATAAAACATATATACCTAATACATTTTTGTAATCTACACTATCAATTTGTTTTATAAGGTGAAATAATTATTAAGAATGTACCTATGAGTAAAGGATGTAATATTTTTTTTAGTTACACTAATGAAGAGTAGTGTAGTTAGTATGATAGAAATTACAATAATAGTTTTACATTTATTTAATATTCATCACTATCATTAGCTAAAAGAAATAGCATGAAGATATTGAGGGCTCTAAATCTGACGCAGATAATTTACAAATGCCTGAACAATGTCATTACATATATTTTAATAACATACTTTGAATTTGGTATAATGCATCTTACACATTGTCTGACCCCATATATTGGGATAAGGTTAGGCAATGATTATAAAATCAAATTAAACTTTATTGAAATCATTGTGATAAGTTTAATTTATTGAATTTCTTGTCAGGCTAACATAATAAGTATTTAAGGAATATATTAAATTTTTACAATACTTTGTGAGTTGTATGAACCAAACTGATAAACAGTTATTACATTTAAATACATTAAAATATAAATCAACTACATTAAAACTAATTCATGGCCAGTGGGTACCCAGTGAGTCACCAGTGTTTATTCATAATTAAATAAAAATTAGTTTTGTTCCTTGAACAAATGACAAAATATTTGATCTCAGTTGTCATTTAGATAGTTGGTTATGTTTATCCACTGTATTGATATCCATTATGGATGATGATATCAAATGGTAAATATTACTTCACTATTCAACAGATATACAAATACTTATAAAATAAAAAAAGAAGCTATTTTCTACATAAAGGAGGCATAAAGTAGCCAAGCTTCCATTTATGTTTACCTATTTATGTGAGTATGTCTGTTATGGTTATGTTTTTTAATATGCTAAATCCCCATATAGGTTATTAGATATGAAAATCAAACTGTTGTTTACTGTGAATAGACCAAAATTTTGACATTTCAAGTATTTCATACATCAAATTATTATACTTCTGATTTGATTTAGACTACTGTATAAATATATGAATAACCTGTTAGCTTCCCTACTTACTAAACATAGTAAAAGATTTTACAACCCATAGTTTTAAAAATGGATATTATGTACTATACAAATACTAACAGACAAGCATAATTAACAACAACAATAGTTAAAAACATTTAAGATATAATATTTATGCTTATAAAAAAAACAAACTTTAAAAACCCATTCTAAACAAAAAGCTAACAAAGTATCTGCATAAAGTGAATCAATAAATCGCTAAGTAAAATAAAATAATAAGAAATAAAATAACAAAAATACTGAACGTTACACTACCTAGTTAATGTTACGTGCCTGTTCTCTCTGTGAACCTGATGGGGCGGCATCTGATGATGTGCAGGCATAGCTTGATGACCAGGCATATGCTGCGGCGGGTGCCCCGACATCGGCTGATGATGCATGTTCGGGTGATGCATCATCTTCACCAATCACTGTCCACATAACAATCACAAACAAAACTGTAAATTTTATGAATGACCAAAAAATAAACACAGCGATCGGTACTTGACTTGTGAACGAAAACTACAATTTACAATATTTTCTTACCAATAGTTTGTGTCAAGTAGTAATTATTACCAAGCTATGCGTTCAACATAAATCCAGTTATAAATCACGCCAGTATGTTTTATTTTGGCTAACAGTAAAGAAAATAGTCTCGTTCAACATGCGGCCATGTTATTAAAAATGTTGCCATGTCATGCTAATGCCATTACTATTATCTACCAATGTTGCCACCACAGTTATGTTTAAGTTGCCAAGCATCATAAAATTAAAACTGCTCAAGTGCATGTAAGTTGAACTGTTTAATTCATATCACAAACATTCCATAGATAAAATAATTTATAAACGTGTTTTTGAGTTCTTAAAACATGGAAAGTGATAACCATCGCCTATAGACATAAGCGATACCATGGACATAATAGAGTATACTGTTTCGCCCATGATACTCCCCATGCGTTACCATTCCTGAGGACTTAGGTGTTATTCCTCTGTACCCTGTAAATTTACGTCATATCCCACCCATCAAACCAAAACACAGCTATGCAAACACAACTGCTTTACGGTTGAAACATAAACGGGACAAAGGTACCCAAGCAAATGACTTTTGTACAAAGTCTCCCTCTGGTAGGTATATGTAGGTATGAGGGAACTTTATAGCTTTTTATATGAAGTATATAACTAATATAATAATTAGTATTGCAGGATAGCTTTAAAAATTCCTTTACATTAAATTTTTTTATATGGAATCCTAAAAAGTGACAGTTTAGCTTATACATCTGCAGAAGTAATATAGAGCATATGACCATTATCATATCAGCCATTAACTGTCCACTTCTGACCACAGGCCTCCCCCATAAGGATGAAAGGGGTTACCAGTAATTGCTACACTTGGAAGGCGGGTTGGCAACTGCAGTTTGGCTTTTGGTAATGTCTTACGACATCCACGAGAAAAAAATGGCAAACAATGTCGAGACCACGAGGTATACGACCATAATCTTTCTAATCTATGCATACGACTGTGGTAGAGCAGAAGATATAAAAATAGATTGTTAGTATGTTATTCAATATCTTTGCCAATGTTCTGAGGGCCTACCTTGAAATATTTTCCGAAATTTCGGGGACAAACGAAATAGAAATTTGATGTTAAAATTACATAATACATGCCGTTTGAAATTATTAAAAATATAAAAATATCGTTCCTCTGGACTATTAGGATAGGATTTATGATGAATGAAACGTTAAGCTCCATTTACTGTGTCGATTTAGGTACGAACAAAAACACGAAAATAAGGCCGAAAATTCAGAATTTCATTTCATGGTAGGTCCCCTGATCATTCTTGTTACAATCTATAAGGATAAGCATATCTGTTCCATGCCTGTTATGATTTTTATGATTGAAGCTATAGATATTTTGGGGGATTTTATTAAAATTTAGATTTTCAATTAAAATGGCATAATTATACTTCCTGTTTGGTTCTAGCATAGAATAAGTTACCTCTTCCTTATCCGTAGTTATCATAAGAGACAAATAAGGGAATATAATGGTCGAGGGATGGGCAGCAGCGTCCCTCTTTAAACATCATAAAGGCCTAACTACTTGGAGAAAGAGTTTGTTAATAATGCGGACTACCAGTCTTATTGCTAGCAATATATCAACCAAACTAAACCAAACTGATCTGCCTTTTCATCTCACCTATCAGCATTCACTGCTACCGCGCTAGCGTGTAACGTTAATGCAGGCAGAGTTACCACTTTATTGTCATCCATTAAAAAAACCTAATTGCGGTTGCCAATATCTCTGATATGATGATGATGAACTAGTTTTAGAATTTCTCAAAAGTACATTAAGCATGTCCTACATACATTTATTTGACAGCGAAGTTACAGGGTACGAAGCTATAATATCATAGTCTTTAAGAATGCCAACTAATGTGAGGTACCATGGTCATTATTCTGTGATATTTACCAGATACTATCTGATATGGCGGTCCATCATTTTATTATTAATTATATTTAAATACAGTTATTGTAGAAAAATATTTATTATTATTTAGAAGACAAATTACAATTCAGATTGACATATGTAAAGAAATAAAACAGACATAAAGTGGAAATAATCCTCGTCATTATTAATTTGTACATCAGTAAGATTCGAATAGACTGGCTCGATGTCCTGCAACGATGTGTCGAAAGTATCGTCATTGTCCCTCGTGGTTTCCGCCCACGACACGCGTTTCGAGCTTCTGGACATTTCTTTCTTTTTATCAGAAGTCGGTGTAGAATGGGAGACGGGAGAATGCGGCCCTTTGCTCGGAGTTTGGGCGCACTTGTCTAAATAGTGTTTGCGTAGAATGTATTCGCGCATGGAGTCATGGCTCACGCGCTTCGGCGGCGGCGGCGGAGGCCTATCATCTTCTTCATTGGTTGCATTTCTCTCTTTCCTGGCTTCTTCTATTCTTTTAATTTCTTCTTCGTTAGATCGTAGAGGCCACGCGTCGAGCTTGTTTCGCATGAGGTAGGGACGGCCGTGAGCGGCGCACAGTATACGTTTGCGCACAAAGTCATGGAAGGGAGCCAGCTCAGAGCCGAGTTCGCGTCGCACGAGTTGCTTGTGCCGTGAGGGCACATTTGGGTCACGAACCGCAAGTAGTGCCTGTAATAATATAAAAGATAAACATTTATTACATATTTCAGTCATTACACTTATCCTCAAATGGAATATTATCTAGTACTTTTTTTTTAATGAATTGCAAAGAAATAATCATATATAATGGACTTTGTTCCATTCATTTCCATTACTTGAACAGTTTCTTCATTAATTTGTGTATTGGGCTGGTGATAGGTGCTTGCATATGTTCTAGTGTACTGGCAGTAGATGGTTGTTATACTGGGCTGGTGATGTGCACTAGATTGACGCTTGGAGGATCCGGACTGGGTTGATCGTATATCGTTTTGATGGTCTGTGAATGAGGCCACTGTGGTAGACGACTGTGTACCGGGATAGTTGTCGGTAACTCTGTACCGAGATAGTGGTGAGAGGTGGTGATTCGGGCTGTACCTGTGAGGCTAGAAGTGCGGCGGTAGCAGCGAGTGCGGCACCCACTAGTCGGTCGTCGAGTGCGGGCAGCGCGTGGCCACTGGCGGCCGAGCTGACGCTGGTGAGCGACTCGCTGCGGCCGCCGCGCCGCGCCTCGGGGCTGCTCCCCGCGCCGCCGCCGCCGCCGCCGCCGCCGCTCGCCCGCCGCCGGCCGCGCGGTGACCGCCAACCGCTGCCCTCCTCGAACTGGTACGACTGCAACATAGCGTTATTGGGATACCCTTCTCATAAAACTTGACCAGTGGAATCAAATTTTTTAACAAAAATTGACAAGACGCTTAACGATGTGTCCCATTCGTGTTTCAACCGTGAAGCAGTTGTGTTTGCATGGCTGTGTTTCGGTTTGAAGGGTGGGATATGGCGTGAATTTACTGGGTATAGAGGAATAACACCTGAGTCCTCAGGAATGGCAATGCATGGGGAGTATCATGGGCGAAACAGTATACTCTGTTATGTCCATGGTACTGCTCATGTCTATAGGCGACGGTTACCACTTTCCATCAGGTGGGCCGTCAGCTTGTTTGCCATTCTAAGTTGAATAAAAAAAAAAAAAAAAAAAAACGAAAATTAGAATACAAAATGCGAGCATAGTCAATTTAACGCGTAATAATTAGCTATATTGTATTATATAGATATTGGTTTTGTTAAATGTCAAAGTAGCAGATATTTAAAATGGCAATGTCGCGAATTCCTGTGAAGCACTGCTTACAAGTTTATATACATATATTAAAAAGTTATTGTCCCAATTTGTGTGCAGAATAGATATTATAAATAAGAAACAATTGTGTTTGCAGTAGTGATATAAAAACATATAATTAGTTAGTAGTTACTTAAAAATAATTATATTATTATACATACTTGATTTAAGGATCTAGTTAGCAAACATATTGCTGATAATAATGTTCCAAATGTCAATTGGGGGAATGGTTCATAAGTTATCTTTGGTGCACCAAAATGTAGTTCTACTAGTGGTTGCCAACGCTCCAAATCGAGGCCTGGATCTGCTAGCAAGGACAGGAGGTCCGGACTGAAGGCCAACAGACACAGAGTAGACATATGTAACACTTCCAGAGTCCTGTAAACGAAATAATAACATTAAATGTTATATATATATATATAACATTATAGAAAATGGTTAAGTCGGTTAGTTTGTTATATACACTTTACTGTAGGACTATGTATATATATATATATATATATATATATATATATATATATATACATAGTCCTACAGTAAAGTGTATATAACAAACTAACCGACTTAACCATTTTCCCGCTTTATACTGCTAATACAATTTACACATGAGTACATCACACAAACCTGTGCAATAGAGAAGGCGCTTGACTGACAGATTCCTCGCTTGCTTGTAGTGTGGGATCAGATGACCGACGCGAGCGGAGCATCAGCGTCACACACTGATAAAAACAGGCACTAATACTACGCTGTAATATAGAATTTATTTCTTTCAATAATTATACATACATATTTTTATATTTTTTTTATCTAACAAAAATATAAATCGAAAATTTTAGCTTACCATTATTCCAATCAATGAGTTTATATTCTGTATCCGCCATCTTGATTCATATTTCACAAGTTGTACTATAAGATTTAATACTGAGGCGCAAAGATTTAACGCTTCAATGTTGAATACTTGTCGAGGCAGCAAGGTTGCCTCTATCAGATGTTCCAAATGCACACCTACGAACGTGATGGCATCGCTGACAAAGAATTGACCGTGCTTCATCACCATCATGGATATGAAGTCCAAGCTGTAGGCGTATACACGCCACCACTCGTGTGGTTTCCACGCCAATGGACCACCGTTAGTATCAAACTTAGGCGGCAATAGCTGCAGCCAAAGAAATTGATCCACATCGCTCATGAGCAAGTCTTTAGAAAACGGTCCTCTTGCATAAGCTGTTAAGCAACGTAAAGCCGCCAAAGAGGTATGACAATGCCGACGGTTTTGTAAACACTGTTGCAAACAGCACAGCAATTTATTAATGAATCTACTCGATTGAAACCACTGTGAGAGCCCGGAAAAGGTATCGTCATATAAATCTAAACATTGTTCCAACATAGCTAGAGATAAAACCACAGGCGGAATGTTCTCGTTTGTATTGTTACCGTTCAGCTTTGGTTCGTTTTTCGGTACTTCTTTTATATCATCAAATAAATTTTCTAGTTCGATACTATTGATATTAGTCACAGATCGTATAATGCTTTGCGCTGTTGCACTGTTGGCTTTTATCTCATAATCTAAACTACTTATAGCCACTGTACCAATCGAGAGTATCGCTCGAACAGCTCTGGGATGCAAACATTCATACATAATAGCCGTGTTAGTCAGAAGGCTATCTATTTGCTTAGCGCTGGCTTTTCTGTTATCAAAACAATCGTCTTTCCAATTCGCCAGCATTATGACATATAATTCAGCGAGTATAACGACTAATCGGCTATCTTTCAGATCATCTAATTCAATCAGCAAAGCGTTCATACATGGAGCTACCATTTTAGCCTTATGCGCTATATTCAGGCATATTGGAAGGCATTTACAAAATATTGTCGTAAAATCCTTCCAAGAGGTCAACAAACCCAACCAAATTGGAACTTTATCTATTACTTCGTCTATATTAGTCCTACCTTTAAAGGCAAATATATAATCTATCCATGTATCTAGATGTTTTTTATCAGTATCGAAAAATAGTTCTAACATCTCTATTAAATTAGGTTCTAGTTTGTCTCTTGATGTAAATAGCTCAATACCGAGGACATTGAATATTTGAGCGTAAGTTCTCAGTTTGGGTTGAATTTCGCTGAATAAAGGACTGGTCATATGTTCCCAGAATTTTGGATTTTCACGTAGTTTTTTTACTAAGATTTGCATATTATTTTTCCACAGTGCATGGAACAATTCCATAATACATCCAAGTAAAGGACTATGTAGTAATTTAGCATCCTGAAAACAAATCCAATCAAAATTAAAAAAGAGCTAAGATTAATCCCTGAAGAACTCCAGAGTTAATTTAAATATACTTACAGATTTTACAGTGCCCAAATAATCGGCCATGTAACCTAAAATACCCTCAAAATTATCATCAGGCTCAGTTTTTGATTTTGGTGTATCTTTATTGTTTTCGTCAGCCTTTGCCTTTTCATGGTTCATCATGAAGAATGCTTCCGTTAGTCCTGGTTGTTTGCCCACACAAGTAGCTACAAACTCTAGGATAGAGACTTTCAAGTCAATGGTTTCATATTTATCACGTAATCTGTCTAAAAACATAACGCGCACTTGATATGCAGTCATGTCCAATGATGAGAATAAAGACATTTGGAAACTCTGAAAAACAAACACGACTGTAAGACTCACAGCTACATTTAAACGAAAGTGTAATAGAGGATGTACAGTAGAGTGAAAAAATACGAGAAAACTTTTTTTTAGAAACTACACACTTCACATATGAAACACAATTGATCTAAAAATTGCGATATATATACAACATTATAAATTATATCATTCATTACTTACATCAGCAAACTTCTTTAGCAACCGACAACATAATACTGGTAAGTTCTTATTGAACGCATGATTTATGTAGCTAGTCACTTTAGGCACTACTTTCAATGAATCCTTCTGTTTATTTTGTGCAAATATCAAATGCTCCAATGGCGTCATGTCACCATTTTCAACAACTAATGACTTCAATCGAAGCGCAAACATTACTAGTGCAACACATCTCTGCAATGTGGATAAATAGTGGAACCCCGTACCGGACGTCCAATTTGTTTCGTTGTGCATCATTCTTTCTACTTGGATATTGCCTAAAACATATATGTATGTAGTTGTGTGTATAAATACTTTGATTACTTTAATATAAGCATGTCTCATTGTATTTCACTGTAATGAATTGTGAAGAGAAAAATAAATCTATTTATTATAATTATTATTAATTATAAGAAATGTTTAATGCGCCACAACAAAAATAATATATTTATTTATCGTCATCATTATCATTTCAGTCATTCACTGTATATTGGCACAGACCTCACTTATAGAGCAAAACAAGGAATAGTCATAAGCCAGCTACACCCACATCTCCTTGCAACACATATGATTAGCAACAAAAGGACGGCGTTTTGATTTTGTATGTCATGATCAACATCACACATAATTTATAGACTTTCATTTTATAGACTTAAGAATATTTGGGATACAAAGACGAAACATAGTTTCCTGAATGTTGCCCAACTATGTCGGTTGTCATAAAGTAATTAATAAAAAAAGTCAGCATAATGTGGTTACAATTATTTCATTCAAGGCAGAAAAAATTAGTCTATGCTTAGGTATACAGAATGGGACCAAGATTAAATCCCTGCGATACACCAGCCTGAATTTACTTGAGTTTTGAGTTCGTCTGACGATGCCTATAGGAAAAATTCAAAATCACATCTTCACACCATTTCTATTAATAAATAATTTTTCATATTGTATAGTACTTACCAACGGAAATTATCTTCAACAATTCTAAAGCATTCTCTGTATGCAATAAGCTGTAAACACATGTGCGTTTCAGTAGCTCTATACTATCGTTTGTATCTTTTGAATGTTGTAACACTAGAGTGAGGAACTTGGCGCAACGTTGCAACAAACAACGCCGTTCATCTGTGTTGCGGTAGCGCCACCCACATACATTGGGAAACACTTCTCGCAACGTTAGTATCAGGCCGGGCAGAATGATGTCTTTCGTTATGCGCTCGTCGATTGAAATCTAATGCACATAAAAAATGTATACAAGTGATGTAAGTAAAAGTGTATAAAATATGATTTATTTGTTTTCAAATTATAGATTTGAACTATACGTACGACTTGATTACAGAACATCACTTTGCAACTCAGACGCCAGGGAGCTATCGTCACAACCAGTGACGATTTACATATTTGCTCCCAGTAGGCAGTTAAAATATTGCAGTTTCTACCGATTTTATAAATCGATCTTCTAATGTATAATTATAGTAAATACAATTTTTGACAATTAAATTGTAATTTTATGATTTTATTATTATATCATATGATTTTATATCTGCCGTTAACTGCCAGTGGTCAGTTACTGAACATAGGTCTTCCCTATAAAGGTGGTTTTGCCACACTTGATGGGCAGGCTGGCAACCGCAGTTAGGCTTTAGTGATGTTTTAAGAGTGACGGGATGCTGCTGTCCATTTCTAGAATATTAAGTCCCCTTACTTGCCTCTTACGACACCCACAGAAAAAAAAAAACAGTGGCCCATTCTAGCTAGTAACTTTGATTATAAAAAGAAAAAATGCCCCAAATTTGCCGCTTCTGAAATCTACTGCCCTTGGCTCCAGCTTACTCAGCATATAGAACTACATTGTTATAGGTAACAATACAGAACACGGACACAACAACTTTGTCTCTGGTTTTGACCCCGAATAAATCTTTCGATTCAATATGATTATGTTACATTACTTCTTCTAATATCACAGAAGATGAGGGTTGAAAACTAACCTCGTGAAAAGCGCACAACAAGTCAATGTAAGCTCCCAAGAATTTATATGAGCCAGTAGGCTGTTCAATTGTGATCAAATAAGATCCTACAGCAGCTGTGTCAAACGAAGCGCCACTCGCGTACTCCACGTGGGAAAGCTTTTGGTTTAGCACCCGTGGCAGTAAACCTGTATTTATAAGCCTAAAATAAAGATTGCATATGAAAAATCAAACACGAAATATCTAGTAATGTAATTAAATAAAAAAAAAACTATAAAAAAACTAAGTGGACTAGAAAATACAATTATTCTATTAGGTTATTAAATCTAAAAAGATACGATGTAATAATAAATTAAATACCTCGGATCATTGTCTACTTATTATAAATTTTAGTAGTTATGGATATGTACATGTGTACATAACTAACATACCTCATGTGTATTTCTTTAGGAAATATAGGTATTAAAGTGGTGCAAACTTGGAGGCACTCGACTAGTAGTGGCAAAGCGGGTTCGTCCGCTCGCATGAATCGTACGAGCATATCGAATACACCCTCGCTTGGCACCACTAGGTTCTTTGGAATCTCATTGTCTTCCACTAAAGCTTTTAATACACCTTAAAAAAAAATTAATTTGTGAAGCATATAATTATTACAGAGTCAAATAGGTACAAGTCGTACAGTTTACGAACGCATGCGCACTTGTGGGTAGATGCGTGTACATATTATACATTATGATTGTGTGGGTGATGGCTTTATCAGATACACTATGTCTACTAAGTACTTAAATATATATACGTATATACTGCGAGAAGAATTAACGCATGGTCATGAATTGCAAGAAACGGAAATATCAAATCGCATTGGCGACGTGATAATAAATCAATTAGCAATTTTGTTAATGAATGAACAAATATTATAATTGACTCAAACATTTCAAAGGTCACAAATAATAGTGTTACTTCGTTTATAGTGGATACACGGTATCCCTATAAGATACAAATGGTAAACGCACATATGAGAACCCGCCGAATATTTCTGTGCCGTTCTATCTCACGTATGCGATGTATCTAGAGTTAGCCACATATTTTTGGGGGAGAGGGATCACAGTCGAATTATTTATAACCCAGCACAAATAGGTTAAGTTTCATACGAGTCTATAATACTGTTGGATTTTAGACTGTAAATCTGTCTTATGACTTTGCATCTTACCTTTCAAGACTTTGGTCCCTTCGTACACTCTCTCTAAAGTTACACTAATGTTGTGTTGATGGTGCTGCTTACGATCTAATGCTTTCTCTATCTCATTATTAAACACGGTCCAATAAGAGTACGGCGTGCGGAAGTGGATCATGGTGCCTTCTTTCCTTTCCATGATAGTAGCTTTAGAGCCTGGTTCAATGCGGTATGAGGGATTACCCAGTGGGTAGTACTCCCGGCCAATTATACCATCGTCAGATTGTAAAGACATAACAGGTACCGCGTTAGGGTTGTACATCTCGGTATAAACTGGTAGATTTTGTAATTCTGCTATAAGCTACAAAAAAGCATATATTAACATGAATGTATAAAGCCTGATATCTTTTTCATTTTTATTTTGACAAGCTTAATAGTGTAGTGCCTCAATATTGTTGACTATGAGAGGTTGCAACTATGGGCGATGCAGGATTGTCGTGGCATATATGTTAGTTTTCCGCATAATAGGCATTTTTTAAATTAAGATTGAGCACCCCCGATGTAGTGGTTAATACTACATTTATATATTATTAATACACTACTGATCGCGGCTTCGATCTCGCACAATATAGACGTGAATATGTCTGTTTGTTTATTATTATATTATTAGTGTGGACGTTTTCTATGTAATATGTATTTCTAAGTGTGTATAATTATAGTGCATATCTTCACTGTTTAGTTTAAGACCAAATAATACTGTGTAATATGCCCAGTGATGTCTAATATTTTTTTATGCAACTTAGAATGGCAAAGACTCTAAAGTGGTAACCGTCTCCTATAGACATGAACAGTACCATGGACATAACTAATATTATAAAAGGAGTTATAATAAGTGAGTAACAGGGGCTATATTTGATTTAAAAAAAATGCGATATGTGTCCAGTCGCTAGTATACAAATGCAACCTCAAACTACAAACTTGACAAATGCAACATTTTATCTACAACGTTTCTTGCAAATAAATTTAATTTCGTTTATTATTTAAGTAGTTTTACCCGCGATTTCGTCCAACTAATCGGGATATATTTAATGATCAGAATAAAAGTAACCTACATCCTTCTTAATCACATATAATACATATATATCAAATTTCATAGTGATTGGTTAAATCGTTAAGGTGCTTTAAAGTAACAAACTCATCTTCACATTTATAAAATTGGCAAAGATGTAATTATACTTACATTTCTGACACTACATTTCCCAGCTTGCCCTAAAGCTGCCGCCAAAATAGAAAGTGCGTTAAAGTTGTACGGGAAGTATTCCAGGGCAGTATTCCAAAGTGAAACCACTCCATAATTGTCATCATTCTTATGCAACTTCCAGAACTGGCTTGCTATATCCGGCGTTTTAAGGAGATCAGCACAGAGCTGCATGATACCTGGCTGGTGACTCAGCATGCCATCCCCATCAAACTTGTCGCATAAGTTATTGAGAAGGCAAAAGACGCGTTGTCTAGCAATTTTTGAGCATTTTGAATTGTCCTGTTAATGTAAAGATAATGATATAAATCATAATTATAAAGAGTTTATATCAAAGTATTTTTAATAGATGATTGTAATGTACTATATTTCCGCACTGAGTCTCTCATCATCAGGGTTATTATTTCATTTCAATGGATGAAATTGAAATCTTAACTCTGCATGCTCAATCGGTACAAACTCACTGAGCACCAATGAGAGATGATAGGTGAAGATGAAATTAAGTTAGTTGGCCCATGGGGATGAATAAATTATTACTGTTTTTAGGGGGGACAGCATTAAAATTGGTCTACCAGGGTGTATGGCTATTATGGGGCTATTACTAACAATTAATTAGAGGTATAATCTATTTTACATTAGGTAGAGAATGATATCTCATTCACTATCTGTTGTAAAATACAAGTAACTCCTGTGTTTTACAAACATTCTGTCCCACAAAATAAAGCCAGATATTATTTATGTATGAAGAAAAATTAAAAATATATGGATCAAACTTACAGAAAACACAGAGCTACTCAACATTTCTTGTAAAAATTCAAATACATGCATTCTAAGTGCTACAGTGCCGAAATGTTGATACTGGCTCTCAAATAATCTTGAATGTTGTTCACTCTGAAAAAGGAATAATAGTAGATTACTTTTTGAGTGATAATGGCAGTAAGAATACAATCCAACTTTTTCATATACAGGAAGCAAAAGGTAACTAAGCTACAAGTAGGTATGACTAATATCAGTGTTGCATTGATCTATATATTATGTTCCTCTGGACATTGATGGGGGAAAAAATGTCATCATTACTTTTGATATCACTTTTATTTATTATATCTATATTTATTTTCATTTGGTGCTCCATATTGACATATAAAATTATCAAAATGTTATATAGTTATTCTTTATTGGGCCAATTGGGATATTGTAACAACAAATTTATAGATATTGCTGTACCATAACCATCCCTAGCTACAATACATAAATAGATAAGGAAAGCTGGCATAAAGCTCTATGCTGTGTACACCAGACAGATTCTCTATCCCATTTGGTTTATTATCTCATTCTTGTTTCTTTACCTCCATCTTTGAAGTGCTGCATTTTAGAAAGTTGCTATTCCAAGTTTTAAAACTATCCTGCTTTGTATAGAAAAAAATCTAAGGAATATTCATATTATATACATAGTATTGATAAATTTTTGTATTGTTTTCTTTTTAATGATTCATTTCTGTTTGCAAACTGTTATTGTAACTTATAACAAGTAAATAAAATAAAAATTATAATGATAATTTGAGTATTTATAGTGCCAAGTCTTAATTAATCACTACTTTGATTTAAAATAATGATAGGAGTGCAAAATATCAATTAATTTTACATTATATCTTGTTTAATAATAAAGAGCATTTACTAATAAAGCATATTAAACAGAATTTTGATATGGTGTAAAATATAAAAATAGGTTACCTGTAATGTTAGCAGCATCCATGTTATAAGCATAGCACTGTGTTCAACATTCATCTCTAACTTGGTCAGTTCAGATTCCACATGTTGTTTGGTTGTCTCTATCCATGATGATAGATTTTTACTAAAATATTATTTTGAACTATGAAGTGAATCAAATTTTATAATTGTTTTTTAGTTATAAATTATGTACTATATATGTTAATGATTTAAAAAAAAATATTAAGAACAATGATTAGAATCAGAGTAGCCATGTTCTCTCTCAGAAAAAAATAGTTAACAATCTCTAAAGTTGGCAAGTATGGAGAAAATGAATTAATAAAACAGATTAATTTAAATATATATAAGGATAAGGGCAGAGTTCAGTATTTTTAACCTACTCTGCGAAGACATCAGCACAGGATAAATAGATATTTATAATTTTATTTATGATTGGTTTATGTTGCTTTCTCTTAAAATAAACTTACATAAGTTTCCCATCCATAACAACCATAAAAAGGCAGATTTCCATATACATGATTCTCATATAGGACTCTCTATGTGTTTCCCCGAGAAGTTCATTGTATCCTTGGTTTTTACCAAAGTTGTGCTTTTTAAATAAAGAGAGTAATTTATTGAATAGTGTATCGCTAATAGAATTCTCACTAACAAGTAATAATAGAGTCTGTAGAATAGTAAGTTGTTCTCTCAAATTGGACTCTGCCCACTCTTGCCTCACAGTGTCACTGCTAAAATCATTCTGAATCTTCCTAGGAGGAGGGGCAGTGGTTATCAATTTCTCAAACTGATTAATAAGTGATTCCATAATGTTTTCCTTTATGTCATTGTATATTTTCATAAACACTTTGTGGTAACTATGAACACTGTCATCTTTCATCTCTATTATGAACTGCAGTAGCTTTAAGAGGAACAGTCTTTCTGAATAATAGAAGTTCCATATATTGGGAAGTAAGAAAGTAGGTCTTGTATCCACAAAGGCAATGTTTTTCAAAGCATTTGATGGTGTACCATATGAAATATCACATAAATAAGACTGTATTATATCCCATAATTTAAAACAGTCAATGTCCTGGAAGAAAAAAAAATTAAAATTATTATTCATTTAAGTATACTTAAATAAAAGTATTTAATAAAATTAATTTTTATTTTAAACATTTAGAATAGTACTTAATGCTTCTCTATGAATTTCGGTATACTTCTATACTGTTGTTAGCATTCATAATGTATAGCAGGAAAGATAAGTGGAGATTCATGAACATCCCAGCATCCCAGAAACAACAACTTGCATCTCATTTAATTTATATAAAAAACATTAAATATAAAAATAAAATTCTTTATACAAACCATATAATTCTGTAATGTTTGAACTACGCTCAATAGTTTAGTTTGGTCAGGATATTTACTCTGTAACTGAGCATACAGTTCAGGTTTATTGGGTTTGTAGCTAGCGAGTCCTTGGCGGAGCGATTCTATAACTTCCTTCGTGTCCAATACTGCTTCGAGTTCATCACTACTAAGACTTCCAGAGCTGGTCCAACACCATAGCCGCTTCCAATAACTAAAATTTGATTATAACATTAGAAATGAGAAGACCAATGGAATTTCATTACACGAGTAAAACGTACCTGACGTTAGTAGTCGTAGTCATATTGCGAATAATAATTCATCTAAGAATGTTTATAAAATTTATTTGATTTCTTCACTTTACCGCCACTTTGTGTTCATTTTCTCCTAAAAAAGTATTGTTCGTTAGGTTATGTTTTGTATGTAGATATGACAGATTTAAACCACAGATTAGAGAGAGAGTATGAATTTAGACACAAAGCCGTTTACAGTTTTATAGTACTGTTTTATACTTGACAATAAGAATTTAATAAATTTTCAACTCACTCTACTAATAGAGAATATTGAAAATTCGAACCCTAAGGTTCGAATTTTCAAAATTACATTCTCATTCTTTACTTATGCTATATAAAAAACGTATCTGCAAAATTTAAAGATTCTAGATTCAGCTGTTTGTTAATATATGTATCAGTCAGTAACTCACTTAGCCTTTTATATATATTATACTAGCAATCCACCCCGGATTCGCATGGGTGCAATGCTGATACTAAATATACCTACCTTCTACAGAATGTCCTTATAAACAACGTTTACAGCTTATTTGTAGACATTGACCCTGCATTTTAAGTTTGTAGTATGTTGGGAAATATTCATTTAAATTACATGTTGTAAAGGATCTAATAGTAGGTAGATGCAGACGAAGCAGACTTCATAGCGTTGTCCATAAAAACCAAGCATGCAGCGCTAAAGATGCGGAGACAGCTTGACACCCTACAAATTAGTTGAAGACATGGCGATTGTTGGCGAACATGCGCAAAATGCAGGCGATCCTCTTCGGCCACAAATATCACCCAACAAAATTATGCCTGTGCGACCTCCCGAACAAGTGGTTCGCTTCCGACACCTATCTAGGAGTGGAGGTCGCGCAATAAGACCAAAGTAGGCAGGTACCTCCTACGGCCCATATTGACAGGAAATCTCCCTCTTAAGACGACGTTAAACTTATACATGATCTAAACAAGAAACAACAACAAAAAAATAAGATTCGATCACACCTCACGTACGCTGCGCCGGGGTGGTATGCCAATACAAGTCGAACTAACAAGAATAAACTACGAGCGCAGCAATATCTCACGTTTTGTACGCGTGGGGTGTTGTGGCGGGTGGTGTCTCTCTCAAGCGTCGCGTAGGAAAGTGTAGGGATCTTATGAACTTTACCTTGGACGCCCACATAGAAGACCTGGCTACTAGGATGTTGCACGCGTGACCACCGGACTATGAGCTCGTGCGCATAAGGCTTCAAGCCTTATGCGCACGAGCTCATAGCCCGCACGCAAAACACCAGAGGACTCTCCCTAGCGAGTGATATAGCACCCCATGGTTCATTCAATTGTTGGCAATTTGCCAGACCTCCCTCCACCATTGCCAGGCCTCCCACACCTAGCAGGCGAAAATCGTGCAGAATTAACCCGTATCGGCGCAGAAATCGTTGCAACCTTCGAAGGATTTCCACTTCAAGAAATCAAGCATTTTAATTTCGTCATCTTTCATTCATAATCACCTCATTCATAATACTCGGCGCATGTAAACACCAGGGGGTATACGTCCCGGGCTAGTTTTCCCATCCCCTCGAGATTATAGAGCCCCTTTAAGTACAGAGCTTTTAGCCGTTAGGCGTGCGTTCGAACAAATCTCCAACACGCTTGATTGTATGTCACATTAAGATTATTATCTATCTTTGTTCATGTAAATTATGCGATTTCTTTGTGCTTGAGCCTACCTTTTAAACTGAATTCTAAGTAAATTCCTAAAATTATATTATTCATGTGTGTGTATATATATATATATATATATATATATATATATATATATATATATATATATATATATTAATAATAAATACTTTTACAATACTGTAAATATTTAATTTTTAACATTGATACTTTTAGATAGATTAGATTTACTGCATAAATGAATTTACCAGGTTTGTTAATAAAAAGGTAACGCTGATTCTTCTGTGGTCAAAACAGTGTTTCCAGTTATAGCAAAATATGCAATTATAACATAATTCATAATTAGGTCTTAGAGTTCTATTAGACTAACGTCAAGCGAAAGTGATTTATGAAGCGTTTCCGTACCATCCTTTCAGTCTATTCAATAATTTAACTGTTATTGAATAATATTATACTATTAATAGAAAGATAAAAATATGTGAAGCGAAAGAGGTTTGTTTGAATCAAAGCATTTGGCGTTCCATTGTTTTTGCCTACGCTAATGGGAGACAGGCGTGACAGATATGTATGTATGTATAAAAATATGTATTTATTATTATTATTCGTAGTCAAGACAATTTTTATTTTATATTTACGATATTTTCGTAGTATTTTACAAATTCATTCGTTGTACAATTTGTGTTTTTTTTTTTTTGTTTAAGCTGTTTTTACGCGAACAGTTACCACAATCATCAATTTGTATCTGGCATATTGGTTAGAACTGTCACTGCCAGACGGAACCTGACAGAACGAGTCTGATTGGTCACAGCCCGGCCACCGTGTCAATTATCTGTCTGTCTGTCTTATTACATATCTACCTACATTGCAGAAAATATACCTTTTATAGTAGATTAACGGCTTAACGGCGTATAGACTTATATAGTGATTTAATTTAAATAAACTTGGTTTAAGATTGTATTAACTTAACTTGGTGGGTGTCTTTGTTTCGGCTGGTTCTTACATATTTAATACTTGTAAAGGATAATCTGCTATCGAAATGGCGCCAGCGGCTGCAGCTGTAAGACCAAAGCCCGATGAAGATCCAATCGGCATCCGAGCAGTTCTGTTGGGACCGCCTGGTTCAGGCAAAGGGACTCAGGTTGGTGTTATGTTTTATAATTTTTATAAACAATTTTTACTAACTTTGACCTAAAGTTTGACCTTCAACTGGAAGGGCCGGGGAAGAAAGGATTGTTAGTAACGGCCATTAGTAATCTCATAGCTAGCAATTATCCTGTTAGATCGTCTACACTGTTCTTCCTGGAAACCATCGTGATTGATGATTTTTTTAATGGATAATAAAGAAATGGTAACTCCGCTTGTGCTTTTAGTATATCCTGTTGGGGCACCAGTGAGGTGAGATGAAGGGAGACAGGTAACGATGAAAGCAGGTCTGTCAGCCCATCGTGACAAATTCCACTAGAATTAACCATTATAGTTTCCAGGGAGAACCGCATGAAGGTTGACTTTTAAGGGTATATTGCTAGCAATGGGGAAATGAGACCCCATTACTAACAATTCCATTTCCCCCAGTGAGAATAAAAAGGCAGGTCAGTTCATCACAATGGATGAATACACCTGGAATTCAGCATGATGGTTTCCAGATGAGGGGATGGGGGTATGTGGAGGTTAGCCTGACAGTGACTGCTAGCCATTACTAATAATCCCTTTTCTCCCTAGTCCCCATTGTTTTTTTTAATGGGTGAAAATAGAATGGTAACCCCACCTGCGCTATTGGTATAAACTGGCGGGGCACCAGTAAAAAATTATAGAATGCAGGTCAGTTGGCACACCATAAGGAATTTGACAAGAACTAATCATGATAGTTCCCAGGGTGAACCGCGTGGAGGTCCACCTGAGAAGGTATATTGCTAGCAATGGGGCTATTAGATCTCATTACTTACACTCTCTTTCCCATCAGTCCCCATTGTTAGGTTCCCTGTTAATTCGACCTTCCCAAGGTCCTTCCTGGAAGCCATCATAGTTAATTCCTGGTGAATTAGTAATGATAAGCTGATAGACATAAGTTCATCCTTGTCTATTGTCTCTTACTGGTACCTCATCAGTATAGACAGGGGTACCATTTCATTATCATAAAAAAATAAACTTTTAATTGGATTTTAGTCTTATGGTTAATTATTATAATTATTGACATTATCTTGAATGATATAGTACAGTGAAACTTGGTTAAGTGGGGCCTGGATAAGTAAGAATCTCCATAACTGGAACTCATGCTGAGGTCACAATACTTTGACACTGAATTACTTCCGATGGTAAGACGAAGCAAACCTCTATATCTGGGATTTGTTCTTTATATTTTAAAGTCATAGTTACCTCTATAATTGAGACAGCTAGTGAATTTTATATATATTAGCCTCTGTAACTAAAACAACATCAATTTATCAGCTCTCTTACTTGGGCTACTTTGCATTTAAATTTGTTACTTACTTATTTTTATTCTACCCACAAATTCCGCACTTAACTAATTTTGAACTTTAATGACCTTCAGTTTTAGTAAAGCAATTACTATCATACAGATGTTTATTTGAAAAATGCTGAAACAAGGCTCAAGTCATTATCAGTATGTAAAGAACTGAAGTTAATATTCCTTTATGAAAGTGGGAAGACACATAATCAAGGCAGTGTCGAATTTAATGTTAACAGGGAAAACTAATATGTGTACTTAATGTGTAATGTGTGTATTTATCAAACGAATCCTCTGTAAATGAGACATATTTATTTATACTTGGATATCTGAGAACTGGGTAAGAAGAATACCTATATAAGTGAGATAAATTTACAGGTACCTTAATATATCAGTTAACCAGGTTTCACTTTACCAAAATATCATTGAAAAAATCTCATCAAAATATTTATAATTTATTATAGTTGCTAATTATTATGTAGGATTAATTACTAAAAAACTGGGTGCTGGGTACATTCTTCATGTTCATAATTTTACTGCAATTTTAATATGAAATAAATAATAATCTTGCCACTAGAAAAGTATATTTATTTGAATTTACAAGACCTACACTATAGATTTCTTTTTAATTTTAAATAGGGCTGATATACCTGAAGAAAGTCTTTTACTTTCTTCAGGTATAGCAGTTCTATCATATCCTAAAATGATTTCTCAAATAAAGTTTTATCTACTTTCTCTAGTTACGGAAGGAGATGGATTATTGGGTATTAAAATTTTACATAGATGTTAAATTTTCTGATTTGAGTTCAGCTAATATAGAATACACTAAATGAAAAAAAAAAAATTAAAAATATATATTACCTTTAATTTCAAATGTTGGGTCTGTAACTTTGTGTAAAATAATTAGGCAATTGAAATGTTGATATTACCATCTGAATATGCTTTGTTTTCACTTAGATTTATCCTTCGTAAGTACAAGTAATGTAGGCAATGGGAAACATAATTCCTTATTCTTTTTTTATGTAAGGTTTAAAAAAAGAACAAGGAATTATGTTTAGGTAAAGGTTTTTGTGTAAGGTTTAGCATTGATATAAAAAGATACTGATAATTAGTATATTCAATTACACATCGTCATGAGACACATGTCCTAGCGGTCCTATATAATATCCTTAATAATCCCAATTCTCCTTCCTACCTTCGTTCCCGGTTCCAATTATTACCTCCTCCTTCCAGACCTAGACGTCTTTGTCTGAACCAGTCCAGGGTACTGAAGCTTCCCAGCTGTAAAACCCATTTTATGGGTAACTCATTTGCATATCGTGCTGTACAGCTGTGGAATAAACTTCCCGTGAATATTCAGAATAGTCCGTCTAGCAGTTCCTTCAAAAAAAGATTAAAATCATTTTATCTTTCCAATTTAATTTAAATATAAAAATGATTAGAAGACTGTCATCATTGTGTTCTCTTGTATCTGATATTTATATGTTGTATTTAACGTGTGTATGTATGTGTATATGTATATATATGTGTATGTGTATGTATGTATATATGTGAATGCATGTGTGTATATATATATAATTATTTATAATTTATGTAAATATTTATTTAAATTTCTGTCTTGCACTACTACTGCCCACTCACTACTTCCTATGCCACTGCGTTAGGTTGACTGGAAGAAATCTCTTTTAGAGATAAGTTCGCCTTTGCTAACATTGTTATTAACTTATTGTTGTTACTGTATGTTTTTGTGCAATAAAGAATATATATATATTCTTGTGATATCCATGTTGATATTTTTGTCAACAGGTGAAAGTAAACAGTTTCCACCAATATCTAGTTAGCTTCATAAGTTAAAATGTAAATCTGTTTTAGGGAGTCAATGGACACAGGTTGTTAAGGCCTATTTCTTATGGCAGTCTGTGAGATAGATCTAAATTCAGCAGTGGCATATAAATGGCTGAAATGATGATGATGAAATAAAATCTATTTCAATTTAAATGTATACATATTTTTATAGGCTCCCCTGCTCAAGGAGAAATACTGCGTTTGTCATTTATCAACCGGTGATATGCTTCGTGCTGAGGTGGCGTCTGGTTCAGCACTCGGCCGCCGCCTCAAGGCAGTTATGGATGAAGGCAAGCTGGTCTCTGATGAGATGGTTGTTGATATGATCGACAAAAATCTCGATCAGCCAGAGTGCAAGAATGGTTTTCTGCTCGATGGATTTCCAAGGACTGTGCCCCAAGCGCAGAAGGTAAATTATTCTTTTGTATGGTACAAAGCAAAAAAACAGAAAAGACACAGTGTGAGAAATAACCTGCAATGACTTTTCTATTTTTATCTGTATTCGTACATAATGAATGTGTTATGTAAAAATTTGGTAGGTATTTATATTTTATTTGATACACCTGGGGCTTATATGTTAGTTTTGTTACACAATCATTTTGAACATTTATCAAATAATCTGATATTTATTGTAGATTATTCTTGTTATCATTACTCTGACACAATATTTTTTATATTGGTATTATATAAATTGATTTATTTTTAGTTACGTTATTATATTTTATTTATTATAATCCTTTGGTAACACATAAAAATTAAAACGTTTACAGCACAGCTTATTTCCTATGTGCTAGATGAAAAAGTACAAGGTTAATCTTACCTATTTTTTTTATGGGTGAAAATGGAATGGTAACCCCGCCTGCGCTAACGGGATACGCTGGCGGAGCACCAGTGAAGGGTGATAGATGAGAATGAAAACAGGCCAGTTAGCCCATCATGATGAATTCATCAGGATTTAACCATGATAGTTTCCGGGGGGAACCGCGAGGAGGTCGACCTGGTTGGGTATATTGCTAGCAATGGGATTCTCAGTCTCCATTACTAACAATCCCTTTCCCCCCAATCTTACCTATTGTATATTACTATTGACATTTGTAATTATATAATTTTATTTTGTAAAATATGCTACTGTATAGCATAACATGATACAATAGGATTAAAATAAATTGTGTATAAATCGGAAAAATGTTCTATGTGAATAGTTGATTTTAATATCTTAATTTTTAAGAGAGGGGTGAAAACAAAAAAAAATATTAAACATATTCATCACTAGTTAGTTTCTATTATTGTACATTTTTTTTATACCACTGAGGTGGCAAACAAGCATACGGCCCACCTCATGGTAAGCGGTTACCGTAGTATTTATATAGTAGGTATTGTAGATAAAAGCAATAGTCGTCTTTTAATGTTATGGTGAACATATCAAGTCTTTATAGTTTACTGGATGGAATACTTTCAAGGTATAAATCCGCCATTATACTGTTCAATACCTAGACTAATTCCTCTATTTTTTTTGTGGAATAAAGATAAAAAAAGCAAACAATGTTGTAATCAAAATAATACTAATCTTCCAGTTGGACGATTTGCTCGCCAAGAGAAAAACGGAGCTCGATGCCGTTATCGAGTTTGGAATTCAAGATAGCTTGCTGGTACGTAGAATCACAGGCAGGCTGATTCACCCCGCGAGTGGGCGCAGTTACCACGAAGAATTCCATCCGCCCAAAAAACCTATGACTGATGACGTCACTGGCGAGCCGTTGGTGAAGAGGTCCGATGACAATGTTGACGCACTGAAGAAACGGTTAGCCACGTACCACGCGCAGACTGTACCTCTGGTCGATTATTACCTGAGGAGAGGGTTGCATTACCGAGTGGACGCAGCGAGACCGGCGGAGGAGGTGTTCAGCAAAATTGATAACATATTCAAAAGCCGTATTTTTAGTAGATTTCGAGCGACTCAATAAGTTTTCTATATCATATATCATGAAGTAAGCGTAAGTGTACAAATCAAACTCTTATTGTGATCGATGATTGTGGCGGTGGTTTTTATTATATCTATTATCGAAAATCTAGTTGCCTATTTTAGAGACTATATTTCTTGAAATAAAGTGGAAAGGTATCATGGAAGTTTTCGTTTCATTTCGTAACATATATAAGTGTGATAAGTTTATCATAAATTTATCATAAATTGAAAAAGACTTTGATATGATACATTGAACGACTCATTTAGACTTACATAATTGCACAGTTGTTATTATTTAGACTCTTATCTCGAATTATATGACTCAAAGAGAACAGGGTCTTTTTTGTAGTAAATAAAAACAGTTTGAGTCGGATAGATTTATTTCCAGTTAAAAGTAGGTAGTTACAATATTTACTATTAATTCTGAAAGTATAAATTAACAGGTATTCTGTTTCTTAAGCTCGAATAAAGGCGAATTCAATACTTTTCATTCCAAGTAATGTTTTATAGATGATAGGAATAATGCAGTTGTTTTAAAAAAGTTAATCGTTTTGGTTACATGCTCATAGATAAATTTAACGGACATTTAATTTTTTTAAACAAACTAGGTTTATAATGTTATTTTGTTTTGTCGTTTAGTAATAATGAATATTCATATATGTTTACACAATAATTTACAATTGATTCTTTTGTTGAGCTGAAGCGAACATATGAATTAAAAGGTTACTTATGGGATGGCTGACATTAAACTTTTCAATACATCAACTATAAGTATTTTGTAGTATATTATTATTGTATATACATACTCAAAATGTTTAATTTAAAATTATAAATTCTATTATACAATTTAACCTCACAATTTTATATTAAAATCAGAAGGAACAGGGGGTCTACAATTAAATGAAATTCCGACTTTTCGAGCTCAATTTCGTGTTTTTGTTCGTATCAAAATCGGCTCTATAAATGGAGCTTAAGATTTCATTTGCCATAAATCCTACCATAAAAGTCTAAATGAACGATACTTTACCATTTTTAATATTTTTAAACGATACGTATCATGTAATTTTAACATCAAAATTTGTGTTTCGTTCGGATCCGAAATTTCGGAAAACATTTCATGGTAGGCCCTCTGGTCATAATATATTATACAAATTGGTGATTCGTAATGTATGAGTAGACTATATTATAGGTTTTGGGCGTTTCCATAGACTAAATAGCCTCTCCATATGCGGCTAAATTTCTTTCTCTGTAGATGAGTAGGAATTAGTGCCTAGTACACATTCCGCATAATTACTCTGTTAACACTACACCAATCACGGTAGTAATGAAAGAGGAAAATATCATGGCATCTTTTAAAGATAGTGAATAGGCGTTATTTGAGTTTGTATTTCACATTGCATCAAGTGAAACTGTAGTCATACTGCTCAAATTTGATGTAAGTATAAAAAAATTCTGAAATCTTAGTCTACAGCTGCCTACAGTATAACGTCTAAGTAAGTTTTTTTTGTATTATTAAAATTCAAGTATATCTAAGAACATAAGTATTCCCTACTAAGAGTAAATAATATTCAACTTTAGTTGCGCTTGGTTTGTAATATAATGGTCACCTTTTAATAGGCAACTGTTTATGTTGATTGACAAACTATATATATATATATATATATATATATATATATATATATATATATATATATATATATATATATATATATATATATATAATGCAGTAGTGGCCGTTTTTTTTGCAAAAGAGTGTATAAAGTGAATTACATATAAAATTCTACAATATACGAAAGGGTAGATCATTAATATTAGTATTGGTATATTTATTTTCCAAGGGGAGCCTGGCTTCTTAAAACAGACATTTATTATGTACTCTTTGCCATGTCTGGGCATAGCTGTAAGTCCTAATACGCCTATTAGATATGCTTACTAGACAATAAGTGATTTACCTAATTTGGGCCTTGCTTTTTGATTCATAAGATAACTACGAGTATGTTTTATGGTTACCATGAGTAAAATGTTCCGGATCTAGTGACGTTATAATCACTATACCCCTTATGGTGACGCCCTATGGCTAGATAACCTCAATGATTTTGTTTAAATAAATAATTTTCGTTTAAGTTTAATACTGTTGAAAATGTGGTAACCGTTGCCTATAGACATCAAACTTAATGTAGCCCAAAACGGAAACACCATTTTCAACAAACAATTAGGTAAGTTTAATTAAACATAAAACTATATACTCTACGTAATTCTAGGAGACAATAAAATTTATATATACTGTATAGTATTACTAGTGACATTGTTAAGTGTAGGTAATCAAAAATTTTACAAAATTCATCACCGGTATTTCACAGCCGTGTATAATAATATTTGCACTTTTTATACGAGACTTTAAAGCTTTCCAATGGCTGTGGTGAGATGGTGGATAATATGGAAGAAAGATTTTAACTCACGTTTAGACGAAACTTGTATATACTTGGTCGCCATAAATGCGTAATGTTTTGTCTACTATAAATTACCATTACTTGTAGGGTTCCCATTCGCGGTATTCCGAGATCCCGCATTACTTCTTTAGACCCGCTATTGCGGGACGAGCGCGGGATCTAGCAGGATTTACGAAACTGCGTAGACAAGATGACAAGTTGCCGTGGTGTATGATGAATTAATGGGATGTCGGAGTGACTGTTTTTTTTTTACCATCAATTTATCATTACCGCACTTCACTTATATTTAATTACGATTTATCTATATTACGAATATATCTAAGTTTTAAATAATTTTAAAGCACATGCTATATGAATTCCGAATTAACAATTAACATTGATGAAATTTAAGGAAACAAAAAAAAAAGAAACAATTTATTATATAAGTAAATGATTGGTTATGGATGGGCAAAATAAAAGACAAATAAATAAACAAATTTTGTGTAATTGTAATCAGCTAAAAATGAACGTAGCTTTATACAAAAGATAATTATGAAATGGTAATAATACATTCTCATATGGACCGAATAACAGGTACTGTGATGTGACACAAGATGCATGAAAGAAAAATAGAAATTTTGATGATATGCTTTGCGTGTGATTTGATCATTATTATTCATTCATTATATTTTTATAACTTTATTAACACGATAAAAATATTTCGCCGACTAGCAAACAACATGTGTAGTATATATATGCATATTATTTTTATATTTGTGATATTGATTAATAGGAATATGCAAAGAAATAACGCACATGGCTACGTAATTTCATAATTCATTCGAAATAACATAATAATTATTTTTATGCAAAATATTAACAAACAAATTAATGATATCAAAGTGACTGATTACTCAATACGAATATGGCCTATATTTAATTTTTAGTGACATAAAATTTACAGGTCCCTATTATTTCTGGATATAGTCGTGTGATACCCACCATTACTGTCATGGAATATTGAAACGTATAGATACACGCATTAACACCGAAAGCTCGTCTAGCAACGAAATAAATTATTATAATTAATTAAAAATGTATATACAGGAAAATATCAAAACAGTCACGGCTACTCAACATTGCCTAGGCCTCTATCAATAACTTTGGATACTCACAATGATAAAATGAGTCTATCTTAAACACTAATTTACAATAAAGCTTTTAAGAGTAACATTTACATCAATTAACAAATATTATTGTTCGACATTAAAGGACAGATCACAATGACACGTCTACCAACTCTTGATACCATTTTAACATTCAAAGCTAACAATCTATAGTGATTCTTATTAAACTGTGCGATATCTATTCATTTAAAACATCCGAGGTTTAACACAAAAATCCTTACAAGTGGGGTTAATGATGCTCTCTCTACAAAATAGTCTCTCGTTTGCTAAACAATCGAAAGACTGATGTTTAGATTTTTAAAATCGAACTCTTATTTTCTAAATTGTTCAGCAAAAAGTGAACATTTACTAGACTAGTCACAACATGGCTGTATGTGTCGGGGCCAATTGCCGTGAATTATTATTTTAAACTTGGACACGGAAACTGCATGTTCAACTGTGAAACGTTTAACCACCAATACCTCTTAACTGACATTTATTTTCTAACTTAAATAATTTTTTCTTTAATATATTGAGAATTTATCTTAAAATCAACTACTTTACTTTTTACTTCCATTGTATTGAAGAACTTGTGATCCTTCCTATTTTACCACGAGAAGATAGTGTACGGACCTTTATTTTTTTAAATAAAATACAGTTTATGTTATTCGTTGAAAATCTAGCTTTCTATAGGTGTAAGAATTTTTAAAATAGGTATAATATTTTTTGAGTTTACACATCTCTTTATGATATTATCAAACGTCTCTTTATGATATTAGTTTAAATAAATTTAAATTTAGAACTAAATACTTTTTTGTGTCCCCTGTAAAATTTTATCCATGTTAGTTAGAAGGTATTGGCGTTTAAGCATCGATGTGTAGGCTGACTAGCAGTTCAGCTGGCGCGTAGTCCGTGTAAGCGCACGAGCAGTGGTGTGCGGTGTCTCGCGGCCTCACAACGATGTGCACGCGTTCAGTGCTCGTGCAGGCGGTCGTGCGAGCGGCTCGACGATCGCGACGTCTTGCGCTGGTCGAGGTATGCCGCCGGCGCCCATCCCTCGCCGCTGCCGCCTAGTTTTATATATAGATTGTATAAGTTTTTTCTATACGACTTGTGACATGTGAAACAAGCTGACGATTAATTTTTTTATACCATTGCGGTGGCAAACAAGCATAGGGCCCAACTGATAGTAAGCAGACCCAATCGCCTATCTGAAGAGCATAGATTTTATTGTGGCGCTCTTTCATTATCATTCTTGAGAACTATGATCTGATGGGATTTATGCTTCCATATATTGTAAAAGAGCATAATGTATAAATATAAATAAATTTATTAAGTAGTATTTACTTGAATATTTACTTATGTACAATATTTTTAATATCTGAAACGTAAAACCGCAATGAAAAATTGTCTAAACTACTACTTATATTACCGTCATAGTTCAATATGATAATTTTAATATAAAGTTTTGTACTTAACAGTAATAGCATAAAAGCTAAGCATCTGGTCTCTGTGCCATTAGATTAGTGTTCTTATACAATGTGTACAATGATAACTAATAGGATATGCGCATACGACGAGACTCGTCCGCGGCGAATAAATATTCACGTTTTCACCGTTATGGACTGAATATATGAATGAATGTAAACTCTTTGTTGTTACCTTCAAAGAATGATACTTAAACAAGATAAAGAAGCAAAAATGGATGGCGTTATCACTAAATAGCGATTTCTTCTAGGCAACCTTAATATGATTACATGAACCATATTCTGTTAACAAAAAAGTAAGTTAAGGATTGTCTCTCGTTTGCGCTGGTCTTTATTATGTTACGAACATTAAGGTTCCCTTTTTATTTTTAAGTAATTTTGAAAAAGGAATTCTCAAGTGGTCTCTATTTATTGTGTTACGTAATATCTATATCTATCATTTTTGATAATTCCAATTGCAAATATATAAGATACGCACCTGCAAGCCGCACATACCACCACCCAGCGCAGCCAACTTTCAGTAGCTCAGCGTGCTGGCCCTCCCTCAGCGACACCTCGCTCGCGCCCACCGCCGTGTAGTCTGACAGCGCAACTAACGCGCACCCCACCGCCTGCGCACCCAATGCAATTTCAATCTTATATACAGCGAAATACAATATTATTTTCAATGCCACGTGCTATGTTTAACAGTAGGATGCGTGACTTATACGGTGGAGTATGATTTTGTAGAGTAAGAAGCTTCGATGGCGGATAGAATGCAAAGTGCAGGACTAGTCGACATTATGCCTATTTTTTTACTTGTCCTTTACCTTGTCACCTTAAAATATTACTTCTGTAAGAGTCAAGCTCGATATACATTCTCTGCATTCCAGTCACTGAATAATGTTTTAATGTGTATTAGAATTTTTTGTGGCATTTTTTAAGCCTCGTGAATTAGAGACACATTATTTAAAATAAAATTAAATAAATTCTTTATTTCCTTTGAATATGATACATGTGTGTAGATATTTGTGAAATGCTGTCAAGCTAGAATCACACAATACGACGATAAAATTTGAATGTAGATAAGAGTAATACACAGATACTTGCAGTTAGAGCTATATATTAAAGATATTGCTTCTATTTCGAGCAGTGTTATTCAAACTTATATGCGAGCGTAAAATTATTTAAAAATCCCTTGTGACTGTTCCCAGCTGATTACGTAATTAAAACATTTTTTAAAACGTTTGTATCGAATCGAATCGATCGATACGTTTAATATTTATATCGCGGCGCCATGAAACGTATTGCAGGCATGGTACTTTCAAAAGCATTTTTTTACAGATATATCAGATAACGGGACCAATTCTGAGGTGTAAATTCTAAGTTATCTCTAAAATTAAAATTTTAATATCACAGTGAAATCTTTATTGTAAGCACCATTATAAACTCATTTTCTAATAGATTTAAGTCAAGAATTATTATAAATTCAGTTTATAAAATTCCAAAAATAAAATAGTAATATCGCAAAACTCTCAAATGAAATTAATAGTGGTTATTTCATTATATTGTTAAAAAAATAACCTATGATGTCTATCCATATCACAGGTTATTTTTTGCGCAAAATAACACCAAGTTTAGTAAAATATTTAAAATATTAGGCTAAGAAATATGTTTAGAGGAATGTCGCCTCAGAATCGGCCCTAATATAGGCTGTTCATATTACCTATAGTGATTCTAGCTTATACATATATATATAAAATTATAGTTTTGAACCATTCAGATCACACTGACTGCGCATGCACACCTTCACCACTATCCAAACTGTATTGAACAAATGTCTATAACGAAACAATATTTAGGTATCATTTTCAATCAGTTTGGCAGTTACTGCGGCTAAACCATGCGTTAGTGAAGCGAAGTTTTAAATTTGTGTAATATCGCATATACGTCTCGTATACAGATATAAATATATAGTAATATACTTAATATTATTATCTTCTTTATAGATATAAGTGAATACACTTAGATAATATCACCTATATTCTGTTTTTTTATAAATACTTGGATATATTTATTAAATGATTTGGCATATCTTTTCTTTAATTGTTCATCTCATAATTAAATGTTTTGTCCTACAAAAAAACCGACTTCAATTTTGACAAAATCAGTTATATAGTTTTAAAAACTAAACTACTGAATCGATTTGGATTACATTTCTATGGGACAAATTTGTAAGTGAGTTTTTTCTTTAAAAAAAAAAAGAATTTTCCAAATCAGTTCACAACTGACGGTAGTTATAAGGCAACAAACATAAAAATAATACAACTAAAATGCTACCTCTTTTTGAAGTAGTTTAAAAATAGACGAAAAATAATTATTTTATTTAGACATACTAAATAAAGTATCGCAGTAACTTTTTATTTTGTTCTAGTTATTTATTTTACAAACTATTATAGACTTTGATAAAAAGATATTTCAATTACCTCATTTATTAAATTATGCCAAGTATTAAAAAACAGATTAGGTTTAACGGGCATATTCCATAACGCCGTAAATAATTCAGGTGTAATAAATGGTTTATGTTGTATTGTTTATACATCTATTATAAAAAAAAATATGAAGTAGAAATTATAGTATGGGAAATTCTCACATATTTTCACGTCCTTATACAGTCCAATTAAAGTGCATAACAAATCAAAAAAATGCAGTTTGGCTAATTAAATAACGAATAAAAAAGATTTGTCAAAATAATATTTTGTGTCGTAAATATTTATAAGTGGCAACAAAATAAAATATATGAATTTTATGTGTACATATTAAAAACAAATTTTGTAAAAATATTTACAATAAATTTTTTATATACGTAAATTTATTTATAGGCGTATATAAACCTTATCATGAGAGTACAGAAAACGACTTAAACATAATACTTTATTGAGGATTTAGTGTCATTTCTGAACAGATTTTAAAATAATGTCTATGTAAAAAAATTATAAGCGACAATTAAATGAAACGACATTTAATAGCAGATAAAATAGTCCAGTATGATTGGTTTATGTCTGTTTTTCAATTTGTGTATAGCAAATAATTTATTCCTGTACTTGATATTGTGACACATTTAAATGAATATGAAATCCAAGTGCCACACATTTAAATACTGTGTTGTACGTTGTGTAAAAGAAATAGTGATGACAAGCAATTTGCATCCAAAGCCGTGAGACAAATCGATGGGGTGCCGTGTTGTGCTAAATTAGCCAATAAACTTGTTTGGTTTTAACCACGACCATAGAGAAATTAATATTGTATATAAGTAGGTATTTATGGGAATTATTATTCATATTGTATTCTAAATATTCATTTATTACTTTATACTTGGCCATTCGTTAAAGGTAATATCAAACTGCGTAATGCTAAATTGTACTTAAATATGTATTTAATATAAGTAGGTACCTTGTTAATGAATAAATGAATAATGCTCAATAGATATATTTACATAATAGATATAGAGTTAGGATAGTTATAATATCAACTCTACTTACCTCATGAACGGATACGAAAATTAAAATAATCATCAACAATGATTTATATAACATTTAATCAAAGCAAGCGCAAGATTAACAAAACGAGAAAGCACACTGACAATGAGTGACATACAAACAAAACATGACTTACACGGATAATTAATGTTCGGCAATTACAACTGACATATCCACGTTCGTTGTTTACTCTTTGGTTACAAAACTTTGGATATTAAATCAGTCTCTTTTCATTGTATTTACAAAACCTCTACACGCTGTGCGCTTGTAAAGGGTATGTACACTATCAGTACTGTGATACGTAAAACGTGGAGGTGGCTTGCGTGGAGCCCGATACCGAAAAGAACTGTACCATTCTGTGTATGGTACCGTTGAGACCGACGGCCTCCGTCACCTGTTGAACAACACAACTTAAGACAAGGCAGCCATTTTGAATCGCGCGACGCACGACAAGATGGCGCCGATAGCTCACAGCTATTTTCAGCGTGGCTTGTCAAAATTTATATCCACCTCGATAAGAAATGTGAAGTCATTTTCAATTTAATGTGAGGTGCTTAACTGTGCGTGACTGATATCTTCCGTGCCAGTGTCAAAATTACTTTATAATCAAATAATAACTAATTAAAGCGATGATGGAGTGGTTTTGCTAAATTAATTAGGCAGTGACGGCGTGAATCTTGGACTTGGGGTAGGACGGTAAATTGTTTTTTATTGAAACGGAGAATTTACAGCAGACCAGACAATGTACATTATTGAACTAGATCTAATAAGCTACACTACTCCAAATTCTCCGTCAATGATTATTTTGTTTCTTCCACCGGTAATTTATATCTTTTGTAGTTATTTATGTTTAGATTTAATGTTATCGGGGAAGCGAAGTGGGAACGGGTTGCCAGCTTTTATCATGCGCTACCCGTGATTGTTCAGCCCGCATTCCTTTATAAATACACTTTACACTTACATAGCGATTGGTTTTCACTTCATTCAACACTGCAAACCCAAAATTAGTTGGCATTAATTTAAGGTACCCGCGTTTAGTTAAGCTACCCCAAAAGCGTTACCGAACTTATAGTTAGTAAACATTACAGGACGAACAAAAGTTGACATATACATCTTACTGATCAAATATTGCTTATAGTCTAAAACATATAATATTTACCTATATTCAGAAATTTTCTTTTTTTTACATTATTATTTATTGAAAAATTGGAAAATTAAAGTATAGTCAAATCGCAATAACACCATTACCATCCAGACAATGGTATCGTTCTGAATATATAAAAGAAGTAAGAAAATAAGCTTAGGGTCTTTACATCATTGATCTAGTTTTTAGACTAGATATAAAATTCAAAATGTGACAATATGTTGGTTTCAATTTCAGTACGCGACGTTAATCGTATTGACTATACGTTATGTAGAATAAATAGTATACCGATTACCTAGTCACTAATACGAGGATATACCACTATGGGGCACCAATATGGGCTAGAGCATGCAGCCTTCGAGGTTGAGCGGGCGAGAGGCGGGGAGATGAATTGGTACGTACCGGCGCATGGTCGGGCTCGTCGTCATCGTCGTCGGAGGGGTCAGTGGACCAGCAGGGCTCGTCGTGTGTGTCGCAGGAGGCTGTGCGCGGGGGGTGTGTTGGCGCCGCCGGATGCGTGGGGTGAGTCGGTGCTGCCGCGCCAGGGGGAACTCCTCGAGGAGGATTACCAGGGCCGACGTCCCACGAATTTGTTTGAATTAGTGTTCTGTAAATGTCATGACACAACTTATTGAGCATAGACTTTTTTAGTGCTCCATATTGCTATTCTTATATTAACACTGTTATGTCGTCATAAGTTACAAATATTGTTCAGCATTGGGCAATTTAAGTGTCCACATATGGTCATTTAATTTTTAATAATTTTTTCGCTAATAGAGATTTCAGATATTGCTATTTCATGATAAAAATAAACAAATGTCAATGCCCCCTTTTTATTATATTGAAGAAAAAATGTTTCGATTTTACCTTCTTTATTGCATATAGAGAAAGAAAGAAAACATAAAAAAGAACTCTTATTAAGAACTGCTGCTTGTATTATCGCCAATCTATAAATAGAAACTGTATTTCTAGAATATTCGGTTCTAATATTACTCTATACGTTACCAACCTATGATGCTGTGCCCCGTACTGCCGGACTCGTTCGCCCTTCAACTCCTTCAGTTGGTCCAGCAGCACCCGCTTGATGCGGTCCACCCACGCCCTCTTCACTTCGACATTGGGCGCTGTTATTGTGTGCACTTCTTGTCTACCTTGCCGCCATACTTCGAATTTGCGTGGATCGCCTTTCACTGATTCTGTTAGACCGATTTGTGACATCTGGAAATAAATGTATGTAAATTAAGTCACTTATATTTTTAGCAGTAGGCAATAGATAGGATGGAGTTTGGACGTTGAAATTCCTAAAATATTTATTTATTTATTTATAAATTACTCATCACACTTACAGTATCCCAAAGCATGTAGTGAGCCATGGGTTTATTTTACAAACTTAAAATTTATAAACAACATTTTAAAAATATATCTAGTTTGTCATTAAATATATTAATGTCTGACTGCTGAGCAATCAGAGAACTGAGCAGAGAAATAGCCTGATAAGCAAACTGAGCAGTACCGGTGGTGTTTGCAGGACCTGATCTGCTCTGGTTTACTATTTATGACTGATTATATATTTTTACTTTAAACAATATATGTATAATCAAATTCTAGTTAGATTATGTACTCTAATGTTAGAAATTAATATACATTAATTATTATGTAGACATTGTAAAAAGTCTATTTTTGTTATCTTTTAATTTATTTATAACTAATTGTACTCATGTGCTAAGTTAATATATTATAGCCTATCCGTGTGCTAAATTTCATTTAAATCCGTTTAGTAGTTTTGCTGTGAAAGAGTAACAAACGTGCATGCATCTAAACATACACAAACTCGCATTTATAATAGTAAAATAGTAGTAATATTATACACGTATTGTACTTACCTGAAGGTCGTGTTTGAAGTGATAAGTGGCTTTATTATGGCTGTTTTTGGTAGCGGGTTTGCAGAAGAGCATCGCCTTTTCGTAAAGGAAGATATGCCTTCGACGCGGCCGTATCCTCAGCCGGAGATCTCGTTTATTCTCAGACACCACCAGAAATGAGCCCTGCATTAGTAGCTCGCCCTGTTGGCTGAGATCCACCTGATGGGGACAAAGGTTGCTGGTGAGATCGTATGTGAGAAATAATTTATTAATATAATAATTAGAGGCATAAAAAATATTTGCATATTTAAAACGTATATATTACTTGTTACATTATTTTCTCATTGTGATTATTTCTTGTAATTGTTTTTATTTTTAATAAGTTTACTATTGTAATCTTTTGGAGGAAACAATAAAGAGTATCTATCTATCTACATAGTGCCGGTAGTTGTAACTTACAGGTACGCCGGTGATCGCAATTTGATGCATGGAATCATTGACGCACTTGAGCACTACGAGCATGCAGTCGAGTGCTTGTTGCAAGCCGGTCGTCATCGAACCGCACTCGCTGTACCGGAGTAAGTCCTGAAAGTATACATTACACAATTTTAATTATTCCTTCATATCCTGTTGCTGAAAGAGATATCTATTTAACGATAAGGCCTAAAAATAAAGAAGCAACAATGGGCATTGTTGCTTCTTTATTCTGCTTTAAGTAATTAATTATTAATTCTTTTGTGAGCAAATTTTAATCTTTATAATTAATGTATAATTCTTTGAAGGGAACAATAAAGAGTTTACATTCATAAATACAAAAATCATTATTAAACTAATATATGCGAGCTAAATATATAATTGAACTAACAATTCCCTTTGTCCGATTTTTTTAAAAATACAGTTCATGTTACTCGCCGTTAATGTAGTTTTCTATATGTGATACATTTTTTAAAATCGGTTAAGTATTTTTTTGAGATTTCCTCTTTGTAATGTTAGATTGTTACCAATATAATGTCTATTCTTATCAGAATTTAACCAAAACTGCGTAACTGGTTTACAAATCTTATATTATTAGAAAGGGTATTGAGAAATGAACTTAAGTCTTAAAAATAATAACTACAGACTTCCCTCCAAAATAGGATATTCTACATTTGTCTCTTTATAAAATTGGCGAATGTTAGATGGCAATGACTAAATTAATTCAATCTCTTTTTGATTGCAATCAGTGTTGATAATCGTGTGACATTGGATTTAAATTCTATCAGAAATAATCCTGGCAAGCAAACATTTTTTTAGCTTAAAATTATTCGCGTAAACTAAATTAACTCACTCTTGTTCTTCATGTATATATTTTCATTTTCTGCTAGATCAATTGTTTAAGATTTGTCGAGATAGCGATTTTAAAAGATTTACAATAAATTAAAATAAAGAAGTTTTACACCATCAAAAAATATACGTAATTTGAATTTATTATATTAATTAGATTTAGAATTATATTTACAAACCAATAACATACTTTTAATAATAATTGATATTTTGTGATCCTCTGCACAGGTTTGAGTAGGTATGCCGCTAGAGGTAGTTTGTGTCCGAGCCTCAGTTGACACGCCTGTAGAAACAGGTGTGTGTCCACGAGCGTCTCGCGGAGACGTTCAGAACGTGGGATGTTCTGACAATAATAGCTATACAAACGGAAGAACGTCTCCCTCTGGAAAAACAAGATTGTAATGTGAAAAACATTAAATTAAAATGGTATATAGTGTTGCTAAAAATTTCATGAATACTTAATTATAATGGCCACTCATGATTAAAAGTCCCAGATGGTCCCAAAACGAATTGAGTATTTTGGACAAAAATACACCTATCTAAGTTAATTCAATTATTTGTACAATGAAAATATGTTCTATGTTGCTACTATAGTTTTTATACTATAATGGTGGAAAATAAGCAGATCCGTTGTTACATTTACAGTAGTGTGTGGCCTACAATGCAAAATTAGGGATGTCAGTAGTCAGTCCTAAATTTATTAAAACTTAAAAATATTATTGGCAGAATGCGATGCTTTATAGGTTTTTATTTATCAGAAAACACTAAAAGTATAAGCTATATTTTTATAATAAAATATAAAACATCACACTCACTTTTTCCACAAAACACAGTGCAACAAGTTCTGTCGCTGAGATCGATCGTTCCAAATCTTTTAGGAACACGTCCTGGTGGAATGTGAAGAGTTCGTGTAGATTACCGAACAGCACATCTGCTTGTCCGACTAATGTTGACGGCAATAGATTCTGGTTTTCTGATTTTTCTATTTCTTCTTTGTAACCCTGAAACAAACCAGAAAGAAAATTAGTATATGAAAACAATGGCACTTGATTGTAAAGACATTTCTTTATAGCCAGTAATCTATGTCTAATACCGAGCTAAGCAAAGATGAGCAGTAACTAACTGCATCGCACCAATCCTGTAATCGCTTGTCGTAATCTTTATAAATAGTTTCTAAGCATTCGCATTCAGACGCCGATAAAGTTGCATCAGTCTTCCAAAACCTCGATTTCTTCTTCAGTTTCTGAAATGTTGATGTCCAATTGCTAAATGTTTGATTTCTATGTAAACTTTGAGTTTTTCTCTCATTAACCAACTGGTACCTCTTGCTTTTTCCTGAATAAGTACGAGTATACGTATTACTCTTGGATGTTTTCAATGACCTATTTCTTTTACGACAAGATAAAGTTGAATGCAAACTTTGGACGTAACTATCAGTGTTGCTCCTTCTACACATGGACATACTTTTGCTGCAATGAGAAAGAGAAGAATAATGATCGTGTATAGTATGGTTCCATTCTTTCATTATTCTTTTATAGTCCTTGAGAATAGTGGTTAAGATGTCACTAGATTGATCACTGCTGTCCATCGTTTTTCTTAATTCAGTGCAACTTGATGACTTCAATTGCGAATCTTTTGAGGCCGTAGAATCACTTAAGTATTCAGGTGACGAAATGCGTACATCTGTGTGAGAATATCCGTATAGAGGATTCCTGACATATTCTGGTGCATCGACAATAGTAGCGACGGTTGTAAGCGATTCCCCAGTGTTATATTCAGAAGCAGTAACCGTATCGGAATCCGGTAAATACATAAGTTTTTCCTCAGTTTTTTGTGAATATTCATAACCAGGCAGCGGTTTGCCGTAAAAGAAATTTCCAGTGAACGGTTCCATGTGCACTGGTTTGATGATGCGCGTATTGTATTTAACTCGATTTTTTCCTGCATCGCTCCTGGATTTTAAACACTTTTTAGCGCGAGCCATTTCTCTTTCGAATAATGGGATTTGATTTGCATAATCACTAAACAGGCTTGAGTCAGATGTCGCACTGGTTAGTTGTTTCTTCTTTCCAATGGCTGGGTTTTCGTTTTTTTTGTAGTACCAAGAATAGGAGGTGCCGACACTGAGATTCGCGGAAGATTTATGGAGGTCGTATTTTCCATATTTCATGGTGCAGTGAGCAGCGAAGTATGACGCGCGTGCGGGAGCCCCCAGCGAAGTGCACTTGGCGAATGTGTAACATGCAATGCATTTCGCTCGGTGTGCAGCGCGCGCGCCATATTCGCGTGTCGAGCGATTGATGCACCAGATACGCATGAGTTTACTCACGCGGAGCCCGGCCCGTGTTCGATGTGGGCCGTTCACATACAATGGCATATATAATTTTTAGAGCGCGTAATGGTGGAGATATCGAGTTGAATTGCAACTGATCTACTGTGACATGCGACTTACAAACTTTTCAAGCGACTTCTAAAAAGAGTAAATTATTAATTGAACTGTATTTATTTTTACTCAAATTGAAATGACAACTGCTCCCGTTTTGGTCCCATATTAATTTTGTCATAATTAAATTTGTTTTTTTTTTGTAGAATTTTGCTATTAAATATGCGTCATTATATAAATGACTATGAATAGCGTATATGATTAAGTATGCTCAGTATCACTGTTTAGTTTGTAATATAGATACTAACTGTCTATCATGAGTACACTCCTCTTCAGATGTTTAACACAGTAACCCATAGAGAAAAACAAATAAATTCGCTATGGTCAGTTGCCCACATTAAAGCATGATACGACCACTTAACTATTGAGGGCGCATGCTTATTTATTTCTGACCATTTTAATGTATTTGCTTCATAAATTAATTATCATGAATGACTTCAAAAGTAATAATATATGCTAACATGCAAGTGTATCGGAACCATCATAATTTTAGTATTTACAATTTTTAAAATATAATTCTGATACATTCAGTTGATTAAACATGACTGAGTAGGAAACATCCAAACACCTTAAAAAACTTTTACATTATAATATTAACAAGTGTAAATGATTAAAGTTTTTGTGCTACAAAAACATATGGGATCAGCACGGGGGTAAATCCTATGGATTGCAAAATATATAAATCGGTTTGGAGGGGTGATTTTTGAATGAATACAATTGAGTTCATATTGAAATTGCGTCGTATAAATGTTAAATATGTTCCATACTAATTCAACTGAGCAAAAGTAACCCTTTGGAATTGATTAAGATAATGAGTAACATATATACAAATCAAAACGTTCTATTGAATTCATTACTTCCTCCTTTCTGAAGTCATAAAAAAAATAATATATCAAACCCACTGTGAGAATGGAGCCTAGCTCTTGAACGTAGACCCTCTCGGTTTGTAGCAGCTCGGCGAGGACATGACCGCGCCGCGACCGCCGAGCTTCTGCGTCCTCCCCACCAGAACTCACTGATCCCCCTGATGTCTCCATCTGTGGACAAAAAAATGATTTTTTTTAAATAAAAATTGTAAACAGCCTGTACACTTACAATGTAAAAATCATATCCATATGTCTAAAAACTTTGAATTATCTAAAAATTTTAATTTTGCTTTAAATAAATTGTTATGAAAAAGTTATATGTACATATAGATTGTCTGTCTACCCCGTAAGGAATCTGCTAAGATATATTTAGTAGTACTCTAATATTTTTTTCGTACTTCTATGAATATTACAGTTGGTGGCAGTCTCGGAAATTTCCATTTATATTACGTACGATGGCACTTTGAATAATTTCTTTACGACATTACCATCTTCTAAAAACGTCAAATACGACTTGGAATTGCAAACAAACTGACGGCCCACCTCATGGAAAGTAGTGACCGTCGCCTATATACATAAAGAGATGTATTGGAGGTTATAAATAAGAAAATGAACACAAAGTAGGTAAGGTACTCTTGAGCTGAGGTTTTAGGGTGAAAGTTTTTAATGAAAATATATATGCTCTCTTCAATTTCTTTTACTATTCTACATTTTATTTATTAGTATAAATAAATATAAACCAACAAAAATCTTAATACTAATTACGTATATTTGAACAAATTAAGTAGTATTATACATTTATAACTAACGCGGTTTTTAATTCAGTTTATTTTCTAACTTTATATAAGCCATTGGATTGCGGAAACTCTACAGTGATCAATTTAATTGGTAATAATAAGCATTAACGATATTTTATTATAAATATATTAATGTGTAATTTTTTATAATTCAACAAAATCTAAAATTTATTTACAGTTTATTATTTTTTTGACAGATGGATATTTCTTTTAGAATCGTCCTATCTTTTTTTTAAGATGGGTCAGGCAATGGTCTTTTGTTCATACAGCCTTATTTGTTTATATTCTTACACTGTGGTTTTTATTAGATTTTTTATTTTATTTTATCTATATAACATTATTTTGGTCGGGTTTTATGGGGTCGGTACGAACAACGTTATTTAACCTTCTCTTATTATGTATAAATGAAGTTTCATAAACTTTACTATGTTTATCCTTAGGTGTTATCTCAAAGACGGGAACAAGGCGTCCTAAATTCTATTTTATTTGTCCCTTGATAACATCGTGGAGCAGTGAACCCCTCCGAGTTACCAGGTGATATTAAATTCAAAACACGTTGTTCATTTGAACTTATTCGAGCCGTAACGGACTTCGATCTACTTATTTGAGGTGAGGGCATCTTTATGGGATTTTAACCTAAGGAAAACTATGGATTTATTGGAAAATTTTACTTATAACATTTATTATTAGTATTAGTTTATATAAAGCATTTTTAGCAAAAAAAAAAAAAAGTATTTATTAAAAAAAAAAGTATTTATAGGTAATAAAAAAAAATATTTAGTACTTTTTTATCGTTTGTAAATTCTAACATATTAGTAAAGAACTGCTGTAATAAATTCGTTGCAAATTGTTGATATAATTATAGAAATTGGTTGGAAAACAAAGAATATTTTTTATTATATTCTATTACTTCCTAAAATTGCAAAAGATTATTTAATTAAATATACTCGCAGAACTTTAACTTACGTGCACGTAAAATTTGATTACTTATAAATAATATAAGATACATTATAAATTAAAATTAAAGATAGATACATAATTTAATAATTACAAAATATATTAAGAGGTATTATTTATGTGTTTTATAATTCTTCTTAAGAACTATTAAAATTTTAGATAGAAATATGTTAATTTCATAGAACACATTCCAAAATAGATGCTATTTACAAATAGCTCGCTTCCGTTAACTGAGAATTTAAAAAGTCAACTCACTGGTCTGTGTTGCTCCGTGAAATCCTTAACAATTTTATATCCAGTCTTGAGCATCACGTTTATCGTATCCATATTTAATATCATAAAACACAAAACATATCACGTAACGGTTTAACACTGGATTTTTTGGATATCGTGTGAGAGTTTTGTTGCGCGGACGAGCGCTGACGCGAACACATGCTGTGTTAAGGTTGTCCGTGATGGAACAAGGAACTGCAGTCGATTGCCGGGATGCGAAGGGGCGCGGGAATACATCGGGGCAGTAAAAAATGTTGTTGCCTCACTTTATGTTGTTAACCGGCACGACAGATGCTCTACTTTATCGGACGGGGCCGTTGAGAACTTGTATGTACATAAAGGGATATAACGACAATTCGCGTGATATGTCACTTTGATAAAAAATTTCTTACTCAAGTTTTTTCAATGAGGACACAGAATTTATAAATTTTGTTACTTGTAATAGAGCATTAATAGAATAATTTTACAGGTCAAATGTGTTGTAACTGTTTATTATTTCAGTTAGACGTTATGGCTGTATAACTGTTTGCCACACAAAAATAAGTGACTTTAATTGTATCAAAATGTATAGAGAACAGAAGGGAAAACTCTATCAATTGCAAGAGGAATTATTAAAATGTTTTTATTAAAAAATAGACGAAGATAAAAGTGACGAAGATATCGCGTAACATACACACAAAAACAGGTGAATTGAGTATCTCCTTCTGCTTGAAGTCACATAAAAACTGTGTACTACATATTGTAAGAGCCTAAATATTAATTAGATTACATATAGGTATTACTAACAGTATATGAAAATTATGTAGGTATCTAAGAAATTATTTTGGATAAATTAAAAAAAAAACCTGTTCAATCACTTCGTACTCAATGAAAGCTGCAAATGTGTTATAATATGTATACACTACTAAATACTACGTTTTACGACCATTCGTTTTGATTATTAATAAAGTTATAGGTATGATTAGTTTTATTAGTTTTCGATTACATACTCCAGTTATCTTTAATAGAATATTATAGATATAGTACAATATAAATACTTCCTGCATTATAATTGAAAATATTTTCTAAGTAGAGCAATTTACTAGATTGAACTATACGGCAATAAGGGCGAGACGGGACGTGTAGTTATGTCTGAGACGGGTAAAGAAAACAGACAAGTTCAATTCGTGTATGGTAATAGACTATTTATTTTTATATTTTCGTGCCAGGACCTTTATAACATAAACTGAGAGACGCTTAGGAAGCAGAAATAAAACAAATGAAACCTGGTTTTAAATTAGTACATATAGTACCGTGTACTATATCTATTAGCGGAATTACCATAACGGGTATAAACAACTTTCGTTATGTAGGTACACATACATGTGTGTGTATCTATACCTGCGTATGTACGGTAAATTACTATGTGTTAGTAGAGCATCACACCTGCCCAGTTGCTAACTTCCAAAGGACTCTTTTCATGTTATATTCAAAGGTATTGAACGGTTGTCCAAGCCGAAAGCCGAGGGTTCATTGTTTCTTTTATATTTTCTAAGGAACATCTGTGGGCTTTGTTTAGTTTAGACTATACAAGCGCGTGGTTATAGATGGGAATGTGAATTTTAATTAGATTACATGTTAAGCAGTGATGGTGCCGTTTGCTAGTTTTGTGACCTAATTTTTTATAACTTAGATACTTACAATATTATTTTTATTAAGGAATTTCGCGATTAGCTCTTAGCCACAACAGAATATCAGAGTTTTGCTCTTTTGAGGGTAAATCAATAAACAGAGATGTGACCATTTTGTGTCACTATGGCACACGCATGAAAGAAAAATATATTACTTGTTTTATATATTTTGCTTTTAATTTGTATATGCATTCTTTTATCTCTTTTTACTGTGTACGTCTGTTGTTATTTGTGTGTTGTAAGTAATTATAATAAATTATATATCTATCTATCTACATACATAGGTAATGTCCACATCAAAAATAGATAAATACAGTAAGATTGAAACGTCTGTACTCTGTAACATACTTATACCATTATATATATTTAACTCACTTTGACTTTATAGAATATATATTTATTCCTGGCATTTACTATATATATATATATATATATAATATAATGGCGTTTATATCTTGGGAATCTGTTGTTCGTCGACTTTTCAACTGACTTCAAAAAGAAGGAGGTTCTCAATTTGTTTTTTTTTTTATGTTTTTCTTCATAACTCCTTCAGTTTTAAACCGATTTGGAATCTTATTTTTTTTATCTGTTAAGATATATTTACAGATTGGTCCCTTAAAGTTTTTTTAAAATCGATTTAGTATTTTAGTATTCAGATTAAAATAACTGGTTTTTAGATCAAAATAACAACTTCTTTGTGGGACACAATCTTAAATTATTATGTTAACTGTTTATACGTTATGAAAAAAACAAGGCCACAAAAATGTACATGGGTTGTAAGTGTACGAGTGCATATGTGAGATTTGATTATTATTACATACTAGCGATCTCTACTGGCTTTGCACGGTTAGATATATAGAAAGATAAATTTTATAATATATGTAATATAGATATAGACAAACATGGTAAAACGTCTATATAGTACTCCAATGGTAGACGCTTAGTCTTTTCAAAAAAATATTGACAATTATAGAAACATAATTAAATTGAATGTTATGTCAATGCTCTTAGGGTTTCATTTGAGTAGACTTTAAATTATTAGATAAATTTATACGACCACAGATTAAACAATTCAGTAAAACAAATATAAGGTTGGATAGATCTCTTTGTCTCATTGCTATAAGCACTTATTACAATACAACTTCTGTAATTTACTTTCTATACATCTTACTAATTTTATGGCCTTTGATTTAGTAGTTGAACAATAACATAGTCTTTTACTACACACCAATAAGAAGTTAGGGATGCATAAAACAAAAAAATCTAAACAAAAGCTTGTTTCGGGCCATATTTCTTTTATTTTTTCACGCATACCTGCTTGTCGTCACGTTGTACCTACGCATTTGTTTCTAACGATCTGTTCCAAAATTGGAAAGCGAACATTTGTGGAATAATTTTGTTTTACGTGCCCTACATCCTTTGGTTTACTGCCGAGGTTAAAGGTCTAATATATGTCGCTATAAACAGATTGTGA